GCCCCCCCCCCCCCCCCCCCCCCCCCCCCCCCCCCCCCCCCCCCCCCCCCCCCCCCCCCCCCCCCCCCCCCCCCCCCCCCCACCGTCACGGTTGACCACCGGCGCCATCGCTCGGCGCGCGCAATGGGACCAACATGGTACGCAATGCCGGCAGACAATCTGGGGCGTTGCAACATCAACGAGGCTGGTTGTGATGAACGAATGTGCTTCGTCGTGCGCGCGTGACCACCAGAGAGCGGTGCCGTGCGCAAGCTTCCTCGAGAAACAGGCCTCCAAACCTTGGGTGAATACACGCTTGCAGACTTGCAGTCTCAGACAGTGATGCGTGATTTCCAACACGCATGCACGTCAACCCGGCTGCCGCTTCTAAAAATGCCTGGCTAAGCTTGAAGATGGCCCGGGCCTCATTTCGGAAAGTCAGGGACGACGAGCCATTGCCTTGTCCAGACGGACTGTTGATGCCCCGGGGATGGGAGTGTTGTGTTAAAATCGTATGTTTCGCTTTGGAGACGGAGAACGTTGCGCAACTACTTGCTTACTGCCGACTACTATTAGTATCGCTGTGATAAGATGTGACGATGCGGTCGGATGATATGACGGCAGTTGTTGGAGTAGGGAATGGGATTCTACGTATGTACGGATGTATGGGCAAGCAGGCAGTCGAGTGTTGAGCGATGGCATGCAGTAGCTACCTTGCTTTGACCTCTGCGTTCTGTCTGGTCAGCTGGACTTTCTCGTGCGCCTAGACAAGGTTGAGGAGTTTTGCTGCTGGTGACATACTACTGATATTATGTAGATACGAAGGTGATGATGGTCCTCTGATGGATTTCACACAATGTCTTACTCCAGTCTTTGGCAGGAGCAGCCTGGGCCACTGCTCCAGAGATGTACAGTGCGTGTCTGCGCCCAGTGCCCAGTCGTGTAGCGCTGATGCACTGTGGTCCCCCAGTGGTCTTTCATTACGGATACGTACCTTACCTGATGGGCCATTCTCCTCCATCCGCATCGTCACCGTTCAATAACACTGATGCGCGGAGAGATTGCACTCTAACATCTGCTGATGCTTCACTATTGCCTACCGCAACGCGGTCCTCCACCAGAATGTCTCCAGCTCCGCCTTTCGGCTGTTCTCTCGGTCCACCTCATTACATACGGCGAGCGAGACATTGCGCGACTCGTCAACGAAGCGACACGCGCATCACAAACTCAAAGGCACGTTGCTTGCGAACGCGCTTGCCAGGCTAATTAGGCCCGCATGCGGCCGACACAATAACGCACGCACTATTATGGCGCCAGGCGCTCGAGTTAGCTACTAAGCCCCCCCTTCCGGCCGAGGCTAGCTAATACCCCATCAGGCAGTCCAATCTGTCTTCTGTCGGCTCCTCCGCAATCAATTCCCGTGAATCGTTGAGATGCCCTCCTCGCCAGGTTTGCAACGATCAGGCCCTCGGCGTTAACATTATGGCCTGATGGTGCTTGTGCTAACTGCGCACCCTATACTCGATTGATGCCGCAGCCTGATCTAGCCGCTTGGCAGCTTCGCGCCCTCGACAAATCACGACTCCTGGCCTTGAGGAGAGCCTGTGCCGGCAACCCCCACCCTTTATTTCCGGCTGCGAGTCACCAGTCACCACCACAGGCTGCCCAGCCATCGCCGCTAAAAAGGGTCCTTTCATTACCAGAGTCTATACCTACCGTACTGAACGACTTGATGGCCTAGTTGGACGGATTTGAGACATGCGGACGGACTATCTCCTGGATCATAACCGGCACTCGGGGCCCTTTTGTTCAACAGGCATGGATTGCCGTGCTTCAACACGACGGAATGGCCTGCCTTGGCACTTGGGATGCGCATGGTTCCGAAACTTTACTGAGAAGTAAAATCGTCAATGGGCGTCCATGTTTCAAGAGACTTGTGTGCATGACTTGAAAGGCTTGCTCTGTCGCACAGCACGGGGGAAAGGTCCAAAGAAGAAGTTTCTAGACCCGCGCCACGGCTGGAATGTGCAAACAACGTGACGCCCTTTCTGGAAGCGGTGCTGGAAGACTCACAAAGGCCACAAGCAAGCCTCGGAGGATATCTGCTTCTCTCTTCTTCGTCAACACATTCAAGGCTTCAAGCCAAGCGCCGCCCCTTGTGGTTAGACTGCAGGTGAGGGAGGGGCTCGGACGCACTGTCTGACAGGGACAGGGTCGACAGCCCCACGCAAGCCCCTGCTCGACTGTTCCCGTCCCCCCTCCTGGTCCGCACCAACACCACAAAGAGCCCAGTTGGAAGTCTCTAGACACAATCGGTGGACTTTCTGGCGTCGATCCACAGTGCGCCCGACATCGACCTCCTCGGCACCCCGGTCTCCACCGCCGTCACCGGTACATGATCGAGAGTGATGATAGGCTGCTTCCCGCACGTCTCTCTCTTTCTGTGCCTGTCTGGAGTCTGGCCGTGGTCCATCAGGGGACCTCAACCCCTCTACGGCTCGGCAGACAGTCACGTCGGCGTTGAGGCAGGAGAGCATCCGCCTGGATCTTTGATCTGAAAGCACAAGTAGGGCAAAGCATGGCGAAGCAGGCACGCCAGCCACCCAGCGCGAAAGGGGGCAATGCGAAACTCAACCTTGATACGTCTTAGCTTGCCGGTTTGGGGCTTTGGGACAGAAGAAGCCCACATGTTAATCAACTTGCAAAGAAAATTGAATCGATCTTCCGAGATCACGCCTGGCCGACCAGTCCCATGCTCCTCTTTCCTTTGCTCCTTCCAGGAACGGTTGCATATTATGCCTCCACGTCCAATCAGCCGTCCAGGAGGCTGCCAAGGGCCAGTCCCCCGGCTTTAACCTCCAGGACATTGGCGCCTTGTCCAGGACTCCAGCTGTCAAATTCAGTGGGCATGGCAGGGCGGCGTCCAGTCCCTGGTGATCCTAACGTCAAGGCCGACACCATCTGCAGTGTATAGCGGGCGGCTTCTAATTAGCACCTACACCCCGGGAGATCAGACACTCCCCCCTCCATCTGCCGTTCCTGGGCTCCATCCGGGCATACAAGTATAGGCGTACGCCTGCAACCCACTCGTCACGACTCTATCCCAGCCTGGTGTTGACAACAAGCGCGTTACCATCTCTATTCTACATCGCCTTCAGTATCAGTGCGACGTGAGCCGACACAAAACAACGACTTGCTTGAACCGACAAGCCCAGAGGAATCGTTAGAAGACCTTCGCCTCTCTCTGCGCGTATCTGAGTCACAGGATCGGCGTAGGGGTTCCTGTCGAAGCGGGCTTGAGGAACCACGTTGCTTACGTCCAAGGGCTCGGGAAAGCAATGCCCTCATGACGGCCACAGCGACATTTCCGGCCACGATGCCAGACCTCAGAGGAGACCCCTCGTCTTCCAGTATTTGGCCAAATTATGGAGGGCCTATCCACATGTCACCTCGCATGGAGTCTGGCCTCGCCCATCCGCATCCAGCATCGCCACATGGAGGAGTAAGGTCAAGGAGTGACCAAACCAACGTGGAAAACCAGGGCTACTCCTACAACCGATACCCCGAGGACAACGACCCATACGGCAGCCAGCCTTCGATGGTGCATCCCCAAGCGTCCTATCAAGGCACGCTGAAACGACCATTCTCACAGTCCGACGCTGGACAGAGCACAGATGCTGCACATGACGACGGCTCGAGAACTTCTGTGAACCAGGACAACAAGCTGCTGTCATTCCGGCGCGGGCAGGACAAGTTGACCATCACCGACCAGCGAGGACATTTGCAGCAGCTCGACCTATCAGCCCAGCTTCATGGCATGTTCTTCTTGTCGGAAATGCCTTCCAACGCAGCCGACGGTCCCACGATGCAGCCCGAACTGACCTGCTACCGACGAAACCTATTCCAGATCAGCGGGAGCCTTGTGACACCAAGGGGACCCCTGAACGTGATCACCGAGTCGGGGGAGAGTGTTCTGGTTAGCAGTATGGAGGTCACCATCTCCGCCATCGAATCTGTGGACAACCACTCCGTGCGGCTCATCGTGATCCCATGGAAGACTCCGCCGCCTAACTCTCCAGAGATCGCACAAGGACCGGATCAAGAACCTCCGGCACTGCCGCTCATACCGTTCCAGGAGGACGGGACCGAGGCGGATGGCGAGTTGGCGGTATACCCGATCGGCTGGCGGCGCCTCCAATTTCGAATGTCAGTCATACCTTATATCGGAGCTTGGGTTCGGTTAGCTAACCTGTTTGCAGAGCCACTGCAAACAATGGACGCCGAAAGGAACTACAGCAGCATTTCACACTCCATCTCAAAGTACACGCAACCCTTGCAAACAACACAAAGGTGGTCCTGACAGAGTCTACGACGGCCCCTATCGTAGTCAGGGGGCGAAGTCCCCGAAACTTCCAAGCGAGGAAGGAGATTCCGTTACTTGGCTCAAGCGCGGGCTCGCGCGGTCAAGCCTTGGTCGAGACAGGCATGGGTGTCGTGGCCGGGAGTATGACCATGAAGCCGCAAGAGTCCAAGCCTCGTGAAGGGATGGATATGCAGGTGCCCCGAACGGCCTTTACATTCACGACGCCGAAGCCACAGTCAGCGCAGATCGGCACTGTTCGATCACAGTAAGTCACTGGCCACTCGTTTCCTGCTTTCACTGCTAACGAGGGTTTCAGCACCTACCCTAGCTGGACGTCGCCTACCAACAACTCCTTGCCCGGTATCACCAGCACTGGTACAAACTCATACTCGGCGCCAGCGATAGGAGCCGAAATATACTCGAAAGTGTCATTGACGGGGAGTAGCAACTTTGGTGGCGAGGGGCAAGATCTGCCGATACCTACAACTCTACCGGCTTCCGTTCCTCTATCGCTCATATCCGAAGAGCCAGGTTCGTCTGTGCGTTCGCCATACACGTACGGGCCCTCCAGCTCGGCACCGCGGCATTTGCCCATGTCCTCGCTAGGTCCAGATACCCAGGGCAGCATGCACCGCTTCGTCGACGACGGTCGACCGTCTAAAGCATCCCGACTCGGCAGTGGCCCATCAACCGCGAGTGGAGGCTCGGTAGCGGGCACGGGGACCTCGCCAGATTACCGTTACGGGTCTTTTGCTTCCGCGACCAGTGGATCGGGAGACGTGATGGCTACGACATATGGCACGGACGGTCCGGTTGGCGGAGCAGCTGCGCAGAGAGACGCGTATTCCGGGCAGCAAGGGTGGAGGCATCCCTCTGACGCCAATGCGGTGCCATACGGAGGTAGTGATGCCCGGTCGTACGGGTCGTCCTATGATCAATACAAGCCTAGGTCAGACGAGGGACAGCCCAAGTCTGAGCATGGGCAGGGCAGTCATCTCGATGCATATAGCCATAGGGGTTCCTTCGATGGCACGGGCAACTATTCGTGGGGGAACAACTGACAGTCAGGCTTTTGACATGAGATACGTGAATACGAGAAGCAAAAAAGAGGGTGGTTGGCGGGACGAAGGAGGGAGGTCAGGGGCGATACCCATTTGCTAAAATGATTTGAACAGCGCTATCGTGCAATGTTGTTTGGGATACGGATAGTTACCACTGTAATAGTACGTGCTCATTGGTTGGGATGGGAACAAGGACTGGAGGTGGGCGGTGGTGCTCAATGGTACATATACGTGGTATTTGCCGAATAATTCTGGGAGATGTGATATAGGGCCATTCTGATGGATGTGTATATATTAATTCAATCTCACCAGATCGATCAATGTTGGAATGTGGCTGATGTCAAAAGTCAAAATGCCAATGTTGGCGTCTGGGAGAGAATGCTGATAAGGACACTTTATCGGGAGGGCCCCACTTCAACTTTTCCGCGGCCTGATCGCAACTTGCCTCACTCTCCAACTCATCCATACGCTCTCTTATCGACGATTCAACAATATACACGACTCCAGACGCCCAAGATCTTTTGAACTGGTTCAATTGCCGGTATAAAACACTGGGCCGCATCGGGATTTGCCTCAGGAGAGCACATTATCTCCGCCAGTGTGACCATGTTTGAGGAACCACAGGCGAAAAGGTAAGTTGCTTTGCTGAGCTGACAGCGACGGGAATTGACCAGACAGGATCCGGCGCGAAGATCTGCTCGACCATGGAGGCTCTAGCGATGGAGAGGAGGATGCTCAAATGACAGCGCAGCTGGAGGCGAAACTGGCGCAATCGTTAGGGTTCGATTTCACGCAGCCGCCACCCCTACAACCCTCACCTGCAAAGCAGCCACCAGCTCGCTTGGTACCGGCAACCCGGACAGAGGATTCTGACAGCGAGCATGAGGTTATGGCCCATGCCGTGGAAGAGAAACCCGCAGAAGAGGAGTACGACTTTTGCCTCTTTGGCGGTTCCAATGCTGGCCCTACTAAAGTCAACATTCACGATGACAGTGAGCCTGAAGGTGAGGGCGGCTTTGAAGGTCTCAGACCAACATACCTCACCCTCGCACGTCCGTCGGTGCAACAAAAAGAACGATATGGTGTAGCAGCCATGTCGGGAGACCAAGTGCTTGCCCGCTCATCGTGGCGCAACTGGTCCTCAGAGCTACCGTGGAAGGTCACACATATCACCATCACCAGGAAGGGAACCACCATTGTCCCGGAAGAAGACGAGAGTGAGAAGAAGAGGCGGCGGCCGGGAAAGAAACGAAGGATACAGATGAGGACCAAGGTCCGGCAGGAGGAGGAGCAGAAGAAGAGTAAGGCGAAGCTGCGAGAGGAGAAGGAGGAACATCTCAAGGAGAAGAAGAAGCGCGCAAACAGGGCGAAGAAGCTGAGACGTAGGGCGCAGGCAAGAGAGAAGAAGATCGCAGAGGGCGGTGATCCCGGCGACGAGGGCGATGTCTCGAGCGGGTCAGAGTGAGGCTGGAAGAGGAACAAGTCAGCAAACAAATTAACATGAACAGTTGAATGCTCTGGGCTTGCTGTTGGGCATGCTTGTGATCACGCACAATGAGGTTAGCTCCATATGCACAAATACGTGCATAACTTTGTGCTCACTTTCCATCCAGATTGGGACTAATCATTACCAACGCGCCTGCCAATATCCAGAGCGCGTCTCGTTCTCACAACCGCAAAGTCCATCCGCAACACCACATAATACATTCACAATTTCTCCAACCCGTCCGCGTCGGCCGCAGAAGCCTTTCCATCCACATATCACCTCCACATACTTCTCCAGCTCCTTCAATGGCGCCTACCACCGAGCCCGCGAAGCGCGGTCGCGGAAGACCCAAGGGTACCACCAATGCGCCCAAGCCAGCCCCTCCCACCGGCCCCAACCCGGGGCCTGCTGGCGGCGTGGCGAAGCGCGCTCATGGCCGTCCCACCGTGAACTACGCACCGAAGCCAGCGGCCGAGTCTGAGGCGAAGCCCGCAGCCAACGGGACAGGCAAACCCAGAGGCCGCCCCAAGGGCACCGGCAAAGCGTCGACCACGGCGAAGAAGGTGGCGAAACCAGCAAACCAAGCAACGACGCCGAAGAAAAGAGGTCGCCCTGCAGGAACGGGTGCCACCGAGAAGGCGGCTGCTGCTGCGACTACTACCACACCGTCCAGTGGAAAGAAGAGGGGACGCCCTGCTGGGTCGGGTAAGATAGCGAAAAAGGCTGCTCCTGTTGCTGAGGACTCTGCCCAAGAGGACGACGATGGTGAGTATTTACCGCTAAAGCAGTATGTGGCACGAGTGGTAACATATCTTGCAGAAGCCCCTTTGTCCGACAAGCATGAGGATGAGGAGGCTGCGGACGCCAACGGCGAAGAAGAGGGCGATGTCGATGATAATGTACAAGCGAACGGCGACAGCGCTGAAGAAGACGATGACGACAAGCTGGAGGTTCGACCCTCCCCCTGGGGCAAGATCGCGAGCATATTTGGCTGATGGCGTTAGTAAACCAACCACCGGCCCGCCTGCTCTTTACATGATGCAGCGAGTATGAGCTATCTGCGGTGACGGCTGATACTGCATGTACATTGCTTATTACTTTTTTTTTCATCTCACTATCGTCAATGAGGGTATCTCGGGCTTGGGAGAGTGGTATCATTTATGGGTTCGTCTGGCGTTTGCGAGTTTGTTCTTCTCTGCGGGTGGAAGGCGATGGGTTTTTAATGGGAACTGTACAGGACACTGCATCAACCCCGAGCTCTTGTTGTTCGGTGTATCGATGAAGAATTGCGATCGTCACAGCGGAATAAACGTGGCCTTGGACTCGGCATGGAATGACTTGTCTCCCGTTTCGGTTCTCAATTTTGAGTGAGGCGCACAGTTATTATTCCTTCTTCCATTCGTCAAACTCAATCTCGAGGTGCTCTTTTAGTTCCTTGAACTTGTTTCTGAAATTCCTCCCACAGCGCCAGCACTTGAGGTCCCATTTGAGATACGCCTCCTCCCCCGTCCGCCGCCTCGGGTCATCCTCTGCCAGCGGAAAGTCCTCCAGGGGCACGAGGAAGGGCGTCGTGAAGGAATTGTAGTGCTTCCTGTGCTTCATCCGTGGGGAGTGCATGTCTCTCGACAGCACGTGGACGTGAAGATGGGACATGCTCGGCACGGCGTGGACGCCCACCTTGACCTCCTTCGACCAGTCCCTCCCCGCTGGCAGCTCGGCTGACGTCGGTTCCTTGTCGCCGTTGAGGATAGCCTCCCTCTCAGCGTCAGCCCTGCTATGCTTGCCTAGTAACCTCTGTAGTTCCCGCGCGACCAGATCCTTCAGCTTGGCGGCTTCCTTTACGATTTTCTCTCGAAAGGCGTCGTCATCCAGTGCATCGAACGGGTGCACGAGGTTGACGTCGGGGTCTCGTGGGAGCAGGAGGGTGTGCACCGTGGCTTTGGGGAACATGTCATGGATGGCGACAAAGTCATCGCTGTATGTGATGACGCGCGCGGAAGAGGCGGGATCATGGAGGTAGGCACCTAGACCCGCGCGGTCCTTTGAGGGATGGAGCTGGGCGCGTGCGTGTGTTCCTGGCGTTGGCAGGCGTGGTTTGGGGGACATGAGCTCCGTGACTACGATGATGCGTTAGGACTGTGGTCTGCGCCTATATGGGGATCACCAACAGGCATTCTTGGGTGGCTCTGTGGCGCGAATCTCTTCTTCTGTGATGGCTTCTTCGGGCTCTCGATTTGAGGGTGGCATTCTGCCGTGGTGAGGTGATGTTTGCTGTTGTTGTAAGACTCAGGTCGTGGTGCAATGGTGTACGTATAGGTGCTATAATCACTGTCGACCGGAACATGGTCCACGCCAACCATTTTCATGCTAGCATCTACAAGTGGGAAAAGAAATATTGATCTCATGTGGCCCTGATAATTCATTGCATAGTAATTCCTTTACATTTCAGACAGTCGCAGCTTTGCATGCAGCCGTGAGTCTGGGTGTGCAGGGTATCCAAGTCCACCCAACGACTTGGTACTTTTCTCTACCTCTATGTGTGCCCAAACATCATCATGAATCCAATCCATCTAACTGTATCAATTTGGTGACCAGCTTGATGACCTCGCGGTCACCAACCTCAACACCGGGATTCCTGACCTTTTCTGCAATGAGGTCATCCACCAGGCCCCTCAATCTCGCGACGAGCACGCCGATTCGCGCCCATCCGCGAAGGCGTAGCCAGCCGTCAACCAACAACCCACGTCCGAGTGTATCCAGCTCGATCGAGCCACAGAAGAGGAGCAGCGTGTACGCATTGAAAGCTATAATCATGTCAACCGGCGGGTCCACTGTGCGGTAAAGAAGTGACTGGACTTACGCGTGAGATCTCGAATGAAGACCTTGCTGGTGGAGATGATGCTAAAGTATGACATGTAGTTGGCATGGCCACTAAACGACTGGCTGCCAAACAGTGTGCTGCCGGGGTGCACAAACACCCGCCCGTTCTCTTGGTTGAAGTACTTGATCATCTTCGCTTCCGGGTCGAGCTCGACAGCGCCCGACACAGACGAGGCAAACTTCTTGTCCGGATACTGAATCCTGGCCACCTGCGGCGTGAAAGCGGCGGCAAGGAGGGCCCGCAGCAGGTGCGGATTGCGGTCACCCGTGGGAGCCTGTCGGTTGTGCGAGATGATGCCGATTTCGACAAGAGCCGAGAAGTACTGCGACCGCGTGCTGGCTATGTCGGACAACGTATTGTACGCGAGGAAGTTTTGATCGCACCAAGACCGAACTTCGCGTTGGCGCAGGCCTTCTTGATACATGGCGTCCCACTCTCGGAAGGCCTCGAGATCGGTGAGAAGATCACCATGTCCATCGTAGAACTGCATCCTCGCCTCCTTTGCTTGTTCCCTCCGCTCTTGGGGGGACAGGAAAGGACTCCTAGTGCTGAGGATGGCGGCGATGGTGACGCAGTCATCAAGACAGCCGAAGATGGCGCCAAAGACCATGAGTTTTCCACAGCGTAGATCTGCTGGCAACATGGCAAGCTGCTGTCCCATGGCTGTCAACTCGTCCCCATCCAATGCGCCCATGCGTCTCAGTAGCGTCAGAGCACCCTCAATGGCAGTCGCGTCTGGCGGTGTAGGCGATCGGCCCAGGAACATGGCCACGTCTCTCATGCCCATGGCGCGCACAGAGAGACACAGTTGTTCTAGGGGCACTCTCCTGATCTCGGGCTCCGGCCTTTCCGCCATCTGTGCCTCAAGATTCCGCGTGTACAGCTTGTAGCACTTGCCCTCCTGGACACGACCAGCACGTCCACGGCGTTGCTTGCAGGCTGCTCTCGAGGCCCAGGTCTCCTCCAACTTGCGCATGTTGTTCTGCGGGTCGAAAGACGTCTCCTTGACCTTTCCACTGTCGATGACCGCGACAATGTCATCGATCGTGATGGACGTCTCTGCAACGTTGGTGGCCACGACAACTTTGCGCTTGTTTGGCGGTGGGCTGGCAAAGACGCGTTTCTGTTCCCGAGTCTCAAGAGATGCATGCAAAGGAAGGACGTGCAGGGAGTTGATGCCTTGGAGGGCGCGACACGCGGACGTGATCTCCCCGACACCGGGTAAGAAGATGAGAATACCGCCGTCCTTGCCTTCGTAGTCGAGCTCGGCGTCAATGGACTTGACGGACTCGACAATCAGATTGTAGTTGACCCTCGAGCCCAGCTGCTGGATGACTTTGCCCATGCCCTCGTCTGTAAGAGAGGGGGCATTCTCACCATAACTGCCCGTGAAGCCGGTATAGCGAACAATGTCGTCTAGATAGAAATCCTCGACGGGGAACGTGCGTCCAGAAATCTCCACGGTGCCAACTCTCAGACCTTCAGAGCTGAAGTAGTTCTTGAACGTGGCGGCATCGAGAGTGGCAGACATGAGGATCAACTTGATCATGTCCTTCCTCGACCGCATCACCTCACGCAGGAGGTTGAGCAGGAAATCGGTATCCAGGCTGCGCTCGTGGACCTCGTCAATGACCACGTGGGAGACATCTTGCAAGGCCGCAACGACATCTTGCACATTCCCACCGGAAGTCTGCAGACGACGCAGCAAAACACCGGTAGTGACGAATGTGATCTTTGTGTCCTTTGATCGCTTCGACTCTCCTCGAATAGTATAGCCAACCTCGTCTCCGACTTTACCGCATCGCTCTTCAGCAACTCGATCGGCAAGACCCAGAGCAGAGATACGTCGCGGCTGCGTGACGATCATGTTCGCACACTGGCCGAGTCCACGGGCATAGAGGTCGTCTAGGAGGAATTGCATCGACTGCGTCGACTTTCCGGACCCGGTCTCTCCACTGATGATTGTGACATGGTTCTCGTCCACTGTCTGCACAATATCTTCCTGGACCTGCCAAGCAGGCAGCTTCCGCCTCTTGTCTAGCATGGCACGAACCGCCGGCAACTGCTGCCGTTGACGCCATCGCTCCTTGCTCTGCTGATCCGGCACCCATTGTATCGGCCTCGGCGCTTTCTGCGCCCTCTTGCCTCGAGACAAGGACGCGGCAGGTTGTGCCTCGGAGGCGGCCGAGGACACAGCCGAGATGTCGACCAGTTTGCCGGGATTCTCGATGATGCCGTTGATTTTCTGTTGCAGCCAGTCCACCACCAGGAAGATCTTCATGGGCTCATCGCGGAGTTGGTCATTCATGTAGGCCAACGCCTTCTTGATGATACTCAACTTGATGTAGCTGGGCAGATTGGCGACGATGGCAAGGATGAGCTCCTTTGGGTACAGCGGTGCCATGCGAACCTGCAGAAAGGCATCGACCTTGCCTTGTCCAGCATTCTTGACGTCCGGAAGTCGGATCTGAATGAGCTTGTCGTTCTCCCGCCGAAAGTCCTCGCCGTACATGGCCTCTAAGCTGGCGACTTCTTCAGACCACTGCTCTTCCGGAGATCCCATGTCCAGGAAGTCTGCGTCATCGTCACCTTCTGATGTGGGCTTTTCGTCGGCGCCACTGTTCAGGAGGAGTTCCTGTAGAGCGTGCGCTGCGGCGCCCTCGTCGCCTCCCCTTTCGTCTACCATTCTTGTGCAGAGCTCCAAAGAGTACCCCGTCTGCGCAAGTCTCTTGATGATGCCCTCCCGCTTCAGATCCGTGGTGCCTATGGAGACACCGACTGCGTAGCTTTCGGGGAGCGCCCATCGCGGAAGGTCGTCTTCGGGAACGTGAATGAGCAGCCACTCCAAGGTCTCTTCTCGATCCTTGCAATACTCCACCGCCTCACTGGCGTGGCTCTGTCGGAATCCCAGTTTTACCAGTTCAGTCACCACGGAATTTCTCTGGTCTTTGGTCATCACCACCCCGTGAGGATTCCACGAAATGCCTTTCCGTAGGATAGACTCCAACTGTATCCTGGTCAAGCGTCCCATTTCGACCTTTGGCGCTGTCGTCCAACCCTTCATCATGTTCGCGCGACCCCCGTCCTTCTGGAGAAGCGCTAGACCAGAGGCACCAGGCATGTCCTTGGCCTTTTGTTTCGCCTGCTCCATCTCCTTTCTTCTCTTCTCCGCAGCCTGCTTTGCTTCTTCTCGCTCACGATGCGTCTTGAACGGATCGGCATCATACTGCCATGCCTTGCCCTCCTTCACGTCCGCCGCCTTCAGCGCCTGAAAGTCTTTCCATAGAGACTTGTAATCTGGCGGCAGCACAGTGTGCTTGTTTTGCATGCTGCAAACCCGAAACAGGGCATATGTCGCCGCAGCATGCTTCGCCTCCAGCGCCGTGTCCCGCATAATGAGATGCTTGTGGCTCGCCGGGATCTTGAAGGGCTCTAACCTCGTGGTCTCCTGCGTTTTGGGATCCTTGGCGCTGAGTGTGATCATCACGGAGAACCCCTCGGGGGTCTTCCTCGTGTCGAACACGGGCTTGTCCCATTTTTGCTTCTGGCAGTACTCGGAGAAGAGATTGACAGGAAGTTTGCCGGTCCATGACGAACCGCCAATGATCTGCTTGACGGTTGGTTTGGGGGGACCCGGTGGCGGCAGCTGTTCCTCCTGAGCGGGGGCCTTCTTCCCTTTCTTGCCATCCTTGGCGGGTGCTGCTGCTGATGCGGGAGCAGGAGGCTCAGCCTTTGACTTGCCGCTCTTTTTCACCATGGTGGCGATGGTGAGGTGTGCAGATCGAGCGTTGGGTCCGAGACGCCAGTTTCTCCTGCGACGACATAGACTAGATCTCAAAGAATGTCTGTAGTGGACGCGCTTTCAGACAATTCTAGTCATGTGGAATAGCGTAGGATCCGTGTGGCAGGGTCTGCCTCGCGCGGTGCTGAGAAGGAAGATGCGATGAGGGTCTTGTAAATCTGTCTAGTCGTTGTAGTCGGAGTCAGAAACCTTGACCGTTTACGCACTGTGCTATACTAGGCTGTAGGCGTAGCACGCACAGTGCAAGCCAGCAACTTGAGCGAGTCGGGCCACGGAAGATTTTTGGTGAATATTATAGTCATGGCACATCTGCATAAACATCACAAACTTCACAGGCACAATCAGACGGGGTAACGTATTCAGGGATTGTTTTGTTGCTACGGCTCAACTACCTCCAGCCACTTGGCTGTTCGATTATCCGCAGTTATGGCTCATTCGCTAAGCAAGGTACACTAGCACCAGCCTTGATATCAAGTCGCTTATTTTGAGCTTCACAGTTTCCAGTACATCTCATCATGCTCTGGTCATCCACCTCGTGATCGTCATCATTTGTACAGGCTGGAGCTTTCAAGCTACCATAGGGCCTGCTGTATATTCAGTGCTGTGCTGTGCTGATCAACCTCGCAAAAGCACCTCAGCATCATGGTCGGGAATAGGGGTTGGGGGATTGATGCGTGCGAATTGGACGAGCGCCACCAGGGGCATCAGTGCCCTCGTCAGGCCCAGATGATCGCTCAGAGTCCGTGGACATGGCCGGTCCCGGACGTGGCGCGTTAACGCTGGAGAAAAGCCCGGTGCTCTACATGTCCATGGAATCGCCACCGTTGGCAAAGTTGAAGCCGCCGGACTGCTGCTGTTGTTGCTGCTGCTGTCCGCCGAAACCGAAAGCGCCGTTGGCGCCCTCAGGCTGAGCCATGCCCTCGTCAACATTTTCGTCCTCGTCCGAGAAGTATTGCTCGATGATCTTGTATGCCTTGAGGTAGATCTCGCCATTGGCGTTGTTCTGGCACTCGTGAATCTTCTCCATACCACCACAGTCCTCGATGAACAAGGCGTAGCGGTTGACGGCCTCGCCAGAGCCCTCGGCCGCTTGCTTGTCGAGGTCACCAATCTTCAGAATGTTCTCCAGCCCATCGAGGGCAACCTGGATGATCTTGTTGTCGGGGCATCCAAGAAGGTCGCACAGTGGCTTGATGCAGCCCTGGGAAACAAGGTAGCGGATCTGCTCAGGCTTCTGGAGACCACCCGAAGTGGCATTGCTGATAGCCCAGCAAGCCTCCTTGCGGGTCTTGAGGTCACCGTGCTGGAGCAGGTGGATCAGAGGAGGGATCAGGTTGGCGTCAATGACAGACTGGATCTGGCCGGCATTACCAGCAGTGATGTTCGAAATGGTCCAGCAGGCCTCCTTGCGGATACCGTCCTTCGTCGAGCTCAGCAAGGAGAGCAGGCAAGGCAGGGCACCGCAGTTGATGATGATCTGTGTTTGGAGATCGTCGCCAGTCACAATGTTGCCGACAGATCGGAGCGCAGGAGTCTGCACAGACGTGGAGGCGTGCATCAGCAGCTCTGTCAGGCGGCGAGGAATGCCAGCCTCGATGACAGCTTGGATCTTGTCGTTGGAGCCGTCCGAGAGGTATGACACGGCCCAGCAGGCATCAATGAGCACCTCATCATCGAGGGAGTAGACAAGCTTGGCGAGGATGGGGAGTGCGGGGGCGATCTGTCATTATTTTAGCGAAGAGCGAACGAGATACTATCAATGCACGTACCGTGGCCCAGTCGGGCTGGGGAGTCTTGCCACGGCAGAAGTTGCTGAGTGTCCATGTTGCGTTACGGAGCATGGACAGCTTGCGGCTGTCGCCAAGCAGGTTGAGCAGCGGCTTCAGAGCGCCACAGCTGAGAACATAGTCGCGGCAATGCGGGCTATCGCCAGCAATGTTACCGAGGGCCCATACAGCTTGCTCGCGAACGTCGGGTTCAGGGCTGGCAAGCAGCTCCACGAAGATGGGCACAGCGTTGGCCTCGATGACGACCTGGGTTTGCGCGGCAGAACCGGAGGCAATGTTGGTTAAGGCCCACGCAGCCTCGAATTGGACCAAGGTGTGAGGCGAGTTGAGGAACTCGACGAAACGGCTCACGACGCCAGTCTTGATGACCTCTTCGATGGGAGGGTTGCGTTCCTTGCTGAGCAGCTTCCTGAACTTGGTGGTGGCCGAAATTTGTTGGTCAATCTGATCCGAGAAGACACCGGCAACCATCTGTGGGAGATCCTCGTTCAACTATCAATCAGGGTCAGTCAATGTCTCGAGTTGGCAACAAGGGTGATGGGCAGCCAGGGTCAGGGACTCAGGGTCAGTGCACAGGGTACTGTGGGGTGCGCAATAAGACTAGGGCGTCTGTTGCCCCCTCCACCGGCCCCTCGACCCCCTCCTAGTGGAAGATAACAAAATAAACTGCAAGAGCTCCAAACAACAGAGCGCGGAACCGACGGGCAGGATATTGATTCTGCCTTACCTGTGACTCAGTGGGCGCGGTATCATCGTCGCTGTCGGGGGCAGCACCGAGCGACGCACCGGGACGGTCAGCGCCTGTTCCAATGCCACGACGCTTGGCCAAGTTCTCCTCGCGCTTTGCCTTGCGAATCTCGACCTGCTGTTCCTCGCGACGGCGACGAAGCTCCTCCGGCTTGAAGGCGCTCTTCGCCTTGAACTGCGTCCGGCGATGCTCGGGAATGTATCGTTCGGCCATGGTGGCGGCTGTTTGATCAAGTACGGTAGGATGGAGGGCGGTCAACGGGTACGGGCCAGGACGGCTGTGAACAAAGAGAAGTCGAGGGCCGCGAAAGGGGCTTAATGGGGATATGTAAGAGTTCCCACAATACGAAGGGGTGAGTGACTCGCAACCGGGCTTGTGGTTTGCAAATGGTTGGAGCGTGTTGATGCAGAAGACAGAAGAAAGGTAACAAAGTTTGAGTGGAGGGGAAGCAGCATTGGGTGGGGTCCCTATCAAGTGCGGCCAGAATGACTGGACTGGAAGCTGGACGCGGGCTAATTAACGACTGACGTTTGCTGCTCCTCCAATTCACATCAGCTTGTGAATGTAGCACCGGCAGACCCCTCTGTGGGATGGTCGAGTACGCACACGCCTCCACCGCGACGAGGCGTACGTTAGTACTAGTTAGCAATCGTACAAGCCGCTTCTGACACATCTATCTAGTAGTACGAGGCGGATGTCGAGCCAAAGTTTGAACACTCCGAAGGTACAGACATTTGCACGGGAAATGCGCAATGCTGCGTGAAGCTGTAATTACACTGGGCACGTTGCCCACTTGTGGGTGGAGTAAGTAGACTATAAATAATGGCGCACTACACCAAGATCTAACAAAACTACACTGCCGGCTTATTTTGTCAGTAGAAGCTACTCACGCTAAGCCTTTCTCGATGACGGGAATGTGCGATAGAAACTTTGGACGCCTTAACCGAGAAGGTTACCACTGGCGCTCTTCGACTACTATTGCAAACATCTCGGCACTCAGGCTGATTCAGATGCCATGTCTGTGTTTGGCATCTGTGCTACACGGTGCACGTGGGATGTAGGTAGTGTGCGCTGCCGTCTGGCTGCGTCGTTCTGCAGTGCATTGCCGTCCTTCGAATTTAGGCCCCATCAGCCTGGGGAAAAGAATCAGGCTTGGGATAGGATAACTCCTTCGCAAACGCACCATGCATTCAAATATGACTTGAGAACTTATGAAGCTACGACTTTGGCACTTTCCTACATGCCATCGCAGGCGGGGTTGAGAGAAGGGCCAAGAAGCTTGAGTTCCTAACCCAAGGTACTATCCAGCCTTGCTGGAGATTTAGTCACGTGATAACACGCGCTCTTCGTGGCGGACACAGACGCGCTCCGGTAACGCGTCTTTAGTGCTTCACGCTCAACGCCCAAGGCGCAATAAACCATTCTTCACTGTTACCGTGTGAGTCTTGCTCCAAGGTCTGCAGTGAATTTGTCGATCCGAGAGATGGCCTCCGCCCGTCAGCCGTCAGCCACGAAGCTGGCGTCCACTGATCCGAGTCGACTGCCTGATGGCTTCAAAGCAATCCGGCCCATACTCGACGGCAGTTTTGGCAAGATGGCCAATGTCATGGGGGTTGTTGTCGATGCCATGGCACCAATTGCCACAGGAGGCAAAGGCGAGATGTTTTCCTCATCTTGTCGAAGACGCGTGGCTGATATTTGCAGATTCAAAGTCCACTTGTAAACTCATCGACACCACCGTTGACGGATTGAACGAAGTCGACTCTCTTGATTTCTGCCTCTTCCGCCCTAATAAGGATGACCACCCAGAGTTCAAGTGCGGTGATGTGGTCATACTCCGGAGTGTAAAGGTGAGCAAGGACGAGTGCCCATGTCCATGGCCAAGCTGAAGCCCAAAGACACAATCGCACCGTGGCGGCCCCATTTCGGTTCTGTCCAACTACAACACCAAGATTTGTGTGTTCGATTCAGCTAAGATTCGAGGGGACCCTCAAAACCCATTTGCAGCTTTACGACCGGTGGTCACGGAGGACCAATGGTCACCATCGCCCCCCGAATGTGCACACGCAGCGTGGCTTTTACAGAACGTCAATCAACATCGCATCCCCACTGTCGAGGAATTCCAGACAATGGTCGCACAGTCGGCGACTTCCCTGGACAAGTTTCGTGTGCTGCAGAACGTCGAGCCGGGTAGATTCTACGATCTCATCGTCAAGGTAGCGCGCAAACCATACGATTGGGGGGACAAGGTCACGCTGTGGGTGACCGACTACACGGAGAACCCTGCATTCTACCGATTCCCGGAACGATCGAGCAACGGTCTCGCCGACACCCAGGGGAACCCTGACGGGGACCCCTATGGGTACTGCTCCAAATTCATCAACACGGACAACATTACGACCGCGTCAGACGCTATGCCAGGGCAGCGCAGCCTCCAAGTCACCTGTTTCGAGCCACATGCATCTGCGATTCGCGAGGAAAATATTGATAAAAACGCCTGGGTATCCATGAAGAATGTGCAGATTAAGTATGGCAACAATCAGGCGAATCTAGAGGGGTTTCTCCGCGAAGATCGCGCTCGAGGGTCCAAAATCGGCATCTCGCAAATTGACCTCGACGAGCTTCGTCGAAAAGAGCTGAATCCAACTACCGACCAACGGCTGAGAGACGCCCTGAGGCGTAACCGCGACTACGAGAAACAGAGAAAGGAGTCTGACGACTTGATCGCGCAGGCAGCGCAGGCTGGCCAGAAACGCAAGGCCTCGCCAGCTACTGGAAATGGTGCCACTGCAGAAAACGCAAAAGCCCGACGTCGCAAAAGACGGATGAAGAAGCAAGAAGCTGAGGTCGCAGCACAGGCTCCCGCAAACGGCGGCGACGAGCGCAGAGTCCAACCCATTCATCAGGCCGCGGGCAGAACGCTGGAGGTCAAGAAGGAGGAGCCTTCGCTTCCAACGTTGGATTTGAACACATTACGTAGGCTGGCCGTCGCTGATTGCCACTAAACGCTTGCTAACGGGAGAACAGTGAAATGCGAGCACTCGTCGGAGCCACCAAGCACAGTCGCCAGTATCCTCAAAAGGCACATCATCCGGACGGATGTTGACGACGAAATGGTAGATCTTACTCTGCCATTCGTCTGCCGAAATCACCGCCTCGATGTCCGCGTCGTAGACTACTACCCACACGACATGCGCAAGTTTGCTCGGCCGAAGAAATTGGCCCAGTTTGACATGCTTTCGGACAATGAGGAGTCGGACGAGGGAGACTCCGACACAGACATGGACTTTGGGGCCCATGACGCGCCCTATGAGTGGGAATGGCGATTCTTGCTCTTACTGGAAGACGCGAGCATGACTGCCGCTGGAGGCTCTCGCGAGCGGGTCTGGGTGTTCGTTGACAACAAGGCCGCACAATGCCTCATTAACCTTGATGCCTCCAACCTGTATCGCGAGGCGGATGACTTGAAAGCCCTGCAGGAAGCCATGGCCGTGCTGTGGGGGAACCTCCCCCAGACCAAGGAGCCCGCCCTCGCTGCTCAACGAGCGCGGCCGCGGACGCTGGCTGACGCGCCTCCCCCTGACAGCTCAGATGCTGATAACCAAGGCGGCAGCCCTGTCCAACTTGACAACAAGCCATGCAACTGCTGTGTCAAGCAGTATGGTGTCAAGCTTCGCGACGATGACCCCGACAAGTGCAACGCAGGCGATGGGTTCCGTTGGGAGCGCATGTTTGGTTTGTACGGTACACGACTGACGCTCCCGGTCTGAGCTGGGCTTGGTCCTGGAGGTACAGCGTGATGATCGAGCGATTTTTGTATGTATAAGTCGATGTTTATGTATAATTGTATAGGATAAGGATATGGTACGAGGGAGTCTGTATAAATAAGGTGTATTCAATCCGTCAGAACACTGTCAGAGATGTCTCTTTGCTAGTTCGATCTTGCGATGCAGTAGCGACGTCCAGAATGCATCGGGCTGGCTGGTCACCTCTCCTTTCAAGTACCACATTGGCAGACTATGCGAGCACAATAGTACGTAATAACATTGATAGCTGAGTACGCGTGACAGCACCGAGACTTTCCTGCAACGCCAGTCGTTCCAAAGACACCAACTGCATCCTGCTATGTACACCAGACTGCCAACCCAAATCGAACTGACAGGCTTCTTTCTTTCTTTCCTCGCCTGCCGCCACATCGAGCAAGCAACCAACGCAGATCCAAGAGCAAAAGGTATAGTTTTGTCATCATCAATCGCCGAGAATATCATCATCTACATCGTTATTCCTCTGAGGCGGCGCGGCCTCGTCAGGCTCATCGTCGATGGGGTCAAAGTCCAGCCCAGCAGCCTCCCTGTCCCGCTCGTCGCCCGAGGCGAAGGGGTCGTCGTTATCGGCTGCCTGTTCTTCGTCCTCGTCGTCATCATCGATGGGCTCGGGTTCTCTGGCGGGCTGCTGCTCACTCTCCTGGGCCGTCGTTGTGGACTTCTTGGCGGCCTGGGCCGCGCGAGGGAGGGCGTTCTTCTTGTCGAGATGGGCAACGACATCACTAAAGTTCTTGCCGAGCTTGTTGCGGTTGCGCAGCAGACGTTTCCTGAGCCGGCCTTTGTACGCCCCCGAGCTATCAAGGAGCTTGAGGTTGATGCACACGACCAGGAATGCTGTGAGTCGACAGAGTGCTTTCTCGGCCTGCAACTGGCGGGCCAGTCGTGCGTGCTCGCTAAGGCCGGCTTCGTCCTCGTCGTCGTCTTCCTCCTCTTCTTCCTCGTCATTGATGGGCTCTTCGTCATCAGCTGGTGCGTTGAGGTGGACGCGTTTGCTTCGCTTGGCGAATGCCTTTTCGGCTCCCTCAAAGATCGAGAAGATCTCGGGCACAAGCGTGGGCTCAATCTCGGGTGCGAGAAGCTCAAGCTGGTCAAGCACATCGCGCTGTGCATCGTTGGCTGCAGTCGAGCGACGTTTGCTGATGTGCTCGCGAAGACTAGAAAAGAAGACGTGGAGCTCACAGAGACAGCCTGTGGCAAAGATCCGGAGCTCATCGACTGCCGCCCTCGAAGAGAGGGTGACGATGGTGTGGCGGCGGTACTTCTGCCGCAGGGAAGAAAGAAGATTGACGTCTGAGATGGACGGGTAGTTGCCGTCGCCGAGGAGCTTGACCAGCTGCTGGACTCGCCACATGAAGTAGAATCCGCAAGCCTTCAAGGCATACGAGACGACCTCGTCCTCGAGATCGTCAATCTCCTCATCATCCTGAGGATCGTACTTGCCGCGATTGATAGTCTCGAGCAGAATGTTGATCACAGATGTATCAGGGTCTTCGGCGTCGGTCTGAGCATCGAGGACGTCGACGCAGCTGGCGATACCGGCGAGGCGGCTGATCTTCATGATGACGGTGGACAGGCTCTGCAATGAGTCTGCGTCCAGGTTGCCTCGCTTGCTCAGCTCGCACTTGGCATTAATGCTGCGTAACGACGCAACGCAGGTGTCCCAGAGGTTGTCAAGTCGCTCATCCACAAGCTCCTCCGAGTCCTCGTGCTGTCGCGCATGCAGCAGCGCATGCACTGTCCTGGACACAACACTAGGATCGTTGTGTCGAGTGAATTGCGTGCACATCTCGTCGAGCAGCTTGGCATACTTTGTACTGCCTGACCTGAGCTGGCGCGACATGGAGATGTTCAGGTAGTGTTCCAGGTGCAGCACCGTGCTCGCAGGTTCGGGGTCGGCGCCGAACTTGTTCAGCAGCCGAGGGATGATATTGAGCAATGCTTCGGCAATCCTTTCCTGGGCCGCAGGCGCCTCCATACGCTGCCCGCGTCGTTTGCCCTTATCGAGCTCGGCCGTGTGCTCCAGATCCGTCTTGATAGCTGCTACCAACACTTTGAGGAGGATGGCCTCTTCAGCGGATTCCGGGGCGACAGCTTTCTTGAAAGCGCTTTCGTGCGACGCGGCTTTGGACCTGGAGGCCGACTTTTTGCTCGTCGTGTGGTCGTGCATCAGATAGCCGGCCAACAGCTGCCAGTCTCGCACCTCGTCGAGCTTGTCGTAGAGGACTTGGGCTGCGAGAGAGACGCGGGTTTCTGGAGGGTCTGCGCCCAGCAGGTCCACTGCGACAGCTAGACGGATAGGACGGTCGTCCTTTTGGCGATCTTCAATTTGGGCGTCATAGGCAGCCAGTGTCTCGGCGAGGCACTTAATGCTGACCCATTCTCTCCTTGGGGATTCGTAGTCATCTTCCTCGACGTGATCATACTCGTCCAGCACTTCGCTGCCTCCAAGCTCGTCGACTTTGCTCTCGTGTGCCTCCTCAATACAAGCAACGAAGAACCCGACGACGGCCCTGCGGACCCTGGGCTCGCTGTCGAAGATGAGTTCGCCGATGCGGTCAATCTCGGCTGGCTCCAGCAAGGCAGCCTCCCGCAGAGCGTCGACGACGGAGATGGACGCAACCCTTGGGGCGACATCCTTGTCGCTTGTGGCCATTTCCACGATACGCTCACGGAATCGGTCGACAAAGTGACCGAGCTGCGCAGCATCTCTCTTAAGCACACGTCCGAGTTGTTTCAGCACCTCTTGGCGTGTGGTGAGGTTGGTGTCCGAGAGCATCCAGCCAAGATAGCGAAGATAAGACGGCTCCATGAACGTAGTGGGCAGGTCCCAGATCCAATTGCCCAAGGCCTCCACGCACTCTGTGCGAATGATTGGGTCGGTGTCGCGGTAGCGGTGCACAAAGACCGTATCGAAGAAAGACTGGATCGTGTCACTACAGAATCCGCGATATTCGGTTGCCTCGTTCAGGTTGAGTCCGATCTCGAATGACTTGGCCTTGGCCGTGGACCGCTTGGACGCCTGCAGCTGCTGCTCGATTGTCGTGATGCGGTAGTCGAGGGTGTGCGCCACGGCGACGAGGCCGGATGTCACTGCGAGGGCGACAGTGGTGCCCGTGTGGCGGAAGGCTCGCAGTGAGGATGAAGACATACTCGAGAGCCAGGCGTGCAGGTTGTCCATGAGCTCCGGGTCCTTGTAGAGAACCTCTGATTCGTGCAGGACATCCACGAGAACCTTGAAGAATCCCACGAGCAATTCGCGAAACGTCCTGGTCGTCCTAGCCTTGGATATCAACGGATAGTCCACTTCTTGTTGCTGGAGAGCGTTAGCAGGTTGCTCCTCAAGACTCCAACATGGACGACCTCGTACCTCCAGGTAAGTATCTTGCAAGTCTGTCAGTCTGTTGGGAATGTTGTCCGGATCTTGGACGTCGTCAATGGTCACTTCATGCTCGCAGCCGACGCATTGGAGAATGCAGTTGATGAGGCCCAGTAGCGCTTCATTGCGGTCCTGGCGGTATCTCTCGAGCCATTGCTGAGCGACCATTCCACACGTATCGCCAGATCCAAATATTTCAGCTACCCATGGTCAGCAAACCCAGTTTCTGCGTGAAAAACGCGCTTGACTATACCGTATAGCCCCGTGTTCTTGTCGCCCGTATCGAGTCGCGCGGACCTTTTCGGCATTCGAGGGAGTGTGATTGCGCGATTCGCGCCAGAGGCGTGAGCGCCGTTGGTCTTGGGTTTCTTGACCGCCGGCTTCTTGGAGCGCGATAGCTGCGCCTTTCGCGCCCTGCGGGATGAGGCGGGCTCATGATCTTGGTCCGACGCACCGCCGTCCCTGTCACTTGATTCGTCGCTGTCCTCTTCGTCGAGCTCGGGGACGTCATTCTCATCATCCTCGGCATCGTCGTCGCGTTTGCGCTTCGAGGCCTGCGTGTTGGATGGTTCTGGCGCGAACTTGTCGGGGACCCTGGAGACGCGTCCCGAGCGACGACGCGCCGCAGCGTCGGGATCGGCACTGGAGGTTGCTGCGTTGTTGTCCATGATCTGTCGCAGAGGCTGGCGCTCTGACGGCATCTGCAGATGCTAGACCCGAGAGCGGGAGAGGGAGTTCCTGTTCTTTGCGCGATTGGTGAGGAGCTCAACTTCTCACGGTGGCACCCGAGACTTGATTGAGCGGGACACTTTGCAGGGCAGGCACGTTGATGGTGCCACTTGCCCAAGTGGGTTTATTTTGGCGGTCGCCTCCAGTCCCCTGTAACCGTGACGGCGCGTGTCCCTGGCCAGGGCCCAGCTGCCCGTCGGGCCAGCATCGGATACTCTGGCCAATCACTGCACGTGGTCGCTGCCTCTATCGCGATAAGCTGTCATTCACTTCTGCTCCACTACGAACACTGGCACTCGTTCATCGCATACAGACCCAATGCCGTGTCCAAGAATTGGTGATCGAGTCTCGGGACTCAATTGTCTCGAGACAGGTGTATGGCAGCATTCCGCTGTGGGCTGACTTGAAAGCGAGCGATCAGTCGCGAAGTAGAGCCGATTCGCACACCCATCACTGGACCGTTATCCTCCAGCATGGGCTCACCATTTCCCACCTCCATCTCCAAAGTTGGCGAGGGACACATTGTCGTCAGCCCCCTGCCTTCGGGCGGCAATGGGCTTGAGAGCATCAGATATCAGTACCCACTGAAGCTGATCTCACCGACACCATCTGTGCACCAGAAAAGCGTGCTGGTCTTCCTTCTCTCTTACGGGGGTGGTCTCGTGGGAGGTGACCACATCAACCTCGACGTCGATGTGCGGGCTGGCGCCCTGCTGAGCGTGGTCACCCAAGGTCATACGAAGATCTTCAAGTCGGCGTCGCCAGACATTGTGACGAGTCAGAACCTCAATGTTCGGGTCCAAGATGACGCTTCATTGTGTCTCCTGCCAGATCCCGTCCAGCCCTTTGCGGACAGTGTCTACACGCAGAAGCAGATATTCACAGTAACGCCTACGTCGACATTATGCTTCCTGGACTGGGTAACGCAAGGACGGACAGCTCGTGGAGAGAACTGGAGCTTTGTCTCCTGGAAAGGCTGCAATGAGGTGTGGCTGGCTGGTCACAGTCCAGACGCGAAACCAAGGCTCCTCGTGAGAGATACTGTTCTCCTGTCGAGCCCGGACAGCGTCGTACTGGGGCGACCCTTGAGAGACGCCATGCATCAAATGGCCGTCTTTGGCACTCTTATCCTGCGCGGACCCAAGGTGCAGCGCTTGGCGGACTTTTTCATGGCAGAGTTTGCCGCTTTGCCAAGGCTAGGGGCTCGTGACTTTCGTACCATTGAGGACCAAGCGAAAGAAGACGGCCAACTGTCAGAGTTGGAACGATGGCGAGCACAGAGGATCAGGATGGAGAGGGCGCAGGGGATACTATGGTCAGCGGCCCATGTTCGAAGCTGCGTCATAGTCAAGCTCGGCGCCATGACGGTAGAAGGCGGGCGAGAATGGGTTGGAGCGATGCTCTCGAAAGAAGGCAGTGTAGAAGAGCACTTTGGAGAGGAAGCACTCATGTGCGTCAAGTAGCTGCGTATAAATTGATTTACTGCTGTTCTCCTTGTCGTTCATGTCTTTCATGCCAGGCATACAGTAGGTGGGGCGCCTCAAGGGCGGCCTCGCTTCGGACCCCACCATGGAATCCAAAAAAGTTCGAGATCCCAGTTGGAGACCTTGGGTCATTCCAACGTCCCGTTCACAACTCTCCTCAGCAGTCACTCCCTTTCATCCTCCGCTTGCCACTCGAGCCATCGCAATGAACAGAGGCTCAAGAGGCACGGCGCGTGGCCGCGCGGGCGCAGCCGCATCACGCGACGCGACACCAAGAACGACACCAGCTGCGTCGTCGACGCCCACCCCAGGTCGCACCACGCCGAGCGCACTTGGGCGGACACCGAGCACAACACGCGGAGGACGCGGCGCATCGGCGCCCACAACCGGACGCTTCCGACCCAAGAACATTAGGCGAGATGAGTCGGAGCGAGACATCATGGCGCGGGAGGAGGAGAAGAAGGCCTCTGCTCGCGCGGCCGAGGAGAAGAAAGCTCGAGGACGGGCACGAGGCAGGAGCAAGAAGACGCGAGGCGATACAATGGGGTCACGGGGCAACCGGATGGGCATGACTTCTTCCTCAGGTCTATTCTCTGGTGGTGACTGTAGGTTCTTCTGTGCATGGGCTTACAACTACGCACACTAACCGTGTTGGCAGCGAGATCTGGTGGCGGCTGGGGCGGAGGCGGTGGTGGAGGTGGCGGAGGCGGCTTCGCTTCCAGCTACACATCAGGAGGCGGGCCCTCACGAAGCAGAGGACAGGCAGGCTTCCGCGAAGGCACCTCGGCGCCCTGGGACAAGCGAATCAATGCCGACAAGCTCCACAACCCACAGCCGGATCAGGAAATCGACAGTGCGGATGAAGAGATGATGGAGGCGATTGGCAAGAAGATGGACGTCATGCCCATGGGTATCTTCCGCAAGAAACACAAGGAGACAGAGGTCGTGGTGGCGACAACAGCCGAGCTCGAGGCCGCAGAGAACGCGGGTGAGGCTGTCGCTGTGGCACCTGAGGAGGAGGAGAGCCTATGGGTCGAGGACGACACCGACCAAGACAAGCCCTCGACGACGGAGGTGACAACGGAGGATGAAGAAAAGGCCGACAGCATGCAAGGCATCGTTAAGAAAGAAGCCGAGGATGAGGACGTCATGGACCTGGAAGAGAAAGTCAAGCAAAAGGTCAAGGACGCAGTCAAGAAGGAGAAGCCAAAGGTCGAGATCAAGGTCAAGAAGCCACCCCAGGACCCCGAAGAACGGGTCATCCAGTCGGACCTTGATCTGCTGGCGGGCGAGCTCGGGGCTGTCACCATGGACGGCGGGGCGCAGACGGAGAACCCGGCAAATAAGGACGGCCGCATGTATCTGTTCCAGTTCCCGCCTCTGCTGCCGCCCCTGAAGCCGGGACCACAGCCGCACGCGGAGGGCAGGGTGAAGCCCGAGTCCAACGAGATCTCCATGTCCGACGTGCCGGCCGCGGATCCCGCGCAGGTCGACCTGACTGGAGGGAACGACGACGCGGATGGGGCCGAGGAGAACGAAAAGGGAGAAGACGACCCGGAGGAGGAGAACGGCTTCATGTCCTCGCTGCTGACGCAGGGTGGCATGGTGGGCAAGATGGTGGTGCGGAAATCGGGCAAGGTCGAGCTGGACTGGGGCGGGCGCGTCTTGGAGATGAGCCCCGCGACCGGCATGAACTTTACGACAACGGCCGTCATTGTGGAGGAGAATGACGAAAAGGCCGCGACGGGCGCCGTCGGGGGCGATGGTATCGGTATGGGCAAGATCATGGGACGCTTTGTCCTGGCACCGGTCTGGGGCGAGGAGGAGGAGTGGAACGTGGCTCCTGAAGAGCTGGTCGTCAACCAGAGTGCGGATGGCGATGCGTTATAGCAGCATGACGAATGATAATGATATATGCAGAGCTGTTGGCAATGCTGGGTCCTCTTAGAGACGTCGGTGCCCTCGACATCTGCTCAGCCTGCAAGACCTAGCGTAGTGCACTATCTTGACATTCTTGAGGCAATGGTACCCTTAGCAGCTCATGTCCCTTTTGAGCTCTATCCATGGATTGTCCCTGAACATGCAGAGTCAGAGAGCGAGACTACCAATTAACCTCTCAAATCTCTACGAGAAGGACTGGGCGTACAACCAGGGAGTGCCACCACGACTTGGGGACACGCAGATTGATGGTCTGACACAGGCCGTCTCGTGTCACGTGTACAATATAGCAATCAGTAGCGTTTAATTCACCGTACTTCAGACTGTACGGACAATTCAACCGTCTTCGGTTGTGGACCGTCAGCGGTGGTGTCGGACTATCTATCAGACACGAGGGGCGGGGCCGAACTCGGGGGGCCGATCCTTGACTGTTATCAGGATCGCCAGACTTCCAGCCAGCTATCTCCTATCTCCCTATCTATCATACCAGACCTCCAGATTGGCGATCAACTTTGCCATCAAGCTTGCGCCAAACAGGCAACCCCAGCGCAGCCAATCACCACCACCACCACCACCATGTCTCTCACCGTGCTCACTGACCGCACGGTCACAGGCCTCCTCACGTCCCTGACCGCGCCCACCCTCCAGCCCATCCTCACCAGCCTCGGGTCCGCGCTGACGACCTACGCCCTCGACGGCGCCGAAAAGGCCCACCAGCCCCACCGCGCCGTCGTCAACCGCAGTGGCCAGGTCAGCCTCTTCATGCCCTCGTCCACCACGTCGCACATTGGCACCAAGATGGTCGGCGTCACGCCCGCCGACAAGCAGACCTCCAAGACGGCCGCGGGGCTCAACAGCGTGCTCACGCTCTGTGACGAGACTGGGCGCGCTGTCGGTGTCCTCAACGCCGCTGGTCTGACGGCCTTTCGCACCGCCCTGGGCATCATGCTGCTCTATCGCTTCCGCGAGGTCACGGACAGCATCGTCGTCTTTGGCGCCGGTAAGCAGGCCCTGTGGCATATTTTGCTCGCGCTCGTCCTCAAGGGCGACGCCATCCGGGAGATTGTCGTCGTGAACCGCTCCCGGGAGCGGGCGGAGCATCTGCTGCAGAGCGTCGAGCAGAGCGGCGCGTCGACGGACAAGATCCGTATCTTTGACGCGGAGAAGGAGTCGTTGGAGGACGTCGTCACGGCGGCTGATGTGCTGTTCTGCACGACGCCCTCGACGACACCCCTGTTTCCTGCCTCGTGGCTGCTGACGGACAAGGCGAGGCGCAAGACGAGGTTCATCTCCATGATCGGGTCGTATCGGCTGGACATGCAGGAGATAGACCCCGACTATCTGCGCAAGGTTGTCGACGTCGGGTCGGAGTTGGCCAAGGATGTGCTGGGCGCACAGGTCGCGGTTGACACGAGGGATGGGTGCCTGGCCGAGGCAGGGGAGCTGGCCAAGGCCGGTATCGAGGGCGACAAGATGCGCGAGGTGGGTGAGATTCTAGACGCGCAGGAGAAAGGCTCCGAGGCTGGGCTGGATGCGTGGTTGAAGAGGGGGCTCGTGGTGTATAAGAGCGTGGGCATTGGCATCATGGACATTGCCGTCGGGTCGTCGCTGCTGGACCTCGCTCAGAAGGAGGGCGCTGGGACTACGGTCGAGGACTTTTAGACGTCTATGAAATGAATAAGTGAAATGAATAAATCGTCGACGACAATGGTGTTCTGTGTGATCTTGGTGAGAACGTGTGATGTGAGTTCTTTAAGGTTAAGCATCCAAGTGACTGAGCGCAGTAAATCACAAGAGAAAGAGGTACTTGACTTTACTAATATTGTGTGATATCATTCTAGATATAGGTATTTATGTGTATTCATCATCATGATCATGACCAGTTTCACCACGCTTCCAAAAGACAACCCAAATAGCAACGCTTGCTCCGTCTATGCACCGGTTCCGAAGAAACTCCCCCCCAAGAGACAAAAAGAAAAAAGAGTCATCGACCGCTTAGAACTTGAGCGTCTTGACACGCTGCCACAGCTCATTGCCCATGGCGCCCGCCAACTCGCCCGCTCGGGCGGCCATGCCCTTGTTCTCGAGCGATCGCCTGTACAGGTAGCCGAGGCACTCAGTCAGGGTGCCCCAGGTGAGGTACTTGTACACGCCAGGCGCGTTGGGTCCGCTGTTGTGGCCGCACTCCTCGAGGAGCTCGCAGGACACGTCGTCAGCCATGCCCTGGAGCTGGCCAAACTCGAGCAGGGCGCAGGGCTGGCCGGCCGCGACGCGCTCGCGCTGGAGCGTGAGCGCCTTGCGGACAGAGGCGGCGTTGTGGGTGGCCATGAAGAGCTGGGTCGTGGGGAAGGTCGCCTGGCCACCCTCGGGGATGTCGCAGGAGATGAGGCCGCGGGCAATCTCGTCAAAGCAGTCGTGGGTGTCCTGTGCCGTGTCGTGGATAAGGTGGCGGGGATCGGTGTCAATGTAGGCGCCGCGGACGAGCTTGATGCCGAGGGTCCAGCCCTCCTTGGAGGCCAGCTCGACGTGGCGCTTCACGTTGGCGGGGGCCGCCTTGAGGTAGGCCTGGATGGTGTTGGACATGACGGCGACGCCGTTCTTGTTGTGCGTGCGCATGAGATCAATGGCCCACTCGTCAATGGTGCCCTGGAGCATGGCCTGCTCGGCGTCGAGCCAGCAGCGGACGCCCTGGGACGACGCCAGGGCGCACACCTCGTCCATGGCCGCCTGGAGGGGGGCGGGCATGGGCTCGCCGGCCTTGAGGGCATCGAGTGCCATGGGCCCGGCACCGGTGACCTTGACGGCCAAGAAGTCACCTGCACCGAGGCACGAAAGGGTCTTGAGCAGACCATCCTTCCACTGCTCGACCATGAGGGTCTCCTGGGGTCCGTACATGAGAGACTTGATCTTCTCCTGGGCCGAGGCGGCACCGCCCTTGATGACAGTCTCCTTACCGTAGCAGAGAATGACGCCGCGGTAGCCCATGTCCTTGAGTCCAGAGATGCGCCGTTGGACCATGCCGGGGCTCATGCCCGCGCAGAACTGGTCGTAGGCGAATGCCCTGAGGAGGAAGCGGAGGAGAGGGTTCTTGGCCGTGTCGAAGAGGGCGTTTGTGGGGTGAACAGCACGGCGGAGGACCGCCATGGAGACGCTGTTGAGGAGAGGGGAGGACATGGCGTAGTTGACGGCGAGGGAGCGCAGGACGACGCTGGTGGGTAGTTTGGCCAGTGGCCGTGGTTGCTGCCTCTGGGCTGGTCGTGGGAGGCTGGCGGCAAAGGGCTCGAGTGGGAGGTAGTCGGCGCCCTGCTTGGGCAGGGCCACGATCTTGCGGGCGGTAGAGACCCGCATGGCGATGAAGTTGTCGTGAGTGCTGTTGAGGGCTGGGTGAGAGGTGTCGTGTGCTAGGTGTCTTTTTAAGTTGATGGCAGTGATGGCACTCGACAGGACACTAGTGATTAGAGTTTATTGTTGGATGGATGATGAAGAAGAACAAAGAGAGAGACGAGAGTGTGTCGGTCCAAGATGGACAGCAGTATATACCCCTTCACGATGGCCTTATCAGCAGGCAGGCGGCTGAGCTCCTCGTTAGCTCGCGCTCACCTGCCTGCCTGCCACTTACACCGACCGAAAGCCGGAGGCAGGTCCCACCCACGCAAAAGACATGTCGGTTGGTCCTTCCGACGATTCTGAGCCGGGCTCGGCGTGGGTCTGACAGCTCCCCACACTATCGCCTGCCAATCGACGCAGCCCGCGCATCGGCCCACGCGCCCATCCATCGTGTCCATCTATCTTTTATCTGTGATGCAAAGCTGCCACATGCACGCCTATCTCCGTTGTCGGTGGCCGTTCCTTCCACCTGCCGGGTTTTTTTCTATCCATTTCCATCCAAGCACACCTGGCGTGCCCGCTGGCCACTCTGCCGACGCTGGCCTGGCCACGTTCCCGATGGGAGAGAGGAAAAATTCAATGGGCCACATGATCAACGCGTCGCACGTCCATTACTCACTTTTTGGTGGTGATGATCAAATCGTTTGTCACAGATTGACTGCTGCCCGGGCACCGCGACCGACTGACTCCAGTTTGTCCAACCTAATACACCGGCCGACCACGCACGCCGGCCGCTGCAATGCTGCCCTGCCCTGCGCGCTCCAGTGTGCTTGTTCTACGGTCGGGATGTGGTGGCACAGGAGTTGTGTCACGGTTCCAGACGCTGTCTATCTGTCGCTCTGTCTACCGTATCACCGTTTTCTCGGTGAGATGCGTGGCCAGCGACTAGAGGCAACAGAGCATTTCATCTAATTCATTTCATTTGATTCAAATCTATTGTTGTACATCGGACTTCGGAGCATATCAGAGTGGGCTCCTTCCATGGACGCCAACCGAAGTTCCCCTGATCACGCCACGAGCCTCCTCAGGACAGTCGCGACTCTGCTTCGTGGCTTGGCCGCCTTCTTCGCCTCGTCCTCCTCCTCACACTGCTTTGTCCTCCTCTCAATCTCCTCGAGGCCACTCGTCAAGTCCATCTCACTCGCCCTCACGAATCGGCTGCGCGTGCCCACCTTAAAGCCGCCGTACACAGCCACAAAGATCATCAATGGCAGGTAGTTGCCAAAGAAATCGGCCGTGCTCCAGTTGCCCTGCTTGAACACAGGCCACCCGCTAAACAGCAACACTGAGGAGATGACAATGATGATCCACCACGCGCCGATTGTGCTGAAACCGCTCTTCCACGGCAGCACGCTTTTGGGCACCTGCTGCGCCTTCATGCCCGCCCGGAAGCGAAGGTAGGTCACTGCGATACACTCCCAGGTGATGACGCCAGACAGAGCGGTCAGCTTCACCAGAAAGATGAAGACACCTGCCGCACTGGACCCCACAGTCAGGAAGGCCAGCAGACCAATGCTCCAGGTGGCCAACACGGCGATCCAGGGGCAGCCCCAGCTCGTGGTTTGGGAGAAGAGCTTGGGCGCCAGGCCCGAGCCAGCCATGGCGTGCAGCGTCCGCGTGGCTGTGAATAGGTCCGAGATCCCAGCGGACAGTGCAGACGTGAGGATGCACGCGTTGATGATGTGCGGCAGCACCTTGATGCCCGCATTCTCGATGGCGATGACATAGGGACTCGCAGACGCCGTCGACGCCGAGCCCAGACGCAGCTCGTTCGAGGGCACAATGAGGCTCACGCAAAAGGCGCCCAGGAAGTAGAAGAGCACCACCCGGATCCACGTCGCCTTCAGCGCGCGCGGGACAATCACCCTAGGATTGCGCGTCTCCGCTGCGACAAGGGCCAGCATTTCCGCGCCAATGCTCGAAAAGGCCGCCGTCGTCAGGCCGGAGAAGAAGCCCAGGAACTGACCCAGTCGGCTTGGGACGTCCTGATACTGCACAAAGGGGCCCGGGTCTGTCCAGTGGCGGAACCCAATGACCTCGCCGTCGGAACCAGCACCTGCGTCCATGGCGATGGAGAGGACGATGAGGCCGACAATGGTGAGTACCTTGATGGATGACATGTAGCATTCGACCTCGGCGTATACACGCGGGCCGCACAAGTTGACACCCAGCGTGACGGCAAGACAGATGGCGATCCACGCACCGCTGTTAACGGCGTCTGTCCAGTAGGTCATCAGGACAGCTACGGCAGAAGCCTCGACGGCCGCGATGAGCGCCCAGCAGTACCAGTAGTTCCAGCTCATGGCGGCCGAGAGGCTAGGGTCGACGAAACGCGCCGACAGACGAAGATGGGCGCCCACGACGGGGAGATAGGTGACCATCTCGCCCACGCAGAGCATGACGCAGTAGACGACGGAGCAGATCACGGCATAGGCAAGCACCAGACCAACAGGGCCGGCCGTGACGAGGGCATTGCCGATCCCGAGGAAGATGCCCGTGCCTATGACGGAGCCGAGCGAGATGAATGTCAGGTGGCGCGCGTTGAGCTTGCGCTGGAGACCCTCGTTGCCGGCCGGGTCGTCGGTGCAGATCTCGACAGCGAGGTTGTTTTCTTCGGTACCCAGCTTGTCAGAATGGTAAGAGGGGGTCTCGCTGGGCAGCGGTGTCTTGGGGTAATTATGGCTATCCGTCATGATGGCTAGTTGTATTCACGTTTGGGTGTTTGTCGGACGGTAGGTTGCAAGGGTACAGTTCTACAGATATTCTAGAAATCCTGGACCCCAGTATAAGGTAGGTATTGTATACTCGGACCTTGAGAAGCAAAAGAAAGCCATTATAGCTTCCAAAGTTAATAATATTCACCCCGAACTGATAATATTTTAGACTTCACCACGGTTGCTAAGTGAGTTTTGCTGGACGCTGTCACTCAACGGGGTCTCACGTGATTGATTGTCTTCAGTATTTTTAATAAATTGCACTGAATAATCATCATTGCTTCGTCAGGAGAGTGACAATATATACAGACCCCTTGAGGATCGGACCTTTGCGTATCACACCGCAAGCGTCCGGATCAGCCTCAGCACATCTCTCCTTGACGCTATGCAGTGTCCATGTCATGCCAGAGGGCACTATGCGTCTTACAAATCGCACGGCGTCATCTTCTTCCACGGAGATGCCAAATTTACAATAGCCCTCTCACCGAGCATACTCACCAAAACATCACCGTCTTGAAGACGGTCAGGTTGTTCTCTCACCGTTGCGGGTCGGGCACGTGCGGCGCGCTTGGCCGTCCTGCACGGGCAGGGTAGTCTCGGGCCGGGGCGCGGCAAGCTGCTGCTGAGCCTGCAGCATGCATCCATGGTGGGGGGACCAACAGGAGGGGGTGGGTGTCTTGACTCTTGTGCTTCCTCATCCTTCGCAGCCATGGCAAAAGATAAGAAGAGTCAAGAAGATAGACTTCCCCGTCTTCGTTTCCCCGCGCTAGGGGGACGTGCGCACCTGGTGATGCAGCATGGTGATCCGACGGAGGCAGTGCCCTGTCCCCGGGGTTCCTACGAGGTCAGATGATTCGATTAGAGTCGGCGCCAAAGAGGTGCCGCACGCATGGTAATTGTAATCATAACTCGCTCTTTTGTTTTCCCCAGATCAGACCGAGACGCGAGGGCTGGTCTAGAAGCGGCATGTTCATGCAGAGCTTGCACAGAACGTTCCTAAAGAGGAACATGCAATTCTGGGAAACCAAACCACCCCCACCGTATTCCCGGGACAAAAGGGCATCATCTGACCAGAATCCCTTATCTCTGGACACACTCTGGTCTGCAGGCACACACATGCCGCATTGGGCCAAGCTGCTTCTCGCGGACGCATCGGGCCCACAAACCGATGACACGTCCGTGCCGACGTCTTGGCTCTGTCGGAGCGCCGGAGTCGGCTCCACAAGCCGACTTTTCTCGGTTCGCTATCTCTTCTTCTTCAGTCTTTGTTTGCGTCGGTTCGCTCGGAGAAGAGCCTCCGGTGGAGCCACGACAGAAAAACCTTGTTTGACAGTTAATTAGTCAAGGGGGTGGAAGATCGGTGATATCGTGCAGGAGCAAGACACGGTTGGCTGACTTGGGTCACGACAAAATTTCTTCTCAAACGTCAATCGATGGGGACGTGTATCGTCATCCTGTCCCCATATGATGCCTATGGATGGCCCTGTCCATGCCAGTCAGTGCCGACTAGGACCACACGGGGTACACCTCACCATCGCGATGGCCAGGAGATCACCATCGATCGGAATTTTTTGTTGGTAATATTCTCATCATTCAATATCGTCATAACATGTAGATCCTCCATGCGAGTTTCGCTCCGCCTCTGGGCACCAGTAACTACTCGGGCATCATAAAGTCCTCCACCTGGAGATCGTCGGCCAGATTCAGCATTTCCGTCGGTGACATGCCAAAATTATTGTAGCTCCCCAGTAGATCCCACGTCTCGTGATCCATCTCGTCCGGTCCATTGTTTCCCGCTTGCATGGGCTGTGGGGGATGGGGATGGTGATTCTGGTGATGGTGGTAATGTTGTGAGATGTGGTGCTGAGGCGGGACCTGGGATTGTTGATGCGGTTGTTGCTGCTGCCCCTGTGACTGCTGCTGGTGTTGACCGTGCGGCTGCAGTGCAGAATTCTCGGCGTACTCGTGCGCATGTATCCTCTCGTGGTGCTCTGGGTCGCGACCCCGTATGTAGTCGCTCATGACCTCCTCGAGACGCGCAAATTCGCGTTTCCGCAGGGCCGCCGCCGGGCTGCGGCGACTGATCATAATGTCAAAGATGTGATGCGTGGTGCTGAGCCAGGTCTCGTCCTGGATAAAGTCGGGCGACACCGTGTCGAGGACGTAGAGCAGGAAGGCGGACGAGAAGGAGGACTCGAGCTGGAACGGCAGAAACGAGTCGACCAGGTTCCTGTCGCCGAGGTTGGCCACCGTCCTGAGAATGTTCAGGGCCGAGCTGGAGCAGGCCTGCAGCAGAGCAGCAATGGGCCCTTCGGGGATCGAGTTGTCCGTGTCGCCGTGTGCCAGTCGCCTTTGAAGCACACACATGACCAGCGGCCTGGTGGTCAAGACGACGCAGTGGTGGTAGGAGAGGATGAGTCTCGTGGCGATCTTGGACGTGCTGACGTCGGTGCCCTTGAGCTCCTGCTCCATGTAGGTGGTCAGGTCTCTCGAGACGTGCGCCAGGTCCTGTAGGACAGACTGCGTGTCGCGAATCAGAGACTCGTTGAAGTGTCTGTCCACGCCGTAGACGCCGGTCAGGATGGACGCTGTCAGCCGCGACAGCCTGATCTGCAGTGACAGGGCCGTTGCCCTTGGCGAGTCTTCTATCATCGAGGGGAGTTTGGTCGTAATATCTTCGTCGCGGATCGAGCTCGGCGCACCGACCAGCGTGCCGAACTCGCGGTCCATGATGTACGCCGTCCAGAAGATGGTGTTGCAGCGCTGCGAATGCCGCAAGCCGACGTCCTCGGGCGGAACGTGACGATGCCAGCCTTCAATGACCGAGATGCGGAGTGCTTGGCCGATCAGCTGGAACGCCATGAGTCGCAGGTCGACGGCCTGCAAGTACAGCGCGGCGAGGCAGAGCGCTTCGACGGCAGGCATGGACGCCTTGTCGATGGGCACGAGCGCTGGGATCAGGGCCAGTGCCCGTGAGGCGTAGCTCATGCCGGGTAAGGTGCCTGCTTCCGAGCTCTCCGTTGGACTGAACGCCTCGCCAAACGCAAGCATGAAGAGGAATTGCGAATACCAGTAGCGCGACTCGTTGGCCACCTCCTGCGGATTGTGATAGAAGTCGCGCATCTGCTGGTGGAACGAGTCGTGGTCGATAATGTCGTACAGTGACCCGAGGTGGTACTTGACCGTGTGAGCAAGATAGCTTGCATAGTCACGCGAGGGGAGGTTCTCGACGCTCGGCTGCTCGTTGGCGCCGATGGGGTCCCAGGTGAGGTGCAGCGTCTCGAGGTCCCACGGGTTGACCGGGCTTCGCGCCGGGGGCATCTCCATGCCAGAGCCCTTGCCAGCACCGATGATGGCCAGGACACGACGGCAGAACGCCCAGGAGGAGGTGGGTCCCATGTACCAATATTTGCCATTGGAGTCGCGCGCAAACGTCTCGCCATTGTCCACGAGAGGATTCTGGCGGAAGCCATGGGGGGATGAGTCGCGATGAGTGCTGGTGTCTCCGTCGTCGGGGGCAAACGTCCTACGTTGCGTGGGCTCTGGGAGGTGCAACGACCCGGGCGTCGTGCCATCGCGGCTGCCCAAGCTCGCGCTCGTCGTGACCGTCGACCCGTGGCGGCTCTCTGGCATCGCCCGGGGCCCTATGCTGCTCCCGTGCCTGGACATGACGGTGGACTGCGGCGGTGACAGGGCCGTCTGCCTCCGTGGCGAGGAGGGCCGCAAGATGGAACGCAGGTCCCCACGGTTGTTGGTAGACGCTCTGGTCTCCAGGGACTGCAGATAACTCTGCGAGACGGTGATGCGCGCATCCTCAGCGCGGAAGTAGCACTCCTCCTTCTTCCGCTGGCAGCGAACACATGGCATGGTGCCGGAGCACCGGACTTTCATGTCGCGGCATCGCGCGCAGCTGTAGGTTTGTCAGCGTCTTCACTCTTCATCTCTGGTAACACAGGGAGGGGTCAAGGACTGGAAGAGAAGAAACAGACGTACGCTCGGAGGCATCGTTTGCTGACCTTGTCGCCGCTGCTGATGACCTGCGACATGGTGTTGAGGCTATCACATTATCGTGTACTGGATGGCTGTGAGATCAAACCGCCTTGTGTCGAGTATCGACCTATTGGCCGGTTTTCGGCGCGCGGATCAACAAGGTGAAGGAAGGTCCGGCCCAGGCAGCTGTGAGCTTTTTCGGTCGCGCTACGCACGTACCGGGGTCTTTGCAGTAAAGGGGGCCGGTGCCGTCGCTGCGGTCACGATCCACTGGCGCCTCCACGTGGGGGCGCTAACGAACTCCTGCACAAACGCTCCGACTGCAAGTCTGCAACGACTTCAATCGCACTAACCGGTGCTTGGTGAACTCCAATTGATTACTCCAAATAGTAAAAGCCAAGAGGCTACATCCGGCACTTGAATTGGTATGTGGAGAGGGCATCGATGGTGTCCGCATGGCATATTTTTGAGGTTATTTATTGTACTTGATATGTTCTCGCTATTTACCGCAAATGCTGTACAAACACACGTACAGACAAGTTATGATTACAGCTTTCCTTGCAGCACCAACCAATCAGTTAAAATCAGATCTCTTAATATCGCCTTTGAATACCTTTTTTTTTTTTTTTTTTTTTTTTTTTATAAAATACTAATTGAAAAGAAAGATCGGATCTTGCTTTGCCATTCATTTCATGCTAATTAGTGATGCCTAGGGTAAGCACCATCACCTTCTACCCCTGACGTGAAAGTAAACAATATCTGTTGCTGCCCACACTTATTCATGCTACAATTATCTGCATATTTCAATACATACGCCTTGCTACGTCTCGTTAACAATCAACTATGGCCAAATATTAGTCCCCTGGCCCCCAGAGTCTCAAACCCTCTCCTCAGGATCCTGCGGCTCGTCGCGACGAGGCTGCTCCCTGGCCTGCCCGGGGTACTTTTCAAAAAAGTAGGCAAAGACGGCGGTGGAGATGCACAAGACGCCGAGCCAGGAGGTGGTGGTGGCAAAGCCAGGGATGTAGCGGGGCGCGTCCTTCTTGGGCCACAGCCAGGTCGAGTAGATGGACGAGGCGTTGCCGATGGAGTTGATGAGGGCGATGGCGATGGCGCGCTTGGCGGCGGGCTGGGGGATAACGTCGGCGACCCAGGTCTTGACGAGCGGGGAGCAGCCGTAGATGGTCCCAAAGGCGAAGATGGTGAGGACGTACTGGGCCATCTTGTCGCTGATGGTGGTGATGGCGATGAAGAGGACGCAGCCGAGGCCCGAGAGGCCGCAGATGAACTGCCACTTGCGCTTGTAGCGGTCGGCGAGCCAGCAGCAGGCGACGACGTAGACGAGGGCGGCCATGTAGGCGGGGATGGTGTGGTACTGGCCGACGGGGCCTGTCCAGCCAAAGGAGGCGACGAGGGTGGGGATGAAGTACTGCATGGTCTGGGAGCCGGTGACGAGGACGAAGAGGAAGCACTGGGCCCAGACGCGCCAGTCGGAGCAGGTCATCTTGAAGGCCTCCCAATGGGGGATGTGCTGGGCGCCCCGGCCCTGGGTGAGGCCGATGCCGTCGACGGCTAGACGGGTGCAGGCGAGCGCCGACTCGTCCTCGTTGAGGAAGCGCTTGCTGTTGGACGGGTAGTCGGGCATGAGGAAGTAGATGACAATCGCGGCGACAATGGAGGCGACTCCCTCGAGGATCTGAGCATGTTAGCGTCGTCTATCCGTTACAGTCGCTCTGTAGTCATGACTTACAAAGAGCCATCGCCGCCCGGGGAGACCAGACACGCCGTCCATGTGCTCCGTGATCAGGCCAGCCAGAAGACCAGACACGGCACCCGCAATCGGGACGGACGTGTACAGTAGCGCATAGCGCGTGGCCAGCTCATACTTTCTGTACCAGGAAGACAGGAAGAAGGCACAGCCAGGCGCGAAACCGGCCTCTGCGAAGCCCAGGAGAAAACGCATGCCCGTGAGCTGCTGCCAGCTCTGCGTGACGCCCATCAGAGCGGCAAAGGTCCCCCAGATCACCCCCAACCCCGGGAGGAAGACACTTGGGCGTACGCGGGTGAGGATCATGTTGGCGGGGACTTCAAAGACTAGATAGGACAGGAAGAAGACGAGGACGATGATGGAGTACTGATTGGAAGTCAGGTTGAAGTCGTCCTCCATGCCACCCGTCTTTGCGTTGCTAGACGCTATCAGCAAGAGAACTAGATGAGTGTCAGAGGGAGACATACCCGACGTTGGCGCGGTCGAGGAAGCCTAGCAGGTAGAGCACCCAACAGCAGGGCAGGATGCGCCAGTCGAGTTTGCGCTTGAGCTTCCTCTCCTCAGGTGTGTCGTTGACCCAGTTGTCGATGAGGTGCTGCGCAGCCAGGGCGTCGGCATCCGCCTGGCCTTTGGTGGTGCCATTGTCGCTGGAGTGCACAGAGCCGGCCGTGTGGACTTGCTCCACGTGCGGACCCGAGGTGAGATCCTTTTCTCCCAACATGATGGATGGCGCTGTTGGGGGGGCCTTGTCAGTGGTCAGTGTCTGGTTTTGATGACCAGCTGAGCGAGCGATGGACTCGGTTGAGGTTGGATGCGACAGAGGGCAGTATAGTGCGTACTGGCGGCGGATGAAGGGCTCTCTCCTCGGTGCTACGTCGCGTCCATCTGATTATATATAGAAAGGGACCCAGGATGAGGGTAGCCGAGAGAGAGGAACAGGCGCATGGTGCATTGGTGTTTCCCCACGGGAAATGGAGGATGAGAAGCTGGGGAACGAGTCTCGCAAAGGCGCCGAGGGCGGACGTTGCGAAGAAGCAGGCCACAGAAGTCCCCCGTGGGGATGGGATGCCCTGGCGATAGTGGCTCGCGCCCTGAGTGGCTGGAGTGTTAGTGGCTCGTGGCGGTGGAAGCCCCGCACTAGCCACTGTTAGCGCCTCAGGCTAACTTTACGTAAGACCTCCATCGTCGGTGGAAACGCCGATGTCTTGAGCTTCTTCACCACCTCTCACCACCACGTCAGGCCGCTGGGATCGACTCTCAGCTACCGACATGTCGAAATGCGGAGCCCATAAGCCTCGTGGATTGCTGCAGGGCTCTAGTCTGCAATGTCACGCCCCTTTTGCAGGGTAAACAGGCCACATGATGGACCTCGCTCGGCGGAGGCACCGATATCATCAACGACTGGACCCTATCCAGTGAGACGACGTTGCACGGCTTTCGTGGACAATTCTGGACCCCTTGAAGGCTACGAGCGAAAACATCGGCCCAGGACTATAAGCGAGCGAGATGCGTCGTGGACTTGCGACTTCAAGCAAACTGCCTCAACATCTTGGCCTCGACATCAACGTACTCCTACCGCAATCATCTCCAACGTCTCGCATCCCCCACAATGGCCGTCCAAGTCAACAACCAGGCTCTGCGCCGTCCACGCATCGCCGTCACCCTGGGCGACCCCTCAGGCGTGGGCCCCGAACTCATTGCCAAACTCCTCAGCAACACAAAGAACCACCAGCGCGCCGACATACTCCTCCTGGCCGACGACAGCGAGGTCCAGTCCGCCATCCGGGACGCGGGCGGCCTCCACATCCCCGTCACTGTCGAGTCCGCCTCGGCCCACGGCATCCAGATCCTCGACGACGGCACGGCCCCCAACTACACCACCGTCCGCGGCGAGGTCTCGCGCGACGCGGGCGCGCGTAGCCTGCACCAGCTCCGCCGCGCCCTCGCCCTCGTCCAGGCCGGCCAGGTCGACGCCATCCTCTTCGCCCCGCTCAACAAGTCCTCCCTCAAGGCGACCGGCATGACCGAGGAGGACGAGCTGCGCTGGTTCGCCCACCAGCTCCGCTTCACCGGCAAGACGTCCGAGATCAACATTGCCGGCGCCCTCTGGACCGCCCGCGTCACCTCCCACATTGGCGTCCAGGACGTCGCCGCCCGCATCACCACCGAAAACACCCTCCAGGCCATCGAGCTCGCCCACCGCCTGCGCTGGGAGTCGGGCGTCGAGAGCCCCCGCCTCGGCGTCTGCGCCCTCAACCCGCACAATGGCGAGAACGGCGCCTTTGGCCGCCAGGAGATTGACGCCATCCGTCCGGCCGTCGAGCTCGCCCGCGCTCGGGGCATCGACGTCGTCGGGCCTTTTCCCTGCGACACCATCTTCCTCAAGCGTGAGCACTTTGACATCATCGTCACCATGTACCACGACCAGGGCCAGATCGCCATGAAGCTCCTCTCCTTTGACGGCGGCGTCACCGTCCAGGGGGGCCTGCCCATCCCCGTCGCCACGCCCGCCCACGGCACCGCCTTTGACATTGCGGGCAAGAACCTCGCCAGCGTGACCAGCACGCAGAACGCCTTTGATATTGCCGTCACCATGGCCGAGAGGAGGATACTCAAGGATAGTCTGGCGGCGGACACGGATCCCACTGTCGAGAGCGTGCCGCTCAAGGCGCCCTTGAAGGCCAACGCGACCGTCGTCGAGCTGCTGAGCGGGTCGTGTTGCTGATAGAGGTAGATAGTGCTATGAATTTACGTCTGATCAAGAATACATGTGATACAATAGGACGGGTTAAAACAGTAATGAAGCCTTTTCGCCTTTACTGTCATCAAGGACTATATTGGTCACCATCACGCGACAAGATACCCCTGGCAATCATTATAGAAATGGTATCTCCGAATCAATTACGTCAATCCCCAGCAAGAACCCATCATCAAAACGCCAGTCCAGATTCCCCGTCAGATCGAATGGATCCTGCTGCTGCTGCTGCTCCAGGTGCAGCGCCTCCCCCGTGGCCTGTTGCTGCTGCTGATACACGACCTGTCCAGCAACACCACCGTGCTCATGAGTCTCCCCGGCATTGCCGACAGCAATGTGAGCAAGACTCTCCAGCCCGCTTAGTGGTAGCCCACCGCCATCATGGACCGCCATCTGTGCGTGCTGCTGCTGCTGCTGTTGATGCTGATGGTACTGCGCATGCTCCTTGGCGCGCGTGAGCGAGTAGATGAAACAGTCCGCCGTCCGTCCCGGTGAGAACCGCTGCAGAAGCTCCCGCAGACCCGTGACAACCTGCCGCGCGACATGGCGCTGGCTCGCGTGGTCGGCCACCCTCTCGAGGACCACCACCAGCCGCTCCACCGTCGCCAGGGCCGTCTTGGTGTGGAAGTTGAGCCCGTACTGCGACAGGTCACGGGGGATGTAGAGCGGTGCCCCCTTGTCGCCGATGCTCCCCACGTCCGCCTCACCAAAGACGACAGCCATCTTGAGCAGAAAGTTGGCGCACACGGCCACCATGGCGTGCGTAAAGATGGGCAGCCCGATGAGCGCCCTTTGCAGATCCTCATCGTCGGCTATGAGCCGCGCCGTGCTCATGGCGGACGTGATGGCAATGTTGGACGCCTCCTGCCTGTCCAGGTTCATGTCCAAGTTGGGCTCGTCCTTGGCCACCTCGCGCGCCGAGATGTTGCGCAGGGAGACGGCGTTGAGCTGGAAGCGCGCCAGGTGGTAGTACAGCGTGTTGGCCTTGGACGGGATGGAGCTCGCCTTCGCATCTGCCTCCTTGTCCTTGGTCGGCGAGTGCTCCAGCCGCCAGTGGTCGACCGAGATATTGAAGCGCTGCAGCCTCTCAAAGTCCTGGTCCGCGAGCTCGAGGTCCGGGTCGCAGCCGTACATAAAGTACCCGCTCGACAGGATGCGGAACAGCTTGACCTGCGCGATCAGGCCGTGGTCGCCCTTGGAGGACAGGCCGCTACTGAGCAGCTTCTCTGCGTTGCGGATCGCCGCGTCCTCGTGCATCAGGGGCGGTCGGCCGTACGCGAGCGCGAACTGGTGGTCGCACACGTAGAGCACGTACCACAGCCGCACGCGCTCGTATGATTCCTGGCAGCCCCGAGCGAACCGCAGGGACGATTTGTGCAGGTTCATCTCGGTGGCCACGCGCACGGCGCGGCTGCAGAGGGCCCAGCTCAGACTGGTCAGGTAAAAGGAGCCGATGCAGAGGGCGCGGATGATGTCGAGGTTGTGGCAGCGCAGGAGGCACGAGCCGCGCATCAGGGACACAAAGGCCCCGTACGTGGCATGCAGCGACTGCTCCCGGTTCGGTACGTGGAGTGCGGCGACCGTCAGCACCACGGTGACCAGTAGTGATGAGGACTGCCGGGCGGCGGTGAGCGTGGTGTGCGAGCAGAGGATCCCGTCCCACAGCAGAGGGTTGATGTGATCGCGGTAGTGGTTGAAGAGGAACTCGGCCTCTGCCAGCGACAGCACGCCCTGGCTGATGAGGTCCGGCCCGTTGACGTCGGCTGGGTCAACGCGGATGAGCCGAGAGTTGTTCGGATCCGTGAGATTGTACAGGTTGTTCATCGGCAAGGGCACTAGGTCAGAGTCGTCCTGCTTGTCCCTCGCCCCCGCCGAGGGTCCCTCGGAGGTGAAGTTGCCCTCCACCAGCGATGTGTGATCCGTGGTCAATGGCGACAGTGTCTGCACCGAGGGTGTATGTTGCTGCTGCTGCTGCTGCTGCAAACTCCTCTGCATGACCGCGGTCCCATCTAGCTTTGCGAGTTCAGGCAGGTCGTTGCGCTGCAGGAGATGCTCGACAGCCTCCTTGAGCTGCTCGAGCGTCGAGGTGGCCTGGGACTTCCACGCCGCGTCGTCGTCAATGAACTTTTGCGCAAAGTTATGCGGCACGCAGTGAATCCCGCTCTTGACGCACTTGGTGCAGGCCGTCTCGCCTGGCTGCACAAAGCATTTGATCTTGTGTCGCTTGCACTCGGCGCCTGCAGTTGTTAGCGGCAAGGAAACAATAGAAGCGCTGCCAGTTCAACTTACAGGCTCGCGTCAATAGGGGTTTCTGGGTCTGTCCATTCGTGATTCCTGCAATCGTCGTCGTCGAGGTGGCAGCCGTCGAGCCTGCTCGCGATCGCCCGCGAGCATCGTCACCACAGTCGTCCGATGGCTTTGGTCGTTTCTTCCCACTCATGACGAGTGGACGATCGCCGTTGCTGCGACTATACGCAGTGAGAATCTGGGGAAGATCGGTGGTTGTGTCGTATCGGCATCAATTGGCGCTGGTCGGCGGTAGAACCGATTTATGTTACAATGTGGGAAAGCTGGGGGGCACAATGATGGAGAACTTGGGGAAACGCGGGGGGTGGAGGAATACAGGGGCCCTTAATCGGCGATATCGCCGTTCTGGGTCCTGCTGGCTCGTGCTAAGCTAGAGTAGTAGTTCAACGACCAGGGTGTAGTGGCTTCGACGTCGAGGGTCCAGAACTGGACTCGACACGGATCGGAAAGACAGGTGGAGAGGGTTGATCCGTCGAGATGTGGCAGAGGAGGGTGGCATGTCCTGTAGTCCGCCAGGGACAGATGAAGAACTATGAGTGTCATTGAGTATATACCAGAAATGAGAACGATGAATCCTGAAAGACAGCGCGCCCTTTGGACCATCCAGCCACTTAACCTAGCCTGCTGCCCCCAAACCCCCGGTAGCTGTCCGGTCCATCACCAGACATGCCCAGGTAGACAGGGTGCGTGCCATGTCCGGGGGCATACGAGTCCGGATGCATACTCCGGCGATTGCGTGTACCGAGATCACACAAGCTGTCCATGGACGTCGCGCCCTCGGAGCGTCTCCATTCGTCCTCGGATCCGTTGCCCTCCTGCGTCTGCTCGGAAATCGGGGCGTGCGTCACAAAGACGTTATCCTTGTGGTCATTCTCCTCCTGGTCCAGCTGGGATCGCAAGGTGGTGATGGCAATGTCTTGGATGCCGTACTGGCCGGGGCGCACCTTGGCCGAGGGACGCACCTCGCGTTGGAAAGGGGGCAGCCGCAGCGCACCACCGCCACCGCTACGACGCGAGTCGTCCGTGGCGTCATCCGTCGACTCGAAGCCGCGGATCCGCCAGGCGCGCAGGAGCGGACGGATGGTCGCGAGGCTGGACGCGACAATAGCGAGGCCAGGCTCGATAATGGTCCACACCATGGCATCCGTGCCCGCATCTGCGATTCGTCAGTCAGTGGCCTTGCGTGCGCGCGCGGGTGCGAAAATGAAAGGGGGCAGTGGCGCAGCGTACATAAAACGTCCTCGAGATTAGCCATGTCGGGGAGATATCGCAGTCGCACAAGTGTAGCCACACTGGCACTGTCGTGCAACGTCAGCCACGTTATGACCCTCAGGGGGTTGCAAGGGGGCGGTGAGGGAACGTACAAGATGCCCAGTCCAAGAATGAGGATGACAGTCGCCTTGGCCTGCTTGGACATTCTCACATTCCACACCATGGGAATGGGGAGCAGCGCCTGGCACATTCGTCAGTACACACACCGCGTCGACAAACTCCTGGCTGCTGGGGCACGTACATAGAGCCAGTCTGACACGATGGTCATGGCGCTCAGCGCATAGGCTGCCATGACCAGCGCTTCTGGAGGCACGCATTTGCCCGTCTCGATCCTGTAGTCCCACTGCTTGGAGACCGGGTCGCACTGGAAGATGTTCCAAAAGAAAATGACGGTGCTCCAGATAGAGATGATAACGAGGCTGATGCGTAGAATCCACACATACACGGCCTGGGACGCGACGCGCAAGAGGAAGATTCCAATGCTCAGCTTGATGAACATCATCTCCAGGATATAAAAGGCAATCGCCAGCGCTTGCCACTGTTGTGATCCATGTCAGTCCAGAGGCAGTGCGAATTCCGTGTTTTCTTACCTTGAGAGCCATGACCTGCTGCTGATCGTCCTTGATGGCCGCATTATGAGTGCCGATTCCCTCGCTAATGCCTGCGTACAGAAATCCAGCATACGTCGAGAAGGTTGCCTGGCCGAGGAGCATAAACCAGTCGTCCAGCTGAAAGTTCTTCATCAGCCATGCCCGGGTATAAGTCCGCAGGCCAACAGCGATCCAGCTCAGCACGAGGAAGACCGTGACGGTGCTGACTAGCCTGTCGCCGTTGTAGGCTGTCAAGTCGATCGTGTCGTCAGCCATTGTTGGACGTTGTGTTTCAAAATGCGTGTCTGTATGGAGTACAAGTGAAAGTCGCCTCGTTGTGTTTCCTACGTGTTGAGGGGATAGCGAGGCGCGGGGGGGCACAACCGTGGAGCAACTAAACGATGAGAAAAGGAGGTGAGCAGGACATGAAGGAGAACGAGGTTATTTCCCTGATAAGTAGGGCATCCAGGACCGCCTAGTCAATGATGCGCCTGAATGATGGTGAGGTGCCTCGCAGAGCTCACTGACTGGAGGAACGAACCAGGGCGAGACGGGTACGCTCATCACGAACCACACCACCGTGCCACCTCGGCCTTGCAAGGGAGCCCGCCACCCCAAGACAGCCCTTGAGGTGGCTTGAGATATCCGCGGGATGTAATATGCAGGCGCCAGTCACTAGACCACTCTTGCACCAACATAGGCTGCACGGGGCACCAGACGATCATGACTGTGCGTCGATGTATGTATACTTGGTCGTGAAGCACTGACCCTACCCAATTCGGCGACGCGCCCCCAGCATATTTTTGGGTAGTGAATGGGCAATCGGGTGCGCCTGTGCGTGTGATACACAATATAGATTGCTGGCACAGATCGCCCTGTTGAGCGTGCACTGACTGACAGCAAGGGGGGTGCCACATCCGGGACGCGAGCAGACTAGGAGACAAAGGCTGTCAGTCACACCCTTCGATTATCAAAACTCAGCCTCCCGGTCTCTGGAGCTGTCCACGGCAAGAGAGAGTAGTCGACGAGAATGGACATCCTGGACGCAGACGCATTGCATCGAGTGTTGGCGTAGGGCCTAGGGGAGACTCGAGGAGACTAGCGCCCAGGTCAAGTGGCACATGTGGGTGAATGCATGAGCCGTCGTCAACAGCAAATTCCCAACGATGCGGTGACGGCCTCAGCGCTGGCTGGTCTCGGCAATGCGGCTGGGCCACCAGAGCAAGGCCCTGCAGAGAGATTCGAACCAACAACGCGCGGTAATTTCTGTCTCGCCTGGCGGGAGATCGACCGGATGCTCAAGGGTCCTCTTGGTTGCTCTCGCAGCCGTTTTATATATATCAGCAACGCTTCTCCCCTCTACGCGATGATGTTCTTGCTGCTTGGAGTACAGCGACCTTTCCGATGATCGAAACCAGGTCAGAGCTCATTGGAGAAGAGCACAAGGCAGCCAGGAGGTCTGATTCAGTCCAATCCGAGAGGGAGGTCATTAGACGCGCAAGGCTCGCGATTTTCCAATAATCGACGCACAGGCCGGACCTTTGATCGAGCGGGTTCAGCTACCTCTCGCTTGGTGGCGACACGAGTGTCGCACTGCAGCAGTGGCCAGCATGGCAGCGGGCAAGGCCAGGCGAGAGGCATGCGGTGAAGATCTGAATAGAGGACAGACGATCGGCTAAGCTCTGGCTCGTGTGCCCTCTGGTTTTGATTCGCAAATTGAACATGCAGCCAACGGCTTCTCGCCGAGAAGCTATGCAACGAAGCGCGTGTGAGGAGGTGTGCCAGTCATGGCTGGATGGGGCCAGCGGAATCAAGGAAAATGCATCGCAGGCAAGAGGGCACGGTCGATTTTTGAGGAGATGTGCTGGTACTCCAATCGTCGAAGGATGTTGTTGGCGGTGACATTCTCACCAGCAGCTGAAGAAGGGAACGGAAGATGGAGGCGCGTCTCCAAACGCGTGAGGAAGGAGGGATTCGATGCGGGTTTAGTGATGTTAGTGATATCACACATTTTGAGTGACACTCTTAACAATAGTCTCAATTGCGGATGAGCGGAACCTGCCGCGGAAGGCGGATGATAGTGATTGGCGGGCGCGCACAGCCAAACACTATCAGGTCGCACAATCGCCATGATTCCTCCTCCACCAGCTTGACGTTGGCTTATCCTCACGACTCACTGACCCCTCAAGTCAGGTTCAAACTGATCCTTAGGTGCAACAAAACGCGATAGCGAAGATCAAAATACCTCAAGACACCGTCGATCACCCTTTTCGAGACGACATCCATCTGTGATAGGTCTATGCGCAGCCAACCCCAGACGTCACCCGACTACCGTATCCGCCTGAGAACAATGGCTTCCGCCGAGCCAACCCCTACCATACAATACGTTAGCCAGCAATATGGCGACAACGTACTGCAGCAGGTCGGCATCTGGGAGATGCCCCAGCAGAGGGGTGGCTACTGGATAGTGTATGCAACTTCCCCCTTTTGTTTACCGAATTGACTTGAGGCTGGTTGATCTGACTTGTTCCCAGATACATACACGGCGGCGCCTGGCGCGACCCCAAAATCACTCACCTCACCTTCCTCCCCACGGTCGATCAGCTTCTATCAGCGGGCAGACTACCACCAAATTCTATCGCCGGGTTCGCTAGTATCGACTACCGCCTATCGCCTCATCCCGACCATCCTCAAGACCCTGCCGCAACGCCCACGTCGGAGCTGCGTCAGGCGAGGCACCCCGACCACATCCGCGACGTTCAAGCTGCCCTCCGCTTCCTGAGCAGGGAACATGGCGTCAAGGAGGACAAGTACATTCTCGTCGGGCACTCGGCTGGTGCGACGCTGGCGATGCAGCTCTTGATGGACCCCTCATCGCGCGCTCCCGAGCGCGCGGAAGAACACGTCCCACTCCCAGCAGCCATTGTTGGCGTCTCAGGCATCTACGATCTGGTCGGCTTGGATGAACGTCACGACGGCAACTACACTGGCTTCATCACCTCGGCCTTTGGTTCTGACAGGAAGATATGGGACGTGGCCTCCCCCGTCAACTTTACTGGCAACTTCCAGACCAACTGGCCGAATGCCAAGTTGGCCGTCCTTGCTTGGTCGCGCGAGGACACACTGATCGACGAGCCAGAAATCGACAAGATGGCCGCCAAGTTGATCAAAGATCGCCTCAATGTGTCAGTCACCAAGAGTCTGACTGGCGAGCATGACGATGTATGGGGGAGCGGCCAGCAGCTCGCGCGCTTGATTGTCTTGACTCTGGCTCAGATCAGGGAGTAGAGCTCATTGATGTCCGAGTAAAGATCGTTGGAACCACAAAGGTGGAAGCCTCATCATATGACTGTCTAGATCTTGACCTTGAACTTGAAACCCGTCGTCGCAAGTCTCGAGCCCAGAACTGACACTGCAGCGGCCACAGCGACGGATCCGCCCCAGACCTGCGCGCCCACATACGAGCCGTCCATTCTTTCGATAAGAGCACCCCCAGTTGGAGGCCCTGCAAGCACGGCAAAAGCGGTCATAGTCGAGACCATGCCAAATCTCGTTCCCATCTTCTGCGGGTCCTTTGTCAGGCTGGCGAGCGCCCCAACATAGCACCCTTGGCCTGCGCCTGTCACGAAGCCATAGAATGCGCCAAAGACATACATTTCCGTGCGCGTCGTCACGGCAATCCAGGCAAAGAGCGCGATGCCAATGGCGCACAGCATGCCTAAGAACATATGGATGGGACCAAAGAAACGATCGGCGAGATAGCCTGCCAAGGGACGCGCGGCGATACCTATACCGTTCAGAATGAGTAGGACTGTCACAGAGTCGGTTTGGCTGAAGCCAATAATGTCGCGGGCGAAACTGTTGACCTGCTTCTCGTCAGCTGCGCTCCCCTCTCACCCTCGAAAAGCTCCGGTAGACTCACATAGAAGTAGGCAAAATACAACATATACAAGTACAAGACCCCACCCAACGCAAAGAACATGTAGGCGGGCTCCCTGAAAGCCTCCCATTCTATCATGGGACCGGACTTCCTGGGAGCAATCCGCGGCTTGAGCAGCAAGTTCGCCACAGCGCAGATTGTGAGGGCGACGAATGCTGCGCAACGGACCGCCCACGCAAACCCAATCGGTGGAATGAGATACTGCACAATGGACGGGAACATGAGGCTCCCCCAGGACGAACCCGTGGCAGCCAGCGCGAGCGCAAACGCGCGGTGCCGCTTAAAGTACGTGCTCACGACGGTGGCGCAGGGCATAAAGGCCAGTCCCAGACCGATGCCGGTGCAGATCCCCTGTGCGAGGAAAAAGTGCCACCACGTCCTACCCAGACTGGTCATAAAGGTACCAAAGACGGCAAAGAAGCTTCCCACGAGGGCCGTCTCCTTGGCCCAGCCTGCGTCGGTGAGCCGGCCGCTGACCGTGCACATGGCGAAGGCCAGGAACACCTGGACGGAGCCAATCCAGGGGACCTGCGTCTGTGGGAGGCCCAGTGTCTCCACGTAATACAGCTGGAAAACACCAAAGCTCGCAGGGTAGCCCCAGACAACCATGTTCATGAAGAGGGCGGCGATGACCTGGGACCAGGCGAGCAGACCGCCATCGGGAGGGTCCCAGTCGTCTGCGTCGGGAGGAACGGGCGCCGTCGCCCCGGATATCGTACGTTCAGGGAGTGGATAGTTTGGAGGCTGCGTCGGATTCTCTTGGGTGGTATCGTTCCCCCCATGGCCCTTCTCCAAGTCGCCGCGATGGAGGTCGTGCTCCAAAGTCATGTCGGTATACACGTGGTGTTGTCAAGGCAGACGCAGCTGAAATCATGGGAAGAAGGACATAAAACCCAATTACGATGGTGAAACCAACCCCAGCCGTGACGTCGACTGCCCCAATATCTGGGGATCAGGATGTATTAATATCCATTGACAACGATGGCTCCGCGCTCGGCTACTGTCCTAGAGCCTAGTGCATCATACCGTAGTCGCTTGACATCGACGCCCTTGCGATGTGGGACTCGGCCGTGGCATGGCACTGGGCAGCAACAGTGTGGCGCTCCAGGTTCAAGCTCGTCCCAGAGGTTTCTCGAAAGCTCTATGTTGAATGTACATCATTCATAATTAAGGATAATTTTGCTTGTCTCGAATCGCAGTGTCACCGTGGTTGCGCGGCGGCAGCTGTTACTGAGCATGGGAGAGGAATCGCCTGTGATTTCAGGTCTACGCCTCTTCCTCAAGTTTAATCCTCACCTATTCTTGTACATATCCCTGCAATCTCACAATAATTTGGTCTTCTGTCATTTCCCGATTCAATTGTGGACGGTGATTTTCTGTTGAGAGACACATGTTTGTGGGTGAAAAGGTGTTTCTGTGTTTGTTTAATGTTTCCACCCGCAAAACCAAGCGGATCAACTGCTTATGATTACAGAAAACATCAATTTATATCTTCTAACTTTCCAGAGTCCAGCCAGAGGAATCAAATCCAGCATTGAGTCCCTTGTCTTCAATCTAAGCTTATGAACACCACATGACGTCTATTTAGGGTAACTCGTTGGAAGCCCCGCTATTTTCCCCCGGCGCAAAGCCGCCCCGCTCCGGCCGATAGGCGGCGCGGGGACGGGAAGAAATCCCATCCCGTCTCCGCACATCGGATGTAGGGTAGCCAACCACCCCACACAGTCTCTTTCCCAATTCAGAATATGCGACGAGCGTGTAAACGTCGTAGCTTGCGCATGGCCAACTCGTCAAAGCTCGCACTCACACTTTTACCGCACTCTTCAATCGCGATATTTAGGTACTCCAAGCGCTGGGCGTCGAAAAGATTTTGCTCACGGGATTTTGTCTTGCTCTGCCCCGCTGCGTCGCGGGGTAGCGCATGACGTAAATTCGCGACAAGACGTTGAGAGCTTTCTCACGTGAGCTTCTTCTCTACACGAATCAGAGACGAAGATGACAGCAACAACAGTGGGAATCGGGTCTCAGTGTGTAATGGCCCGGCTACCAGACAAAAATGCACAACTCGTCTGAAACATTGCACAGAGACATCATCTACATGTGCGCTTTCACTCGTATCGCGGATACAAAGGGTTTCGCAATGTAATTCATAAAATACCGCGTATACATCGAGAAGACAGCATAAAAAGCACCAAACCAGATAAAAATGAAAGAGCCTCCCGCGCCCGCATGCGCAAGCCCTCTTATTAGAGGCCTGCTATACCATCACCCTCGAACAACCAGGCCCTTTTGGCCGTCGCATGATCTTCCTTTTGCTTCTCCAACCCCAGCCCTCCACCCAGCTCTTTGCCAAACCAAATAGTAAAGCTACCAAGGTCAGGGTCATCATGGCCCAACCTGCAGCCCATCGGTTGCTCCCCCACCAAAAGTGAAGATCCTGCGCGACCACCCAGTGTCCTTGCCCGCCCGACGACGAGGACATGGGCTGGTCTGCGCCAGGCATACAACAACTAGGATAACAAGTAACATTGTTGAAAATCGCCAACAAGGAGCCAAACGCCGAGTAAGGAGTGTAATGGTCTTGGTAGACCGTCATGATTACGTCCTCCAATGACATTGTGATTCGAACAGAAATCCTGCGCCAGCCACTCCTCAAACACAATACGCCATCGCTGCGTGTCGCTCATGTGTGCTTTGTTTTTTGTGTTTGCTCATTTTGTGGTGCTCTCCAAGGACTGTCGCTACCGCTTGCGCTTCTTCGTCTTGTCTGCCGACGCGATCATAGGGGGTAGTGCAATGGGCGCCGCAGGTAGAAGAGTGGGCTGGGTCATGGTCGCGAGGGCCTCTGCCTCATCCTTCTTGATGGGGACGCCCATGTGGCGTCCATAACGTCCTTTGCGACCGTTACCCTCGTCCTCGCTAATACACTGCTCAGCAGACAGACCAGCGTCGCGGCAGCGCCCGCAGGGACGCTGTCGGTCGCAGCCCTTCTTTGACTTTCGGCAGCGCTGGCAGCGTGGCTTGCTCGACAAGTCAGGATGATCGTCATCGCCGGGCTGCGCAGGGCCATTGATAGAGGCGATGGATGGTTTGCGAGAGGACGCAGTCGAGTTCGGCGACATGGGACCTCCGGTGCTGAGCGGCAAATCTTTCACGACCGCCTGAGTAGCTGGGCGAGGAGCCTTGGGCAGCTTGCTCTTGGGCTTTGTGGCAGAGGATGACTTTGGCTTCGCCCCATTGGGCCGGGGCTTGTGGTCATCGACAATGGGAGGCGGCACGAAGCGGGACTCGGTGGTCTGATAGATGCTGGGCTTCACGTAGCCGTTGGCTTCCACCTTTTGACGACGGGCAGGGGGCAAGTCACCGTCACTGTCGCTCTCGCTGTCGCTTGTAGCGCCAGTCGATGACGGGGCATCGGCTCTACCGCTGAACATGTCATCGAGCGTGGAGCCAGACGTGCGCCCGTGCGAAATGTTGGACATGTCTCCAAGTCGCATGAGCTGCAGCGCAACGTCCTTGTCTTCCTCGGACACGGTGCTGCCCACAGTAGGGTCGGGAGTGGGGAGGATGCCGTGTCCGGTCATGCTGATGCTGGTGTTGCGCGCCCGGCGACCCTCAGCGCTTTGCGGGGCATACATGTTATTGTGCTGCATGTTGTTGTAGGCTTGCGAAGCCTGCATCGGCCGAGGGTTGGTAAAGGGGTTCTGACCGGCGTGGACAGAGGGCAAGGAGGGTCGATACGATTCCATGCGACGGGCAGGCGAAACGGAAGGGTTGCTAGTAGCAGCGGGCATCTGCGGAGGCGCGAAAAGCGGTAGTTCCTATGAAGCATGGTTAGAAAAGAAAGGGAAAAGAAGCACGGAAAGGCTGCCAAGGCATACCGAGCTGTCAAATTTTGCCCTCTTCCGACGGCCGCCCTCGACAATATTCTCAACACTGATATCGGTATTGCCGAGTTGCTCTTTGGTCCGCGCAGACGTCGTGCTGTGGGCAGCACCGTCATCACTGCTGTAGCCGCCCACGCTCTCGCTGTAGGTATCTGCTTGACCCAGCGCGGTTGGTTGCTTTGCGGACCGGGAGCGGCGCTTCTGACCAGCGCTGCCGACGGAACCATCTCTTTGAGACTTGGAAGAGCCAGGAGATCGGCTACGTTGCCTTGATACTCTTGAAGCAGGGCGGCCAAAATCATGCGATGGGCGATGGGCATGGAAAGCGGCAGGGCCCTCGCCGTGATGGTAGCCGTTGGCAAGCACAGCCGGACCCTGAAACGGGGTGGTCGCATTGACGCTTTGCTCGGCTGGGAACTCTTCAAAGACTCTCACGTAAATGGTCATGTTGTGGTAGAAGTTCTCGTAGCGAGCAATAAGGGTGTTGCCTTCCTTATCCTCAAAGCTAACGCCCTTGGCGCCCGATGGGCCGGTGTAGAGACCGTAGAAGTTTTTGACAGTCGTCACAATGGACTCTGTGGTGTCGTGAGGGTAGATTTGAACACGCATCGGCAGGCGCGCACGAGCATGGGCTCCAGTGAACATGAGCTCAAAGGAGACTTGCTTCGGTGTAGAGGCCTGACGGGGAGAGGTGGCATTCTGGCTTGGGGAAGCTTCCACCGTGTCGACAGCACGGTCGTACGGCGACATGGAGGCCATTATGACTCGATTTTGTGCGGGAATTCGGGGATGAATAGAGAGAATGGGCGACGATGGTTGGAAGGACCAAGCGCTGTTCGTCTTCTGTGACGGCAGATTCGACTCAAATGGGGCGGAGTCCACACTCGAGAGATGACGGGTCAAAGCCCCGTCAGGGTGTCGCTGGGCGAGATTAAACGAAACCCACTTCTGACCTCGAGAAGAACTCAGATGAAGGATTTCTCGACTTGTTCAGAGGGCCGATATACGATTGAACTTCGAAATGGTATTCCCCCTGGGTGCCAGGAGGTAAGCGCCGGATGGGATCGAGGGTGTTGCGGTGCGGTGTACGCTGAGGACGAGGGTCGAGGCAGTCGAAGGAAAAGGGCAACAGATCTTGGAGCAAACGAGATCTGTGGACTTTGTCAGTGATCGCAAAGGTAAAGAGGCTTCGATGACATGGCAAAGGAAGGGAACGGGCCTCCTGCGAGCAGGTGGAAGCCGTCGTCGTCGCAGGCCAAGCGCCGGAATGCTGGGGAGGAGGCATGGCGGTGCGAACGTCATTGGATACATGGGAAGTAGGAAGCACCTGTTCCCGAGTGTTGAGCGTGTGTTTGGAGGACTGATGACTTACCATGGACGTCCTGAGCGGCCTACAATGGTTGTGTTGACGGTCACAGGAACTGAAGCGGACGAAGAGAGTGCATGAGGAGGGAAAAGAGGAGCCAGGCGAGGTCGACCGATTTTGTCGCAGGCGCACTGTGGACATGCCGTTACAGGCGCTCACCTGCCCAAGGGAAACCATTACAGTGGACGGTGCACCGCACTAGAGCTGGTCCAGGCCAGCCGCCTCCATAACTGCTATATCGCCGGCAATTCCTGTACGCAGGCAGGGTAGATTCACGCTCAAAGATACTCTATCCTCTATGGATGTGTCTGGCGACTCTGGCAATTCAATTTTGAAGCTACTGGAGAGCGTTGGTGGCTGTCGTGTTGGGACCAAAAAGTGTGCAATGTGAAAGGGCACCAAGGCCTCAGCTCGAGCCCTTCCGCTGGCCCAGATGCGACAGTTGCGCATCCCACACCACCATCCCAACAACCGTGCGATATCACATATTTTGACCGCTCTCTCGCGATTGCAATGGCGCATAGAGTTAGATTTTCACTTGTTGGCTATCATGTCTTCCACTGATATTTGAGATATGATAAGATTGTCCATGAGGCACGCGCGAGAAGGACTTGACCCCTACTTTCATGTACGTCTGCGGTGGCGCAAAGGTCGCATCTGGTTGTCGATCTCGGCCTACTGCTGGCACCTCAACAATGGGCATATCGCATCTGCGTGGCCTACATGATAATAGTCCGACACGAGTCGAGTTCTGTCCTGGCCAAGGCGCCTTGGACCCTTGTGGTCCCAGCCTCCATCCAATACACTGCCAACATGTACAAGCAGAAGCGAGCTGCCAGTCAATCTGCTACAAGTCCTAGGGTATACGTACTACGTAGGTAGTAATCTACTTCTGATCGACGTCAGGATGCGATGCCATTCAGCTCACCCGAGCAGCAACAGACGCTGCCTCTTTCCACTGGAGAAAACAGACTTTGCCCAGAGCAGAAACTTTATCTCAAGTCCATCGGACGGTGAACATACCCCTCAAGAAGAATTGACACAGACTATCCCGAAAGATCCAAGAGGTTGACATGCAGGCCGCATCTGTGGGCTGATGGGGCTCCGCTAGCACAAGGTGTCCGGAACCACGTCGCTGATTCGGCGCGCAGCTGGAAACTTCAAGCCAGCCAGCGCACGTCGCAGCAAGCGCAGTTTCTTGTCGACACGGGCGCGGAAAGTATGACCCGAGTGTGAGTGACAGAAAAGCGTCATCATCCGACCAGACCAGATCCGAATCTACCACAGAGTGCGTGCGTGCGTGCCTGACTGCGCTGCACCGCTATCTGGGTCTCGGCAAAGCATGTTGTGCCCTGGCGAGATGCCATGCAGGGATCATGCGGATAGACGACAGGCTGCCATCATCTACGGCTGGTTGTGCCCGACCCATTGTCGCGACCTGGCTGCGCTGCTTCTGGCTGTTGTTGAGCGAACAACAAACAAACAATCAACCACCGTGCGGACAAGCGCGACGAATCCTCAGCTACGCAAGCAGATAAGCCCCGGAGGTCGAGGCCATACACGGCACGGGACTGGCGACTTGCGCCTCGAGTTGGAGGTCTCGAAACAGTGCTACGATGGGGATGCCAGAGGATGTGTCAAACACTGCCACATAAGTCAAGCAGAGACAGGACCATCAGCACTGTGAGTATACCGCATCGGCAGACGTGTCTCTGCGCCCTTGTCGTTAATGAAGACGAATTCCTCCTCTTCCCTCGAGCCACTCTCAACCTCTATGTATGTACGTATGAATAGGTAGGTCCCAACTAACTTGGGATCCCTGCACAAGATGGCGGGCGCTTCTGGGGACGCCAGCGATAGCGGATCATTGGCTCGCAGACCACGAACCGATCATACAACCCTATGATCGCTCCAAAAAGAGACATGCCAGAACCTGGGCTCCTTGAGCCAAAAAAGTCGGCGACTACGTACATTCGGCGCTTGAAGGCGGTTACATTAGGAACTGAATGTCGCTTCTTGAGAGAGCGCAATGATCCATTGACTATGCGCGCTCGCGTCTGGGCGCCTCGGAGACCACAAACCGTTCAGCGTCCTGTCTCTGCTTGTGCGCCGGTACGTGGGCGCACCGCGATCACAAAGCCAAGCCATTTTCACTTGTTTATTGTATCAGGCATATATCTTTTTGGCAACAATGGCCCCTTACGGGACCGGCTAGAGCCCCAGCTTGCGGCGCGACCCCAAGGTACCTAGTTAGTTCCATTGAGCGCATTGGCGAGCGCAAAAGACGGTGTGTCTTGTGATGAACGTGTGTGGTCCAGCAAGGCGCATGTCAAGCGGGCCTCTTGGGAGTGGCGGCCCCGATATCCTCCACCCATGGATACACCCGCAAAAGAGGGTGGTTCCGGTAGAAACTTGTGCGCCATAATCCATAGGTTTTCTCTCCAGAGGGCGCGGAAGGCCTTTGCGTCGAGTCAGAGTCTGACGGGCTGCGATTGTTGCACTCAAGACAGCGATGGCATTTGTGGCTGGAGGTGGATCTGCGCAGTGTTTTGGCCAGTGGGCGACGAAAGTCGAACGCTCGAACCCATGCGCAAGGATCGGCACCACTACCGCACATCACAGTCAGGCAGTCAGTCAGTCGCGCGGTCGGAGGATGCATGCGCTGCCTTGATGGTTGGAAGCGTTCATAGTGAAACACGGCCTGCCTACAGCCATATCAATGCGCGCGCTTTGTTGTGACGATCTTGTAGAGGCGTGTACACGGAACCATCTGCTAGTAATCTGGTTCACGGTGGTGGTCATGATGGACACCTGGTCGCATCATCCTGGTCGCAAAAGCCAAGGGCACAAGCGCAGGCGCAATGCGACAGCGTCGGCACATTGCGACAAGCCTGTGCATGGCGCGCATGGCCATCTACTGAGCGCATGGACTGCGATCTTACGCGAATCGAGTTTCAAACCATCACTCTATCTTCCTATGTGCTTTACATCGCCTTAGGATGTCAGCCTGAGACAGCGCATCACCTTTCGTGCCGTGGAAGTGTATCTCTTTCGTCTGGAAGACACACAGTGTCAGACATACGTCGACGGACTGTGCTAAGCGGATGACGAGAGACGGTCATCGGAAGACGAGCTGGTGTCAGACCAGGCAATTCTTCCTGGCTTTTCTGATCGAGCATTGCGTCTCCATGAGATCCGAGGCTAATAATATCTTCGAGCTCGATGCTCGCTGCGACTGGAGCCAGCGCGACATGAAATCTCGGAAGCTCAGGATGGTCTAGTGCGGTCGTGCGTGGCGCACCACCTGAGTGAGGGGGTGATACCAAGCTGCCGACCGACATTCTAACCACCACTCACCAAAGGCCGCCGAAAAATCAAAGAGATACATTGGGTCGCGATGAGGTCGCGCGGCCAGAGAAGACCTCAAATTATGTCCTACGGACAACTGGGACCAGCCGACGGCGTACCCGAGATGGTGGATGAAACGGCGGTGCGCACGCCCCATCAGAAGGGCCATTCACGGCTCAGTCGCAAATTTGCGTCACGACTCCATGGTCGCGTTCAAAGTCGCGCAGAGGCACGAGAATCAATTGACCACGATATTGTTTGTTCCGAGTTCATATAGTCCAAAATGCGATGCTGTTCAATCGGGCCAGGTCGAGAGCTATGACGCTTGTGATCACGTGCAACCGTGAGTGGTTGGCGTCTTATCGATTGGCGATGCGACGCGCTTCTGGCCCCACTGACGATCGTCAATTGTACGGTCTGCAGTCACACATACAGACCTCAGAGATGCGCAAAAAAAGCAAGATAGATATTTTGAGATCTTCTGCACACTTGTAGCAGATTAGCAGCAGTAATGTGGTCGTGGGCGCCTTTTGATAAGCCTTTTGGAACTCATCGTACGAACGGGTGAGACGCGACGCATAATCATGATGCCGGAATCGGACTAGCTCGACTAGCTCCCGAGACGAGTTGAATTGCGCGAGCTGTCATTCCAGGCATCGGCCTTGACAAAGGCGCACTGCCGACTCGATTCATTCGAGAGGGCAGCGCCAGCAGAGCACCGCATTACATTTTGATATATCAAAGCCAATGCGAAAATCACACAGGTCCCTCTGAAGAGAATCGACGACCCTGGATTTTCGTCATCGCTGTGACGACGACCAGCGGGTAGCTTCAGAGGATTGATTGGCTTGTGCAGCTTGATTCTGGATTGTGCAGCCTGAAGACTGGGTCGCACTAGTCCCGTTCGGGACGTAGATGTCTCTAATGCAAGCCAATGCAGCGACATAAACAAATAAACACCGCTGGATACAGAGCTCGGAGCATGAGCTGCAGTTCATCTTAAATCACAAATGAACGTCAGGCGAAATTATCTGCAACTATTGGGGCTCACCTGTGCTCAAAACTTATGATTTTCTCGCTGTCACGCTGGACTTGATTATTCCACGTCAATTTCACGAGCTCTGGCGCGCCTTCTCGACAACCTCCACTGTCAGCAATCCTCAGCAAGGCCAGGCGGGATCGAGCACCGGCTCCGCAACTTAAGACATTCTCCTGACCACTACCTGATTACGGTGGCATTGCGCTTTGATTCCTTCCTTCTCCCATCACCTTCACCAGCTCCGTCCTTTGGGACCTACTTTCCCTTCGTTTTTCTCGATTGCTTTTGTGCGGCAGACCACGGTCGTCACGTTAATCCATCGCGTCTGTTTTCTTGCCGACCTCGACTTTGCATCAACATCCGCCAACAGCCTGAGCTGCCCATCACGACATAATACCACATTGCGTTAGGGAGCTCCTCGGTGCTTTTCGGACGTCTCCTGGGCGTATCGACTGCGTCACAACAGGATCAATCAACATCTTTTCTTCTGCTTCTCCTGGAAAAGCTCTTGCTCCCCAGCCACCATGAATGCCCAGGTTCGTGCCATTGCTTGCCCAGGGCCTTCAATTGGCCCTCCTCCAGACGATCAACAATACTGACCGTGATAGCCGTGTCGTCCTCGCGGCGGCGAGAACGCCAAACCCGCCCTCCACCAGAAACACAAGTCGACCGGAAATCTACAGACGAACGCGTCAATGGCTGGTGTTCGCGCGCCAGCTAAGCGTGCTGCCTTCGCCGACCTGACGAACATCGCGAAACATAACAACAACGGGACGAAGGATGGAGCAAAGATCCACAAGGCCAAGTCAATGTACCTGGGCCATGGGAAGAACGGTGACTACGTGAAGCCACAGAGCATCACCATCCGGAAAGAGAACGTGCCCTCGACGAGGGTTTCATATCCTCCTAAACCTGCACCTCAGCCCGCTGCAGCACCTCAGCTCAAGACATTTAACGTTGCCCAGAAGACCAAGCAACCTGCTCTTGTCGAGGCCAAGATTGACGAGGAACCGCTGCAGGAGGAAGAACCTCACGCCGTCGTCCAAGTGAAAGACGCTTCCTCGCATCCACTGCAACCTCGTCACCACAAGAGCCAGCCACAGTTGAAGCAGGAGCAGCCTGCACTTCGCCGGACACAGAGTCGCCAATTGGAGCGGACTGAATCGGTCGAAACAATTGATGACACCGTTGACCTGGTGCCTATTGAGATGATGGAGCGGGACACATTGGCGGACATGCTTGCAGAGGGCCCAGTGCAGCAAGCAGTTGACGGAATCTACGAGACCGCCCGTATGCCTGAGGAGCCCCAAGTGGAGCGTCTCTCGAGGCTATCGGAAATCATTGAGGGGGATGGAGTTCTCTCCGCAATTCACAACACAGATGGGCCGACGCCTGGTCTCTCGGAGCCTGAAGAGTGGTGGGACGAAGAAGACGAAGAGTATGAAGATGCTGACCAAGGATACACCACGGCTCGCTCTGTGCAGCCTGGTGACTTCACTCACGGCGGCATGACGACTCTTCTCCAGCCCAAGGTCACAACGCGCATCCAGAGAGAGATGGAGGAGGCCCGAATCTTTGTCGAATCGACTCGGGCCCCGGAAGATGTTGAGGACGAGGCGTGGGATGTCAGCATGGTCGCCGAGTACGGAGACGATATCTTCGCCTACATGCGAAAGCTTGAGGTAAGTTTCCTGCTACCGCGCAGCTCACAAGCCTGTACTGACCTTGGCCCATTAGGCATCCATGCTCCCTAACCCTCATTATATCGAGTTCCAGACCGAGATTCAATGGTCGATGCGAGCAGTCTTGATGGAGTGGCTCGTCCAGGTGCACCAGCGGTTCACCCTTCTCCCCGAGACCTTGTTTCTCACCGTCAACTACATCGACCGCTTCCTATCCGCCAAGGTTGTGTCCATAGGGAAGCTGCAGCTTGTAGGAGCAACAGCCCTGCTGGTCGCGTCAAAGTACGAAGAGATCAACTGCCCATCACTGAGCGAGCTGGTCTACATGGTTGAGGAGGGGTACAGCGCCGAGGAGATCATCAAGGCTGAGCGCTTCATGCTTAGCATGCTGAACTTCGAGCTTGGATGGCCCGGTCCGATGAGCTTCCTGCGCCGTGTCAGCAAGGCCGACGACTACGATCTGGACACACGTACGCTGGCCAAGTACTTTCTCGAGCTCACCATTGTGGACGAGCGCTTTGTCGCTTCGCCCCCCAGCTTCCTCGCTGCGGGTGCCCATTGCCTTGCGCGCTTGGTCCTCAACAAGGGTGACTGGGGTCTTGCCCATGTTCACTACTCGGGTTACACCTATGGCCAGCTTCAACCCCTGGTGGTGATGCTGATTGAGTGCTGCGAGATCGCGATGGACCACCACAGCGTCATCTTTGAGAAGTATACCGACCCCCGCTTCAAGAAGTGCTCTATCCTCGTGCAGAAGGTCCTCGATAGCGGGTTCGCGCTGCCACACCACAGTATGCCTGTACGCAAGCGTCTCCAGACCCAGGCTTTCTTTGAAGAAAGCCACCCTTGCTTCCCCCGCCAAATCTAGGACACGACGACGGGAGCTGCGCTATACACAGTCACATGCCCCCAGGCCGGTCGATGAATCTTTGGAGCGGTATGAAAACCAGTCTGGAGTGTTACGCCACGGCGTGACTTGCTCTGCTTTCCGCCCCTTCCAACAGCGCGGGATACATGTCGAACCTCTCCACGCGGAGAGATTTATTTGCTCCTTGACTCGCAAAGGCGCAAGACTCGCCAGGTCGCTGGCACAGTGGCTCTCCACGACAACGAACACAACAACCACACGGGACGACGTTTATGAGCTTACGACCTTTTTGCACCTTTGAATACACTTGCTTTCCGCTATACCAGACCAGGCGTTCGGGGGGACTCGTTTCACCTCGCGGACAAGGGTGCGCGCCGATAATGAGCCAAGACTCGCCGAGGGGTTTTGGAAGCTGATATAGGATTATTTGGCCAGTGAGTGATCACTGGTACTGTCTGGATTCATGTCGCTGGCCTTGCGCCTTTTCATTTTATCATGTTTTTATTTTCGCAGAGCCCATGGCAAGCATAGATGCCCCAAAACAGGACGGCGTTACGGAGGCGGCAGGCGCTAATAGAATTGTTTCGATTGATTGCTCGTTGTGCGTGTACTGATGTTGACATTGGGCTTCATGTCGTCGAGATAAATGCAGTGGTCGGAGGTCTCTCCGAAACCCATGACGCCGAGCAAAGACCGCGCGCCAATGCCGATGGCCGGCGGCAGCAGAGATGCCTCGCTTTGACGTAATCGGATCCATCCGCGTGAGCCTGGCTGACACTTCAATTTGAGCAGCAGTGAACGAGCAAAGAGTCAGTGTGATTACAGTCAGACCAGGCATGTTATGGAAAAAGGCAATGAATTAGTTATAGCCTAAATGAAGCGATTGAGAGCATGTTGTGGCCTAACTTGCCAGGTACCTACGTACGTAATAAGGTATGCTGGTTGTGCCTGCCACCGGCGCGCCCGGACCCCTGACTAGACGACCGGAACAAAGTGGTTCCATTGGCGCGCGTGTGTGCCTGTGCCTTTCTTGGGCCTTGGGGCGGCGCCAACCCAATGACAGAAAACTCACCGACACACCCTTGGACTCCCGCCCAGGCTAGGAGACAGTCTTCCGCCGCGCGAGTGTCTGCTTCTTTTTGGCTCGTGAACCTTGATGCGTGGACCACAGGAAGCGTTCCACTGTTTTTCGTAGCCATCAGGATCTCAAATTGACTCAATCCTCAGTCTGGAGTTCTCTCTGACCCCAGATTCTTTGGAACACTACTCCAGGTTTTCTTACCTGCTCTCGTTTTCGACGTCTCTTGGAGAAGTCTTGGACTTGATTTGGACGACGGGGCCCGAGTCAAAAAGTTTTATTTTTATTTTGTCCACAAACTTTTGCTTCGAACACCTGCCGCGGTTGGTTGCGATCCCGGCCCTCGCAGATCCCTCTTTTTCGACTTGCGTCTTGAATTGACCATCACGTCCGCCCGCCTACCCCCCTCCAGCCGATTGCGCACGCGACGAGCCGTTCTCGACGATCACGGACGGGTTTATCGAGTCCATTGGCAGCAGACGACACAATGGCACAGATGGTGACGGTCAAGGAGGCTGTCAAGGACAGCCTCGTGGGTACCGAGGGTTCTACGCAAATGTCCGCCCAGACCAAGGCGCGGTTCACGTCCAACGCCGTCAAGGATCCCGAGACGGGCGAGCTCTACATGGGGCCGGAGGAGTTTATCACAGCCATTGTACCCAAGAATGAGGACTTTGTGAGTGGCTGGCTTAGAGAAGAGACTGGAGGCGGTGACTAACCGCCATGCGAAACAGCACAAGATCAAGCGCGAGCAGTACTCGATCCTCTTCCGCGTCGCGGACATGAAGAACTGCGGACGCGTCACCCTGACCGACTGGGGCGTCTTTGAGAACCTACTCATGAAGCCCGACTCGGAGTACGAGATTGCCTTCCGCCTCTTTGACGTGGAGCGCAACGGCACCGTGCGCTACGAGGACTTTCGCCGCCTGTACGAGCTGAACAAGGGACCGGATAACATCCCCTTTGACTGGGACTGCGAGTGGGCCAAGCTGTACATTGGCAGCCGCAAGAAGCGCCACAACCTCGACTACCCCCAGTTCTCGCAGATGCTGCGCGGCCTGCAGGGCGAGCGCATCCGCCAGGCCTTCCAACTCTTCGACAAGGACGGCGACGGCTACATCAACCCCGAGGACTTTGAGCGTATCATTGTCGAGACGGCCAAGCACAAGCTGTCGGACCACCTGCTGGAGAACCTGCACACGCTGTGCAACATTTCGACCGGCAGCAAGATCTCGTACGCCAACGTGCGCGCCTTTCAGAACATGATGAAGGAGATGGACCTGGTCGAGCTGATCCTGCGCCGCGCCGTCGAGGGGTCCACCGATGGCAAGATTACGCGCTCCGAGTTCCTCAACGAGGCGGCCAAGATCACCCGCTTCTCGCTCTTCACGCCCATGGAGGCCGACATTCTCTTCCACTTTGCCGGTCTCGACAAGCCCTCGGGCCGCCTGGGCCTGAGCGACTTTGCCAAGGTGCTGGACCCCTCGTGGCGGAACCCCATCTACGACGCGCAGGACCAGGGCAGCACCGTGGCGGCGGCCAAGTCGGCGAGCGGCCACGTCCTGCGCAGCGTCCTCGAGTCGGCCTACAACTTTGGCCTGGGCTCCATGGCCGGTGCGTTTGGCGCGTTTATGGTGTATCCGATCGACCTGGTCAAGACCCGCCTGCAGAACCAGCGTGGGGCGCAGCCCGGGCAGCGCCTGTACAAGAACTCGATCGACTGCTTCCAAAAGGTGATCAAGAACGAGGGCTTCCGCGGGCTGTATTCGGGCGTGCTGCCGCAGCTGGTCGGCGTGGCGCCGGAAAAGGCCATCAAGCTGACGGTCAACGACCTGATGCGCGGCGCCCTAGCCGACAAGACGTCGAGCCAGCTCAGCCTGGCGTCGGAAGTCATCTCTGGCGGCACGGCTGGCGCGTGTCAAGTTGTACGTTTTCTTTTTACTCTTGCGCCCTGACCATACATGCTGATAGTGACAGGTCTTCACCAACCCCCTCGAAATCGTCAAGATCCGCCTGCAGGTCCAGGGTGAAATCGCAAAGACGGTCGACGGCGCGCCGAAGCGGTCGGCCATGTGGATCGTGCGCAACCTCGGTCTCGTCGGTCTGTACAAGGGCGCGTCGGCGTGTCTGCTGCGCGACGTGCCCTTTTCGGCCATCTACTTCCCGACCTACAGCCACCTGAAGAAGGACTTTTTCGGCGAGTCGCCGACCAAGAAGCTGGGCATCCTGCAGCTCCTGACAGCCGGTGCGATTGCCGGCATGCCGGCCGCGTACCTGACGACGCCGTGCGACGTGATCAAGACGCGACTCCAGGTGGAGGCGCGCAAGGGCGAGGCGCAGTACACGGACCTCCGGCACGCGGCGCGGACGATCTGGAAGGAGGAGGGCTTCACGGCCTTCTTCAAGGGCGGGCCGGCGCGCATCTTCCGCTCGTCGCCGCAGTTTGGCTTCACGCTCGCGGCGTACGAGCTGCTGCAGACGCTGCTCCCGATGCCTGGTAGTAAGCAGGAGACGGCGGCGCACGTCGGCGTGGCGGAGGCGGCGTCGTCGATCAAGGGCCAGCTGGACACGAGCCCGTTTGCGCGCAGCCGGAATGCGCTCAAGGTGATCCTGGACCTGGACGAGGACTTTGGCCGGATGAAGCTGCCCAACGAGCAGGGGTGGCGGTCGCTGCCCAAGGCTGTTGGTGGTTCGAAATAGGGTTGCCTGCTGGTGGATGAGAATCTTGCTGCCATCCGCTTGCGCGGACGTCGGTTGTGAGCGGCATCCAGAGATTACCGCGCATAGCCGGCAGACTGGATGGATGGAGGCAAACGAGCCATTTTTGAGAGCGGCCACCAGATCTGGGAGCCGGCAAAGCGACGAGAGGGTCGGTTGTATCTGATCTGTACTGCATCAGACGGCGTCTGGGGTTTTATTATGCTTGTGTTTATGCGTCACACTGTTCATGGTGTGTCTTGTGCGTTCTTTTGTTCTTGGTGCCCTTCGTGATGGGTGGGCAGAGAGGAGGCTGTAGGAGCAGGCATGGTACAAAAGTAGAGTACAGCTAGACGATAGACTAGATACAATCTGTGTTGACTTTTGCAGTCTTTGTCTGTTGATGATGCTCAGCGGGTGAAGGATGTGCCACCGCGCAGACGAGTCGCAGGGCTATGCTTGGGTGGTTGTATGCGTGACAAGCAAGACTGAGTATCAATTCAGTTCTTGCTAATAATACAATAGTTTGAATTACTATAAGAGTTTGTTAGGAATTAATGGTAGGCAATTGCAGGCTTGACCTTCAAATGCACGTGCGCGTAGAGGCGCCCCGCATGACACCATCGCGAACTCGAGCCGATGCATCCACCTCCGTCTCTCCCTCTGCCTCGAGTTTCTCCCTCTGCCCTCGCGTGATCAGTTGGCTCGAACCTGCGCTCGCTCAACCACCCAGCAGACCGCCACCCATGGCCCTCCTCGAGATCCTGTCCGCCATCTTCGGCTGGGTCTACTTCCTCTGCTGGTCCGCGTCCTTCTACCCGCAGCCGGTGCTCAACTGGGGACGCGCCTCGACCTCGGGGACGACGGTCGACTTTCCCTTTCTCAACGTCATCGGTGGGCTCTCCAGTAACTACCAACACACAAGCCCGACAGACTAACCTCGACAGGCTTCGCGGCGTACTTTGCCTCCAACGCAGCCTTCTACTACTCGCCCACGATCCGCGCCCAGTACGCCGCGCGCCACAACGACCTCACGCCCACCGTCGCCTTCAACGACATTGTCTTTGCCCTGCACGGCCTTATCCTGAGCGTCATCACCGCGAGCCAGTACCTCTTCGCCAAGTCACTGTGGGGGTTCCCGCCCAGCGTGGGCGCCCGACCGAGCCGCCTCGCGCTGGGCATTGGCAACGGGTGCGTCGTCGGCGTGCTCGCCACGGTCCTCATTGTCGCGACTGCGGGGGCCGCGGACATTGATCACCCGGCTCGCGCCTGGTGCGCGCTCGACATTGTCTACGCCGTGGGCTACGTCAAGCTCGTGGTCACGCTGGTCAAGTACGTGCCGCAGATGCTGGCCAACTGGCGCAACAAGAGCACCCGTGGCTGGAGCATCTGGCAGATCCTCCTCGACTTTTCGGGCGGCATCCTCAGCATCGCCCAGCAGGGCATCGATAGCTGGCTGCAGGGCGACTGGAGCGGCATCACGGGCAATCCCGTCAAGTTTGCGCTGGGCAATGCGAGCATGGTGTACGATGTTATCTTTATGGTGCAGCACTACGTGCTGTATCCAGGCGGCAAGGGGGACTACGACGATGACGACGATAGCAGGGGACATCAGGAGGAGCGTCAACGTCTGATGGACGAGGAGAGGCGGATAGCCTGAGCTTACTATAGCTGTACATCCTTGCGAAGAAGAATTGCATATAATTACTGCCGTATGTCATGAGATCTTGCCCTTGTGGTCCTTCCTCTCCCCCTCGTGGATGCCAATGCCCAGCACGGCGCCCAAGCGCACGACGCCCATGCCAATGAGGATGCCAAAGTTGATCCAGTCCGTCAGGCGCCAGGCCCCGACGCCGACGCCCTGGCCCCCAACGCCGCCGGCGCCGTACTCGCGCACCGAGACGGCAATGTGCAGGAGGTCGGAGAGCAGCATGCCCGCGCACATGACGCGCCAGATCTTGGTCTGGGTGCCGGCCACGCGCAGCGTCACGGCGAGGTTGAAGGCGAAGACGAGCTGCATGATGCCGAGCATGTCGGTGAGGATGCGCACGTTGCGCAGCGCATCGTCGCCGTTGCCATGGCTGCTGCTGCTGTGCGACAGGGCGGCGGACGGTGCGAGCGCGAGGGAGGATGCGTTGGCGACGGGGTGGTGAGGTGACACGGCGTCGAGGAAGTGTGAGGGTGACGCCAAGCAGAGAAATGCGCCGTTGAGCGCGAACAGGGGCTCGATGTAGAGGAGCACGATGCGGTAGAAGAGCGGGATTGGGTGTTTCTCCGCGTCGTCCATTGTGCCTTTCTTCTTGTCCCTCCCTCTCTCCAATGTCTTCTGTTGCGATTTTCTTCTCTTCTTCTCTTTCACTCGCCTTCTGATGTCTTTCCTTCTGTGATGGTGTACGTACAAGGGCGCAGTGATTCAGTGACGACGACGATGACGACGATGCCAGGAGGAGGAGACGAACGGAGGCCAACTGCGCTCTGTTATAAGTGTTGGATCGCCCTTCTCTTTGTCGCTGGCCCGCCTCAACAGCTTGCTGATTAGTTGATTCAGAGCCGAGCAGAGAGAAAAAAAAAGAAAATGGCAGAGCGGCCGCCTGTGTGTGGTGTCGATCATGAGCACCGTCGCCCTCCCTGGTATCCGACACGAGAACCGACCGCCAATTGGAGAGTGAGGATGTCGCCGCCCGCCATACCACAGCAAAGGGCAAAATGTTTAGGCGGCGAGCGCCATAGCTAAGGTACGTAGCAGACTAAAATTTAGTAGTACGTAGCAGAAATCCTATATTGGAGACAAATCCAGTCCAGCGGGCGGCCGACAGATTGGAGACGTCCCGGCTGGCTGGAGGCATGCATGGGTCGGCCGACGGACAAGACGAGGGGTTCCTCTCCGATTGGCAGTCGACAGTCGTTCGTCAGTCAGTCATTCACTTCTCGTCAGATCATGTGGCTTTGTAACTTGTTCGGAGACTTTCTTGTCATGGGCGGTCAGTCCGTTGTCGCGGTGGCTTTAGCGTTATGCTGGTGGTCGCCATGGGTTTCTTAACAGATGCGCGACATCCGCTTCACCCACACCAGACGTTGCTTCTTCGATCCATACAAGATACACAGACTGGATTGGCAGGTCTATCCGTCTACACAGTAGTGCTTACACTACTTGATGATACATATGTACTGTACATTGGTGCCATCACTCACACCACGTAGGCCACCCGGCGCGCATGGCGCAGCGGAATCACCCTCTTCGCCGCCCGGAGATCAACAGGCTGTGGTGACTTATTGTTGCCCTTCCTCTTGGCCCCTCCCACGTCGAGCGCGCCGTCCTCGCCGCTGAGACGCCTACCAAGGTCCGTCTTCAAGATGGCCTCGGTCATCCAGGGCCCTAGCTCTTCGTCGCTGAGGGCGTCTGGAGGCGGTGCAATCTCCACCACGCCCCTCTGCTTCCCGTTCACCTGCACGGTCCAAGTCTGCTCTCGCGGCTGCACCAGGTCCTCACTGCCGTCCATCTCGGGGAACTTTGAGGTGAACACGGACCCGGCGCCCGGGCAGAGGACGCTCCAGCACTCTTCCGCGACAGCGGGGGCAATGGGCGCGAGCATCCGCGTCAGCTCGACGGCGGCTTGTTGGCGAACCACCGGGCTGGCATTCTTCTGGCCGGCCATGACGTTTGTCAGGCTCATCAGATCCGACACCACGGTGTTGATGTAGTAGATCTCATCGTACGTCCCCGTGATAGACTTGATTGTCTTTTGCACTTCACGCCACACTGTCGAGTCGGCATCCCACTGCGCAAGCTCTTCCTTGTCCATCGTTGCCAAACGGGAGTGTCGCTCGCTCAAGACGTCCTTGACGGACTGGCTTGTTGATGCCTCGCCAATCTCGCTGACTTGGTCATGCAACCTCTTTAGCCATCGCGTGACACCGGAAATCTTCTCCTCGTCCCAGTTCAAAAGGTCGGCCACGGGTGCTTGGAAGATGATGTGCGCTCTCGTCGGGTCAGCTCCGTATCTGGCGATGAACTCTGTCGGGTCAACTCCATTGTACTTTGACTTGGACATCTTCTCAAACGTCATGTTGGCTTCTCGGCCCGTCGCCACAACCGTGGGCTTGCTCGGGTCGGACAGGTCAACCTCGTCAGGCTTGAGGAACTTTCCCGTGTCCGGGTCACTGTACGTCCTGCCCTGCACCATGCCCTGCGTGATGAGCCGCTGGAAGGGCTCTGCCGCCGCCACCCGGTCTTCGGAATACTGCGGCAGGACATTGATCGACGCGAGGAACTTGTAAATGAACCGCGCATACAGCAGATGCAGAATCGCATGCTCAATGCCACCCAGATATACGTCCACCGGCAACGCCTGGGCTGCTTCGGCGGAGAGGAGTTCCTTTGCGTTCTGCGGGTCCGCGAACCGGGCGTAGTACCAGCTCGAGTCCACAAACGTGTCCATGGTGTCGGTGTCGCGCTTTGCGGAGCCCTTGCACTTGGGGCATGTCGTCTCGACAAACTCGGGTGACGTCTCGAGCGCATTCCCGGCCTTGCCACCCGCCCACTCCACCTCGGGCAGCTTCACCGGCAGATCCTCATCAGGCACCGGTACGGCGCCGCAGGAGTCGCAATGCACAATGGGGATGGGCGTCCCCCAGTAACGTTGCCGACTGATGAGCCAGTCGCGCAGCCTCCACTTCTCCACGGGCGTCGCCAGCCCAGCGTGCTCCAGCATCTTGACTATCATCTCCCCCGCCACCGTCGACGACTTGCCCTCATAAGGCCCGCTGTGCTCCGTCAATGTCCCCTCGCCGATATACGGTTCATTCTTCATCACTGTCGTCGACTCATCCTCGGACGCCGCTAGAACCATGCGCACTGGCTCGTCGGCGTGATGTTTGGTCCAGAACGCATGATCACGGACGTCGTGCCCCGGCACGCCCATGACCGCCCCCTCCCCATAGTCGCCCAGGACGTATGACGCAACGTAGACCGGCAGCGATGCCTTAGTCGCATCCGGGGTCTCTTCGTGGTACGCCAGGGGGTTCACGGCCCTCAGACCGGGCAGCAGGTATCCGACCTTGGAATCCGCGGGTAGGCCTGGTAGCGTGTCCAGGAACGCCTGTAGCTCCGGGTCCGCCTTGGCCAGCTGTCTCACCGTAGGGTGCGTGGCGGCCAGGGCGATGTACTGCACCCCGAACAACGTGTCCGGCCTCGTCGTGAAGACCTCAATGGCCGTGCCGACCGAGTGCCCGAGTGCCATGACCGGAAACTTGACCGTAGCCCCGGTCGACTTGCCCAGCCAGTTCCGCTGCTGCGAGACGACCATCTTGGGCCACGCGCTGTCCTTCTCCAGCTCATCCAGGCCGTTGAGCAATGCCTCCTGGAACTCGGAAATCTTGAAGAACCATTGCTTCAGCTTCCTTTTCTCCACCTTGGCGCCCGAGCGCCACGAGCACCCATTCGCGTCCACCTGCTCGTTCGCCAGGACCGTCTTGTCGATCGGGTCGTAGTTCACCTCCGCCTCAGCCTGATACGCCAGCCCGCGCTCGTGCAACATGAGGAATAGTTTTTGCGTGTGCTTGTAGAAATTCGGATCGCACGTCGTGAGCTCACGGTCCCAGTCCCAGCTCCCATTCATGACCTCCAGTTGCTCCTTCATCCTGGCAATGTTGCTCGTCGTCCACTCGCCCGGCGGTATTCCCCGCTCGAGGGCCGCATTCTCCGCCGGTAGGCCAAAGGCGTCCCAGCCCATGGGCAGGACCACTTCATCTCCCTTCAGCTTGCGGTACCGCGCCACCACGTCGGCGATTGTGTAGACGCGTAAATGACCGAGGTGGAGTGTGCCGGAGGGATAGGGGAACATGGGAAGCACATATCGGGGTTTCGTATCAGAGGCAGAGGGCGGCAGCTCCGTCTTCCATTTCTGCCGCCATTTCGTGTCGAGCGCGTTGAAGTCGAGCGATGTGCGCCAGCGTCTCTGGGTCGCGTGCAGTCGGAGGTGTGGACTATTGAGCTTGGTGAGGCGTGCCGTGCAGGCCGCGCCGCGCAAGAGTCGACTCCCATGCAGCAGCTGCATTGCGGCCGTTCTACCGTATCATTGCGCGATGTGATGAAATGGGTACGAGGTGGTTGAGATTTCTCTAGACAAGTTGTGGTGGTGTTGGAGGGAAGGTCTTGGCTTGACTTGACAGTGCAGTGCCGGGATGGAGCTTGGGCCATCTGCATCGGGAGAGAAGCTGCAAGGGCAGTCACCTAATGTAAGCTAAGCTGTTTAGAGACTAGCGTCGTTGGACGAGACTGCGACGTCACAGCAGGTGCTTGCAGGGCTCCTTCTCACAAATACACACAACGATGGTGCCTTCCTCCTCACTCTGGAAAGTGACAGAACAGCAAACTCAATTTATTACACATCTCCAAGATCCATTCATCATCTAGAGGAGTTCCCCCCTACACGTTCGAGGTTATATGCTGGCCCCTTACCCAGTTCATTGGACCCGCGGTGGCGGCGCTCTTCATCTTCACCAGCTGGGAGCAGCCCATATTCAGCTTCGTCCTTGCGCCGGAACAGTCTCGAGAGAAGTCTGGAGCGTCTGCGATGCAAGATGGTGATCACACCACTAAGAAAAGTCATGTTAGCATGTATCCAGCACGGTTGACAGACTCGAACAAAAAAGAAATGGCTTGCTTACAAGAAGGCGGCCGGACCAACGACGAAGAAACCGACTCCGCCGACAAGCAAATCAAACCAGGGGGAAGGGCCGTTGGAAGAATACGCCTCGCTCTCCGTGTTCTTGTCATCATCCTTGTCATCGTCCTTATCGTCACTCGACTTGGTGTTGGCGGGCACCGTCACCTTGGCGGACGAAGGAATGGCTAAGTCGATTGTCTTTGACCCGACGCTCTTCACCTCGTCAATGTCATAGTCGAGCTCGACGACCTCAAAGGTCTTTGTGTCGACGGCTGGCGTCGAGCCGATGATGTTGCCGTCCTTGTCCAGCGCGGCGACACGTGCATAGTCCGCAATGGCAATGCCGTCCAGTTGGAACTGCGTCTCAAACCCATTCCGGGGCGATTGCGCAGCCACCTTGCTAGCGCCGTTCAGGTCCTTTTTGTCGTCCGACATGAGCAGCACCCAATGGTCGACCTTGGTGGCGCCGTTCCACGAGACGTACACGCTTCTACCGGTGTCATCGGGGGCGCAGGCGATGCTGGGGCCCCAGGACGGATTGCCCTCCCACTGGCCCTTCCAGATGCGGTAGGTGATGACATCAAAGACGCCGTGCTCCATCGACTTGACGTCGGCGCGCTGGATATCCATGATGAGCTCGCCGTCGGCCGTGTACTCGGTGTACATGGGGTTCTGGCCCCAAGCGACAATGACATTGCCACTGGGCGTCCTTTGCACTCCGCCACGCGACGCAGAGATGAGGTTTTGGGGATGGTACCACTCGTTGACCTTCCAATACTCCATGGTTTCCGGGTTGTACTCAATCTCGAGCCCACGGGAGCACTGCCCTTCGGTGCACCACCCGTTTGCGTCGGACTTATGGTTGTCAAACAGCGTGAAACGGTTCTTCCCCGTCATGCGTGCTTCGTGCTGGTACCCGAACTCGCCCGTGCCGTTCTGGGTGATGTCCTTGAAGGTATTCCTCTTGCCGCCCATGACCCACATCACCTCCTTTGTCTGGCCGTTGACCAGGACCACACAGCTGAGCTGGCGATAGCTGATGAGATAGTTGCCCTCCTCCGTCTTCTCGACCGCGTTCATGTGGCAGTAGTCCCAGACATCTTCGTTGTTGTACTTCCACACGCTGTCCTCGGGTCGGAAGAAGTCCGAGGTCGCCCATTCGAAGACGACTTCCGCCGTGTCCGGCACGATCTCCTGGATGGTGCAGTCTCCAATCCTCTTGCCTTCCGCGGGGCCGCCTACCTTGGACAGATCCGCGTCCCGAGCCGGGCAGAGAAACATGAGGATATGCCCGTCGTTGGTGAGGGCAGCCTCGTGCGAGTCGGGGACCACGCCGTTCAGGTCGCCCCGTCCATCGTACACGTGGAGCTGCTTGTAATTTTGGTCGTACACGCGGACTCGGCCATCCGAGTACGACGACATGACTCTCCCATGGCCGTTCCAGTCCTCCCACGTCCTCGCAACCTGCGCCAGACCATTATAGGACTGGTCTGCCCAGACTAGACTGAGATCCTTGGATGACACAATACTCGGGCCCCATTTACCGTACTTGCCGGCCATGAACATATACGGGCTATCCGTGTCAATTTTGTCCGGGTCCCAGTAGTTGACCTGATATACAGGCGCCTTGACCTTGGATGAGTGGAAGGATTGCGTGGGTATGTCACCAAGAGCCCCATTCTGGTAGGACCCGTGGTCGGTATGGTACGGTTTGTCGGCCGAAACGGGCGTTGTAAAAAGAGAGGATGCCGCGGCGATGCTCACGGCGGCGAGGCGAGGGATGCCCATGATCGCGAGCCAGCGCGTTGGGGGCTCTCTGGGCAAACGGGTGACTGGGGGAGCTGCGGTGGTAGGGGCGAAATCGACAAAGAACATGGAAACTCGCAGTAAGTACACAAAACGATCAAGAGGGAATGCTCAGGCAGGACTGGAAGACAAGAAGTAAACGAAGCTGGAGCGGATTATGAAGGGAGTTACAAGTTGATAATCAGGGGTCCTCCCAAGATGAATCCATAGGCGACCATCATCCCTCGCTCCCCTTGGACGTACTTACGTACGCGACTACCTACGCGTAATGCCGGTCGAGCATCGCCACAATGGCAGATGCAGGCTTGTAATTTAGCCAGCCATGCTCCAGCCATTCATCAAGCTTTGGGTTGGGGCGATCCCCATCCCCAGCACAGCGCCGACGAGCCGAGCGCAATGCCGTCCGACCACCCGGCACGAGCCATGATGATTCGTATGCTCTATTTGCACCAGAGAAAAGCAGTCTCTACAAAGTCCGACATGTTGATTCTGATGCCCCAAGATCATGCACTCGAACACTACGTCTGGCCAATCATCTGCGCGGTAGGCACCCCCAGCCATCGGCGACTAGCGTAGTGCGGCCGGTGTCATTCAGTGATAATTGATAAGGCACTCCGTACTACCCACGTACGTTCCACGCGTCCATCAACTGCAAGCATGAGCATTTAATTTAGAATTATCATTTCGTCCGCTGCCATGACAATCTTTCGTCTGCCGCAGTTCCGACGCTGCAGAAGTCGGGAACTTTCGGTGTAGGTTGGAAGAGTGTGAACCAGCGGCTCACACGGCTCGCCTCCCTGGCTGTCACTCCTGGCTTGAGACACGTGTAGGGAGCCCCTGGCCCCTGAGTTCCTGACGCCGACGACCCGTGGCTCAGATCTATCATCTACGTACCTAGCAGCGGAAAATCATTCATCAATTACAGGTTCCCACCACACATCGATCCATCGCACAGATGTCCAACCCTTCAGAGTCTCGCCAGCGTTGGTCACGTGGTGCCTGTCCGGCAGACAGAACGGCTCATCTGCGAGCTCGATGGTCTCGAGCGGCTCTAGGATGTCGGTTGGATCACCAGGCCGCACTCTGTGTACGTACTGCAGCTGAGACTGCCAGTATGTACTCGCTTCTTCAAGGAGTACCGCGAGGCCAAGTCCTCCATATGCCATTGAATGCAACATAGGCCACCTTGCGCAGGGATTGGCATTGCGGCAGTTGAGTGAACCTTTGGATGATCTGGACTAGAGAAGAAATGCAGTCTTCGCCAAACGTGACGTCCAGAGAGTCTAATTACTTGCTACAGGTAAAATGTACGACGCTACTAGTGTGCTTGGTAGGACTATGGGTTAGGTCTGCCGCTTCAAATGCCGAGAGGCCCCTGTTGTCACCACACTTATCGATAAGCTATGACTACTATACAGAACCCCGCCATCGGCCTGCCCCTTGCACTGGCAGTGACTGCCCCTTGCACTGGCAGTGACTGCCCCTTGCACTGGCAGTGACTGCCCCTCCAAGACGAATTTCGTCCGCAAGCAAGTCCTGGAGCTGCCAACAGCACACAGGTCACCAGCATCATCACCATGGCGCCCGTCGACAAGATCACCGACAAGATTGCCGCCCTCCCGGCGGACGGCAATTACTTCTCCCTCGAGTTCTTCCCGCCCAAGACCGAGATGGGCTTCAACAACCTGCGCGACCGCCTGTACCGCATGGAGCGCGCCCTGCGCCCGCTCTTCGTCAACGTCACCTGGGGCGCCGGGGGCTCCACGGCCGACAAGTCGCTCGAGCTCGCCGAGCTGTGCCAGAAGGAGGTTGGTATCACAACCTGCCTGCACTTGACGTGCACCAACATGAGCCGCCGACTCGTGGACAAGGCGCTCGCGGACGCCAAGAAGGCTGGGATACGCAACATCCTGGCCCTGCGAGGCGACCCACCCCGAGACGACGAGTACCGCATCGACGGCGACGAGGTCGACGAGGAGGGCGACAAGCTCGTCTGGGCACAGGACCTGGTCGCGTATATCCGCAAAAAGTACGACGATTACTTCTGCATTGGCGTCGCCGCCTACCCAGAGGGCCACTCGGACGAGAGCCACCCCGTACACCAGAGCTTGGAGCATGATCTGCCGTACCTCGTGGACAAGGTCATGGCGGGCGCGGACTTCATCATGACGCAACTCTTCTTCGACCTCGAGGCGTACGACAAGTTCGAGCGCACGCTGCGCGACCACCCGAGCGGCATCTTCAAGACAATACCCATCATCCCCGGGCTGATGCCCATCCAGGGGTTCCAGATGATCCGCCGCATCATGAAGCTCAGCCACGCCAAGATGCCCGAGGACTACAACGCGCGCCTCGTGGCCGTCAAGGGGGACGATGAAAAGGTCAAGATGGCCGGCGTCGACATTCTCAGCGAGATGGTCGAGACCATTCGCGAGATCAAAAGCCGGACACCGGGGCCCAAGGGCTTCCACTTCTACACGCTCAACCTCGAAAAGGCCGTCTCCTTCATCATCGAGAGGACGAATCTAATTGGCGCGACCCCCGACGGCGAGGAGGCCATTGTCGACGACGCATCCATCCCCACGGTCCAGATCAACGGCGACGCAGCCGCCATGCGTCGCCGTTCCAGCCGGGCGCGGAGCAGCAGGAGGACGTCCTCGGCGGGCGCGGACCCCCACAACCGAGTCATCATCAGCGACGGCGAGAGGCGACCGTCGAACCCCAGCTGGGAGGTCACCGGGCAGGAGGCCGGCGTCCGCGCCGAGCCCGTCAACACCCGCGCCAACACGCTGGCCATCTCCGAGGGCGAGGGCGTGCTCGGCAGGGAGGCCACGTGGGACGACTTCCCCAACGGTCGTTTCGGCGACGCCCGCTCCCCCGCCTATGGTGAGATTGACGGCTACGGTGTCAGTTTGCACATGTCGCCCGCGGCCGCCATCAAGCTCTGGGGCCAGCCCACGTCTGTCCAAGACGTCAACGAGCTGTTTGTCCAGCACATTCGGGGGGAGCTGGCCGCCACCCCCTGGAGTGAGGAGGAGCTGCTACCGGAGAGTTCGGCCATCACACCCCATCTCCTGCAGCTCAACTCCAAGGGTTGGTTGACGGTCGCTTCGCAGCCGGCCGTCAACGGCCTGCGGTCGTCGGATGCGACCTTTGGATGGGGCCCGTCCAACGGCTTCGTCTTCCAAAAGGCATTTGTCGAGTTTTTCCTGTCCTCGGCCGACTGGCAGGTTCTCGAGGGCCGCCTGAGAGCCGCCCTGCCCGAGGTGTGCTTCTACGCCGCCAACGCCAAGGGCGACGTCGTGTCCTCCCACCCCAGCAGCGGCGCGAGCGCAGAGGGCGTGCCCACCACCGACAACACGAACGCGGTGACGTGGGGCGTTTTTCCCGGCAAGGAGATTGTCACGCCGACCATTATCGAGGAGGTGTCCTTCCGGGCGTGGAGCGAGGAGGCCTTTGGCATCTGGGCTGAGTGGGCCAAGGTCTACGGCCGGGGCTCGGCGAGCGAGAAGTTTTTGAGTAGCATGAGGGATGACTACTGGCTGGTCAACGTGATACACCACGAATACGTGGAAGGCGACGCGCTGTGGAAGCTCCTCAACGGCTGAAATCCGCATGTTTGAGTTATAGCCGCATATATAAGAGAGGTTGGTGTTATATTGTACCATAGTTCAGCATGGGGACAAAGGGCTGCGGAGCGTGGAGTCGAGGCATGATGATTGAATATAGGAGAATGGCGTGAGATGGTTTCCATCTGTCTCGCATCAAATGTTTGTGCTGCTAATCTAGTAAAGTGTTCTTGTGTGTCCTCGCCAACGCCCCAGGTTGCTTCATGCCTCTTGTTTGCGTGGCACAGCAAGCCAAGCTGGCAATACCGAAATGCAAACAAACCATGGTATCCTTTCCGTTCCGCCAACGCCAATAAAGCAAGTGTTCCCGTGACCGTGTGTGTTACATCCTCCGTGAACCCGGTCTAAATCTCACCGTCGTCACCACCAACGACAGACATGTCATTGTGGTGGGCAGAAGGCGCACCAACATAGGGGTCGGTGGCGCCGATCATATCAGACAGACGGGAACCGTTCAGGCCAGCTGTGCCGCTGGTAGTACCGTTTCCATCCCCAAAGATGCTCTTGGGCGCCACGTACGTCCGCGGCTCCTCGTCCGAGGTACTGCTACCCGCTGGTGCGGAGGCGGCGATCGTATCGGCAGCCTGGCTGGCCGCCCGGCGGGAGGGCGTGCCGTTCTTGCGGGCCGAGGCGGCGGTCCTGGGTGTCGTGGCGGGGCCCCTCATACGCTTGCTCGGGGTATCTTCGCGGTCAATCTCTTCGTAGTTGACGCTTGAGGAAAATTCGTCGTCGGACATGAGCTCGGCCTTGATGGGGGTCTCCTCCTTGATCTTGCGCTTCCGGCCGCCGGCGGTGGATGGTGTCGCGCGGGCGGCGCCACCGCGGGGGCCCCTGGAGGGCGTGGACTGGGCAGAGGCACCGGCGGCACCGAGACCGACGAGGGGGACGCTGTTGGGATCGCCGCCTTCATCGGCGACGCTGCGGATCTTGTCGGCGTCCTTCTTGATACCCCGGAACTGGAACTGAATGCCGTCACCGGTGGAGCCACCAAAGTACTTTGCAATGTCTGCGAGTTCTGGTTAGCCGCGTGGTCTACTTCGGAGCATACAATTGGGTTGTGATGGTGGGATGGTGCGCATACTGGATTTGTCGACGTCTTTCTGGGCCGTGGGCAGGCTGTCACTCGAATCGAGATTCTTCATGTCAAGACCCTGCTGACGGGCCTCGGCGATGATGACAGCCTCAGCGCGAAGACGGCGGAAGCGATGGTTCAGCGCGTCCTTGGTCAGATCAGATCCGAAGCATTCCGTAATGTCTACGGAGGCCGGTCAGCCCAAGTAGCTACAACGTCCAACCCGATTGGCTCCCAGAGTCGGCGGTTGTGATGGTGATGAGGGAGATGGAGGGAGCAGATGATGGCAGATGAATACTGGACTTACCCTTGTAGTTCCACTTCACCTCGGGGTGAGCGGCGACAATGGCACGAAGGAGACGGGCCTGAGCCTCGTAGGTTTTGTAGTTTGCCTTGGGTGTGGGAGGCATCTTGATGGTGAGAGTCTATGTCTGGTTAGTGAGTGCGTTGAGGCGGAAGAGAGAGTTGCTGACTTGAGGTGGCTAGGTGACGCTTGTGGTATGTTTGCTCAGGGTCAAGCAAGAGTATGGGAATGTTTTGAATGTAATCAAAAGACAATTGTCAAGAAATCGAGGCGGCTCGAGATATGTTGCCGTGTTCTGCTCGGTATTTGGAGGTAGAGAGGTCGGAGGAGTGGTAGTGGAAGAAAGATGAAAGAAGAGTAAAGAGAGAGAGATTGCTGAGGATTAAATAGAGATAGCAAGCCGCAAGCTCTGAGAAATAGGTGTTAGAACTGAGATCGGTGAATGGGCATCCGATGTGGCTCCGGACGAGTTTCCAGGACCCTTGCAGAGTTAGAAGCGTAAGTGAGATGGGAGCGTCGCCTGGAAACATGCGGAAGCTGCCTGATAATTCTCAGGCCTGCAAGTGATGGGATGGAAGCCTCTTCTGTGGCTCACTTTATCTTGAGACGCTCTGATGGGATGAAGTGTACGAGAGGCTTTTGATTCGACACTTGGGCAGAGGGCAGCAGAAGAGAAGAAGACTTGGACGTACTGTACTCGGCACCTGAGGGTTGTCCTATAGCAGTAGGATCTCAGGTGAAGGGTTCCAGAGCCCCAACGTCCTGCCAGCAAGGGCGTTAGGAGTCACTGGCGAGCTCAAGAGAAGCGTAGCCAGATATGTGACTCTGCAGGCAAAGTGAGATGAGTGACTGGGACCAGCCTGGTGGACGCTTGTTGGCCACTGCCCGTAAATTTGCCGGCAGACGGCAAATGCCTGGTGGTGCCAAACAATAAGTCTGATCTTGGCACCTATTCAAATAGAAAGATGTTCAATCCTGGGCGCAATGTGCCCCTGTTCTGTATGGCTGTCGTCGATAGTAGAGATTGATGAAGCCCGTCGCAAACTCAGTTGTGGTTAGGGGCAGGCCGTTGTCCGGGCAACGAGGTCGAAGCGAGCTCTCGGGATGAATTATAGTACATAGAAAGGACGCAAACAAACGCTGGCTGGCACACGTAGATTTAATTGAGGAGGCTGGGAGGTCGAATGTCTGATGCAACGACTGCAGTGGGGGCTTCTGACGTTGCAAAGTCCAGTCCAGTCCTGTGGCTGGGTAATGTCTCAGTGTAGCGACGGGCTGCCTTGAGCGTGGTGCGCTTCAGTTAGTGCATCACTTGGCAGGCGACGCGACGATGACATGTGTCGCCCACATATAGTTCATCAAAGCTGAAAGACAGATGCATTGGAAAAACAAGTTTTTGATGTCTCTGGAATTTAAATTGTTAAATATCAGCTCTATCTTCATCTTTATATTGCTCAACATGTGCTGGCAATGCATGTCCTCGCTAACAGCTCTTAACGCAGTGGCAGGGCAGGGACCACAGGGTGGCCTATCCTCGACAGACTGATAGCGATGCTTGGCCCATAATGACCCCTGACGGCTGTCGAATGAACAGGTGTATCTTCATGACTGACCAGAAGCAAATGATTAAGTTGGTGTATTTGAGATCCCCTTGTGTTTATCGGTGGAAACTCTTTCTATGTGATGCGTACTTTATCCATGTATATATGACTGACCCCGACTCCTACCGTATCCCATCGTATTCCCATCTACGGAGTACCAAGAGTCCAATGACCAGTACGCCATGCGCTCTATTCAAGATTCTATCATATCTGCAACGTCAACCCTGCTGCCATCCTACTCAGCAGTCGCGACGTGAAAGGGCGCCGGCCTCCTCGTGGGGGTCAGACTCCTGCTGTGCTCCCTGCCGCTGGGCTGCTTGCCCACATTGTAGGGGCTCCCCGCGGGGAAGCTCATGTCGTCCAGGGGGTGCTCCTTGATGGCGCCGGTCCCGTTGCTCAGCGGGTTCGGGGGACCCTCGCCGTACATCCAGTACTGGACGCCCAGGTAGGCGTCGCAGGCGGCCTGGAACATGCCGCAGATCTTGAACGCCCAGGGGATCTCGGTGGTCGCGGTGAAGAACCAGAACATCTTCATCGCGTCGCCGCCCAGCCAGCTGGCCAGCACCGAGAGCCGGAAGCCCTTGCAGGAGCGCGAGCTGTGGTTGGCGAGGATCTGGGGGATGGGCAGCGTCGCCTCGATGGAGAGGCCCGCGATGCCGATCAGGGACGAGTAGAGCGCGTACACGGGCGGCAGGAAGGAGAGGACGACCTCGCACGCGACCAGGCCGGCGAAGAGGTAGACCAGGAACTGCCAGTACGGCTTGGGGCTCCGCCACTGCCAAAAGGAGTAGGGGCGCGCGCCGCCCAACCAGCCGTCCGCCTCGCCCGCGAACGGCATCTCACCCCCCTTGGACGACGGACTCGGTCGGTGGTCGAGGGCAATCTTGAGCAGGATGAACTGCATGCCGACCATGATGAGCGACTGCACGAGCAGGGAGGCGTCGAAGCGGGCGCCGGGCCAGTAGAAGATGCGCAGAAAGGAGGCGACGAGCATGATGAGCGGGATGTCGAGAGAGAAGCCGGCCGAGGTCTTGTTGCGGTGCATCGAGATGGCCTGGTCCGAGTAGGACAGAATGGGCGAGGCAATGATGAACATGGGAGCAATGAGCCCCGTGAGGTCGGTGAACCAACCCATGATGGATAATGTTGCTGTCCCAGAGTGTTGTCGAATTCGAGGAGGTGATGACGGTCGACTGGGGGGGCAGCGGGCCGCGTCGCGTGCGACAATGTTCCAAAAAAGTCAATCAAGAGGCGCGCATTGACAATGAACGTTTCAACGACAGGCAAGGAGGGATGGGCGACGATGGAGATGATTGTGATGGCAAGGCGATCACGCGCAGAAAGGGAAGTTGGTGGTCCCCTCGACGTTTTCGTGTATCCAAGGCCAAGCAAGGCCCATACATTTCATGGTGGTGGCCGCCTCCGTAAATTGCGACAAATTGCCGGTGTTCCACGCTATCCGAGCGGAAGGCGCGACCAGGCGCCATGCAGATCTTGCCGAATGCACCAGGGCCCGTCATGGGCCAATGAGAGAGCGAGCTGCACTTGGCGACCTGGCGAATTTTAACGTGCCTTCTGTATCCGTACGTTATGGATTCTCAGGACAGACCCTCAATGGCCATGAATGCTCACAATATGAAGACAAACCCATCAATTGCATCATCCAAGTCAACCTGAGACGTCAAGCATATTCATCAAGACCCATGACCGGTTCAACAAGGTTGGAGAGTGGCCACAGAGTCCCAGAGTCCAGACGATAGGGCCCCTTTATCTCCATCTCCATCCCCTGAACCCCTCTATTTATACCCCCAAATAGCTGCCCCTCCAGAGCTCAGACGAGCAGTTGACCAGCATCAACTCTGTACAGTCCATCCCATCTCATCGTCTCGTGTGAAAATGTCTGCTTTGGGAGAGCGCAATCGGCCAGACGCTGATGTCACAATGGCCAGTAATCCGGTGAGATGACCATTCTGCCTGCTGCCTGCCTCCTTGGCTCCTCTTCAACCATCGTATTTTTCTTCTATCCATGACCTTCAACCTACCTTCATGACCATGCAATGCATTTGACACCATAACGCAGCTTCCTCCCCCAACCCTACTTTCAAGGTACGCCTCACGCACCCGGTAGAAGAAAAAGAACCAGCTAACCAATCCAACAGGACATGATGCTACCAGGCAAGGAGTGCAAGCTCCCCCTCGAGGCCGCCGTCTTCACAGCCCACGCCGCCCTCCGCGCCCAGGACTTTGGCGTCCACCGCGTCGAGCTCAACGCGCCCGGCTCCTATCCCCACGGCGGCCTCACACCTCCCGTGAGCCAGTACCTCGCCTGCAAGGACGCCCGGATCGAGGTGCCCGTGCGCATCATGATCCGCCCTCGGGCCGCCCCCGCCGACGGCGGCATGGATTTCTTCTACGCGCCCCACGAGGTCGAGCAGATGGAGCGCAGCATCGCCGCGTTCAAGGCCGCCGGTCGCATGGACCCTTATCGGGGGGACGGCTTCGTCTTTGGCGCCCTGCGACACGCCGGCCCCGACGACACGGCCCTCGACCCCGCTGCCCGCGTCGCCGTCGACATCGACGTCTGCACCCGTCTCGTCCAGGCCGCCCGGCCCTACGGCTGCTGCTTCCACAGGGCTTTTGACCCCATCGCCGACTACGATGACGAGCTGACCCTCAAGGGCATCAAGGACGTCGCCGCGTGTGGCTTTAAGTGCATCCTCACCGCCGGCGGCACCTCGGGCCCCTACACCAGCCACCTCCAGAAGCTTGACTACATGGCCACCAAGATCACCCAGCGGAGCGAGCTGGGTGACATTCAGCTCGTCGTCGGTGGCGGCCTGCGCGGCTCCAACGTGGCCGACGCCGTGCAGAAGCTCGGCATGCACATCAACGGCCGCGTCTGGACGCACTCGGCCGCCGTCACCGAGCGCCGCGTTAGCGACGACCATTTTGACGAGATTGAGCTCATGGACATTGTGTCTACGCTCTCCCAGGCGGCCGTGCATTAGAAGGATCCGGCCGAGCACTGGCGTAGAGTATACGGGCCGCGCAAGCACGAGTATGGGGATACGCGGGAGTGGCTCGATGAGTACCACTCGTACGGGACCCGTCTGAATGATCTAGGATGGAAGCCGCGCAAATAAGGTGTAGCCGTATATCTGGGCACAATCTCCCCTCTACGTACTTTGCATCGTTGCACATAGTCTTGGCAGTGCACTTGTTTACGGCATAATGCGCATTACACTGGCAAAAGATGTCACACACAGATTATATCATATTCTTATATACAGTCTACAGACATCACTTCGCTTCGCCGTCACCACATATCTCATCACGTTCGTCGCCTCAAGCGCTCTTTAGTTTCCCCCACAAACACTCTAATTGTGCTTGCCCTTGCGGCGGGAGGCCTTGCACTCGCCATCATCACCACCGTCGCCAGACTCCTCGTCAACAGCAAGCCCAAGGCACTCGGAGATCTTGTAGAAAATGTCAATGTTGTTAAAGGTGCCCTGGAACAGGTCCTGGCAGGGACCCCAGGCGTAGACAGGGACGTCGGTGAGCGAGTGGACGCCGACGGCTTCGGAGGGGGCGAGCGTGCCGTTGACGACGAAGCCGCCCTCGGCGTCCTTGGGGTTGACATAGTACTCATCACCAATCTTGGTCGTCGGGCTGCGGGGGCTCTTGTGCACCTTGTAGTTCTCGCGCACGTCCGGGTGGGCGCCGACGCCGGCGGCGATGGCGTAGCGGGGCTCCCAGTCGGTAGGGAAGTTGGCGCCGGTGCCGTACTTGACGTTCCGGGGCTGGGTGTACTGCGACTCGCCCGAGTTGGCGTAGGTGCCGATGGCGCGGCGCTTGGCGCGCTCGTCGTCCTGGGCCTCGAGGTACTCGGTGTCGGCCGAGCCGTAGACGTCGAAGCCGTGGCCGTGGTCGGCGGTGACGAGGATCTGCGTCTCCTCGAGGGAGCCGCGCTCCTCGAGCAGCTTGATGGTCGCGCGGATGGTGTCGTCGAGCTCGAGGAGGTCACCGAGGGCACGGTCGTAGTCCAGGGCGTGCATCTGCTTGTCGACAGAGGCGGCCTCGACCATGAGGAAGAAGCCCTCCTCGCCCTTGCGGCTGTCGAGAATCTCGACGGCCTTGGTGGCCATGTCCTTGAGACCGGGCAGGTCCAGGGCGTCGCCGTCTCCGCCGGCCGGGTCGTTCTCGAGGCCCTTGAGGTTGTCGGTGTAGACGTTGCGGTCCAGCCAGACGGGGAGGTTGCCCTGGCAGAAGACGCCGAGAGCCTTGTCGTCCTCGCCGAGCTCGAGAAGGCTGGTGCGGTTCATGACGACCTGGAAGTCCTTGTCGGCGAACTGCTCATAAATGTCCTTGCCCTGGTACGACTGGTCGTTGGGGAAGAACTGCTCGGCACCGGCGCCAAAGTAAACGTCGGGCCCGGTCTGCTTGGTCCAGGTGAAGTTGGTGACACCGTTCAGGGCCTGGTCGATGAGAGAGCCGTAGTCGTAGCGGGAACGGCTGTGGCCGGACAGGGCGACCGGGGTGGCATCGGCCAGTAGGGCCGTGGAGACGGCGCCCCAGATGCCCTTGTGGACGCGCTTGAAGACCTCGACAATGGTCTCGACCTTGGGGTCGTCAAAGTGGTCGGCGGACGAGTCGACGTAGACGCCCATGGCGTTGACGCTCGACTTGTGGCCCGAGTAGAGGGCCGAGGCCGAGTTGGCCGAGTCGGTGATGTAGCTGTCGAGGGAGTGGGTCATCTGGTGGCCGATGACGGGGAACTCGTCCATCTTCATGCGCGACTGGTACTTGCCGTTGATGGCCTTGTGGCCGATGAGGCGGGCGGCGGTGATCATGTTGGTGGTCATGCCGTCGCCAATGAAGAGGATGACGTTCTTGGCCTTGCGCTCCTTGGAGACGTCGCGGACCGTCCACTCGGCGGTGGTGGTCTCGTTGTCGTAGTAGCTCAGCGTGACGGTGTAGGTGCCGGGCTCGTAGAGGGCGAGCTTGCGGTAGGCCTTGGCGGCCACGTTGACGACGGAGGGCTTGTCTTCGTCCTCGGCGAAGAGATCCTCGTACCAACTAAAGTCCCACTTCTCGAGCTTGGGCTCGTCGACGCCAAAGGCGTCGGCAAAGTCGCGAGGCTTCTCGCCATCCTTGGCGATGGTGACCTTGAACTTCTCGTCGGGCTTGCCATCGTGGGCCGCCTCGGAGCCGTTGACGGGCGCGTGGACCTCGACACGGAGATCGAAGAGCTGGCCCGGCAGGAAGTCAGCCTGGTCCGGGGGCAGGACGCAGCCCAGGGACGGGCAGGACCCGAGGCGCTGGTAGGTCTGGCCAGCCACGGGGGCACTGAGGGCCGCGAGGGTGGTGGCCGCGATGCTGAGCTTGGAGAACATCTTGGAGGGCTTCGCTTGGCTTGGGGAGGTGAGGACAGAGGGAGGCGTGCTCTGTCGGGGTCCTGGACGGTGCGCCTACTTATACTGTACGCCCATGGAGAGAGCGCGGCGCCGATCGCAACGGTGGAGGCATGATTGGAAGCGGCAAGGATCTTTTGCGTGGGCCATTGAAGCCGGCACGTCACCAACCGCGTGAAATCATGTAACGAGGCCGGCCAGGGCAGCACCACGCTCGTGGTTCCGATGCGACGCTGTTCCTTTGACCTGGCTTGATTGCGGCACGTGCTTCGGAGAGGCATGGGTGGGCCAGGCACTAAGGCGACATGTTCGTCCAATGCCTGCAAGTCCGGTGTGCAGCCTGAGAAGCCGATCAAGATGCACTGCTCATAGGTTCCGTCCAACCAACGTGGCGACACTCGGGAAGAGCCTGTCAAAGAGCGGTGCTCGGTCACCAGCAGCTGGTTACTCGTTTGTATCTTGGAGGAGGACTCATCTCGACAAACTGTCTGTCACTGGGCCTGCCGTGTTGCAGACGGATCGTGGTGTCCTGTGGAGATCTTGGATGTACGGACGGAGAAGTGATGATGATGAAGGTCTGATGGAGCCTGGAGGGTGGAGGTGTGGGTGCAGGGATCAACAGTGAACACCAAAAGTGCAGGTGGAACCCTTGCCGGCACCTGCCCTCACAAACGTGGGGTGATGGACCACGCTGATTCGCCAATAGCACCCAGCCTCACCCATGCATGTAAGTATGCTTGTCCTAAAGTATGAAGCTTGGGACTTTGGAATCTTGGATTAGGAGAATATTCAGTCGCGGGTAGCGGCACGTTTCCTGCGTTTCTTGTGTAAGGGTGGGCGGAACACTGTCCAAGGCGTAGCACGCGGGACTCGGGAGAGTCTAGAGACGCTGCCAATGGGCGGCGACGGGGATACCTGGTGTACGCATGGTGCTTTGGTTCCAAGAGCTGGATTACAGTTTGCTCCGAAGTTGTTCAAAGCCTTCATGATGGATTAATTACACATCGGTCCGGTGAGTGATTTGCGAAGCTGGGCACTGTAGACTGGCATCGGATCGCTGCTTGCTGAACCCCCAAGCAGCCATGCAATCAACTGAGAATGTTTACATCTTGCCTTTGTGACTATGCCACTACAGCAAGTAGTGTCTCACTGAATGTTTCTAGAAGATATACCGACACGCTAAGATCGGCAGCGGACCGCGTGTACTTGCACGATATGGTACATCGCTCTGTATATGTGCCTTGCATTCGACATGCACCGGTGATCACCTTGATGGTCAATCTGGGGTACGGCCAAAAGGAGCAGACTAAGAGCGATTAGGTTTCTATAAGGGGGAATGTACCTAATACAAAGACGCTTCAGCCGTTTCCAAATCAAGGTTCACGTCAGGATGAGTAACCGGTGATACCCATGACACAGTCCTGTGTTCTAGACATCCGCCATCACCCCCTGGCCAGATTCCAAGCCCTTCCACCCCGGCTTGTTGTACTTTTCCTGAGAAACTTCACTTTTAAAGTGATAGCCCCTCGCCCTCGGTCGTTCCCCCATGCCCTGCGGAAAGTCGACATCCCAGGCTCTGCCGAAAGCCTCTCGTGCCGCTTCAAAGGTACCCCGACCGATGGCCGCGCGTATCGAGGAGAAGAAGACGCTGAGAACGTGGTGATTATGTATTTGCAACAGGTTCCACCCCAGCATCTCCTTTGCGTGGAGAAGGTGGTTGACGTAGGCTCTGTGATGCTTTGTGCACGTATAGCATGCGCAATCCGCCAAGAGAGGTTCCAGACTGGTGGCGTGGGCAGTCTCACTCATGTCAATACCCAGCGGCATTATGGCTCCAATGTCGCCATCCATAGAGATATCCCCATCCGTGGGCAGGGTGAAGGAGAACGCAATGCCGGCATCTGAGATGACGTTGACAAAGGAAGCCAGAACGAGGTCCACGCCAAGTGCCACCTGCCGTAGCACATCATGTGGCGTTTTGGGGAGATCAAGCGACAGCTTTGGTAGACTGGTTAGGTTCTTGTACAACTGGAGGTCTGGTAGAATATTGACGTCGTATATGGCGAGACCGGCCAGATCTCCCGACAGATCCTCGTTGAGGTGATTGATATACGCCCATTGCGTCGTGTGGTCAATGGGGAGAATGGGGGCAAACACCTTGATCCCTGCGCTCTCTCTGACGTCCGCATTCACCAGCTCCAGGAACTCGTCCATCCACGACTCTGTGCGGTCGGCCATGCGGATCTTCTTTTTGAGGGACGGATCCAGACTGATGTGCAGCAGATCGGCCAGAGCAATGACAATGTCTGGCCGTATGTGGGCCACGGTGGCCGCGAATTTGGGAACGGTGATTGTGCTGAAGCCGGTGGAGGTGAAGATGGATATGTTCTTAGCCGTGTTTCCCGCAGGTGCCAGGACAGATGGACAGCGCCGCGCGGCGACAATGGTAGGGATGTGTGCGGGAAACGAGGTGAAGGCGTGCAGAGGCCTGTCGGTGGTTGGCATCTTCAGGATGGCATGGTCCTTTTTCTCAAGAACTAGGATACATCAGCAACTTGCCCACCCCTTGTTGAGATTGAATGCCTTACAGTCCTCGAGAGCTATATATGCAGAGCTGAAGGAAGTGTATTTTGACACGACCTCGGGTGTCAGATGGGGGATGACTCCTCTGGACGTGACAGCTGTGAAGTTGGGCGTCTCTATTGTGCGTCGGCCAGGCAACTGGAGCGTGCCTAGCCTGGGACATAATTCATCGGTGGCATCGCTGGGCAATGTCGTCCCGATTGTGAAGGTTGGCTTTGAGGCACCATTCGGTGCTGAGTCGTTTGAGTTGCTCATCGCATGATGAAAGGAGGGGCACAAGTACCACCTTTTCGTCCGTCGAGGCTGTGAACTGGCCGATAGTCAGGATGCCTAACGTCGTAATGTGACTCGTCTTTCAGTGTCTCTCTAGAACTTGGATGCGCAGTGAATCATGAAGCCATTTCTCAGCTTGATGAGTTTGTGGCACGTCTTGCGCATTTCCAGTGAGGAAGCAAGAATGAGGGGACAGTGCGAGAGGTCACTTCACGCACTAAACACAGTGCATATGGACCCTGCAGAATCGCTGCTTCGCGACCAATCAGGCGCTTCTTACGGGCATCCACCAGACAGATCTGTGGCTGATGATTCCTCGTGGCTCAATTCACGTCGCTCTTGAAGATGATGGCACCAACTCGACATTATTCCCGTAGCTCCCGGCGGGATCTTTGGAAGGTGTAAAGTTTGCCATCATTCTATACGAATTTACGAGGCACGCGCCCTTGAGGTAACGGGAGAGCCAGTCCGCATTTGCATGTCCATCAGTGCCGGGTGCTTGCTGAAGCCCGAGTCCGCCCCCGGCAGGCCTCCATCTCTCGTTTCGCCTCCAGGGCAGGTACGATCCATTACGCCTCGTGTGTCGTGAGCTCTGCCCAGACTTCCACCACACGTCCCCCCGCTTCTGCCTTCTTCTCCTCTTCCTCTTTCGTTTCCCAAGCTATGGTCTCTCGTGGCCGCGATGAGAACCAGCCACTGATGACCGACTACTTCCACAACGCCGACGAGTCCGGTGATGCGCCTTCGCCCACCATGAATCCCGGTTCAAGCGACGACGAGAGCGGCCGTGGCGCATCGCATCCCGATGCGCCGCTCTCTACAAACCGCCAGCCCAAGACGACGACGACTGTCCATACTACGCCCGCGATTGACGAGTCCGAATCTGCCTCCTCTGGCGCCCATGCGCGCGCTACCTCGCCGCTCGAGGTGTCCGACGCAGCCAGCGGCATATCTACCCCTCGCTTCGTCCAGGATGAGTCGTCCTGGAAACGATGGAAATGGGTGCCCTACCCCGTCCGACGAATGTGCAAGGCCATCGCCAAGTGGTCCGAGGGACCGCCCGATCCGCAGCCGTACCGCATACGGCCACTGTTCCCGCGCGTGCAGGAGTTTCCCCTGGTCTTGGTGGAGAGGTTCTTGCCGACCAAGGTGCTCAAGTTCTGGGCGCTGTTCGTCTCCTTCTCCGTATGGCTGATCACATATGTCCTCGTGAAACGCCAGGGGAGCGTTGCCAGCGAGATTGCTGGTTGGGGCGAGCCGGAGGCCATCGGCTGTGGTGTGACCTACTGGGGCGCGGGGAACAGCTGCGGCGTGGACGGCAACAACTGCCGTCCCTTCAATGCCTCTGGCTTTCCCTTTCGCTGTGCTGGAAACTGCGAGAGCTACCACGTGCTCAATCCCCGAGCCGTCGGAGACCAGGAGGTCATTTATCAGCCTATGGTCGTGGGAGGCAACGGGACATACAGAGGGGACAGCTTCATCTGTGGCGCGGCGATACATGCAGGCATCGTGTCGAACGCCAACGGAGGCTGTGGTGTCGTCCAGCTCGTCGGGGAGCAGGCCGACTTTCCGAGTGTCAGCGCCAACGGCATCGATAGCGTGGGCTTCGACTCGTACTTCCCGCTCGCCTATCGCTTCGTGCCGGATCTGCAGTGCTCGGCGCGGGACATGCGGTGGGCTCTGCTCGGTATCTCAGCCACGTTCACCGGCCTCCTGTCGCTCTTCACGGCCTCGCCAGCCTTGTTCTTCTTCGGCAACTTTATTGGGATCTTCTGGACTGTCGGCACGGCGCTGGATACGCCGCCGCACAAGTCGAATGCGGGACTGTTCTCCACGATTCTAGGAAAATTCCTGCCCGCCATGTTCGTCGCGTGGGTCATGTACGACAACATGGGCGTGCGCCGGACGCTCAAGGGTCTCCGGGCGCAGATCGAGAAGAGCATCCTGTGGTTGGGACCATGCTGGGTCGGTGCAATGGACAACTACACGCTGAGCTTCATTCCCATCCAGCGCCTGAATGCGCACGACCTGCAGCAGCAGCCGGGCGCAAAGGCCGCCCTGGCGATCATCATCCTGGTCCTGCTGTGCGTCGTCGTGTCGCAGATCTGGTTCTTCCGGAAAGAAGGGCGGTTCCTCAAGTATCTCAAGCTGTACGCTCTCTTCGTTGCTGGGATCGTCATCGCCCTTACATTGCCGGGTCTGGACCTGCGCATTCATCATTACATCCTCGCCTTGTTGCTCTTGCCTGGCACGAGCATGCAGACCAGGCCGAGTCTGATCTACCAGGGCCTGCTCATCGGGTTGTTCATCAACGGCATCGCGCGGTGGAACTTTGATGCCGTCCTCCAGACACCGGGCGAGCTACGAGGCGATGCGCAACTCGGGACGGAAATGCCGGTCATCAACACACCGTCCATTGCGCTCGCAAATAACACGGACGTTCCGTCCAACATTACATTTACATGGGAGCCGCCAAGCAAACAGAAGTCATTTGATGGCATCAGTATCCTCGTCAACGACGTGGAGCGTTTCCGATCGTATTTCCAAGACCAAGTCGGGCGAGACGACGAGTTTATATGGAGTAGAGAGAAGGATCTAGACATGCCTGAATATTTCCGATTTGCATACATGGACGGCAGTCACAGCGGAGACTACACCAAGGCTGGTATCTGGACAGCAGAGGGGGAGTGGCAGGAGATGAAGCCAGGACCGTCCAAGGTGAAGGCTAGAAATGAAGACGACGACGAACATGTGTTGAAGAAAAGACGACGAACTTTATAGATTACACACGTTATACTTGTATATACAAAGCGATTTGACTTGGTCCCGCGTAACTCAGCGAAAAGTGACTGGCTTCTGGTTGAGTTTCTCGTATGTAATGACAACCAACCCCACCCTCTTCATGAGAAGGACGCCAACTCCAAGTCTGACCTCACTCACTCCCTAACCGTCACTCACCCTCCCCCGTACATCTACTCACTGCCGAGCTGCCCGTCAAACAAAACAGGATGCCTCCTCGCGTACCGGTACCTTCGGACTTTGACGCTCTCCAGAAGACGCTGCCTCACACCCTCCACTTCCCCTCGCCCCCGGAGAGCGTGACGGCCATACTCATCCTCCTCCATGGCCTCGGCGACACCCACACATCCTTCTCCTCCTTCGCCAAAGGAATGAACCTGCCTGGCTTCCTGGCCATCACCGTACGCGGGACAACGCCACTGCCCGCCGCGCTTCTCGAAGGCCAGGAGGAAGGATGGCACTGGGGCGATGACCTAACCGTGGATCAGAGGACGGGTGGTATCGACCCGGATCCAGGCTTCGAGGCGGCACGCAGGAGGATCATGGACGACCTCGTCGACGGACTCCTCGTGGGCCAGCTCGGATGGGAGAGAGGTGACGTGCTGTTCTTCGGCTACGGCCAAGGCGGCTCATTGGCCCTTGGCATGGCGTCCTCTCTACGGTCGGTCTCTCGGGTCGCGGAGGCCACGTCCCCCCTCTCGTCCACGCCACCGTCGCTGGGGACGTTCAAGGGCATCGTCTCCATTGGCGGACCGCTCCCAAACTCGATGATTCCCACGCTGTCCAGTCGAGGTAAAAGCAGGACGAGGGTTCTCGCAGTGCAGTTTGACGACGAGGAACTTGATGCCGCGAAGCGGGAGTTTGAGCAGATACAGGCTGTCAATTGGAAGAGGAGAGAGGTGGGCATGCCGAGGGACAGGGAAGAGATGTTCCCCATTATGAAGTTCTATGCAGAAAGGCTGAACAGCGGGTTCTGAGTTCATCATCAAGCAAAGTAATTTTTTGCAAAGTACATCATCATTCAATCAGTGCGCTAAGGTATCCCCGACTGCAACATGGATGCCAGTGTATCCCACTTGCTGCTCTGTTCACTGCTCTTGGCGCGTGCCACACTGCGCAGACCGCTTGTGATGAATCGAATGTTCTCATCAAACTTGCCCCTTACGTCTTGCAACACGCCTAGTTGCTGCTCGGAGGATGCTTGGAGGCTGGTGGCGAGGTCGAGTGTTTCCAGCATGCACTCTCGGATGGGAGTCAGCCGACTGCCCAGGCAGGCCTCATCCACCACTTTTTTGACAAACGAATCGTGTACTGCTATCAGACCGTCGACATCCTCTGCGGAAGCGAGGTCGGTCTTGAGCTGCGATACATTGGGCGCCAGCACGAGCGTGGAGAGATACATCTGGGTGACGCCTGTGAACCACAGTAGTCGATGACGGCACGTGTAATAGAGTGCTCTTTCGTCCCAGTTCTCATGATCTGTCCAGTAAGCGTCCAGGATCTTGGGTTGTTGGAGAATGTAGGCCGTCCTTCGAAGCTGGAGCAGCAGGCCATGGATTGTGTCGTACTGCGTGATGCTATACGGTGAGATCACCATCTGGATGGCCCAAGGTAGACGGTAGCGAACATGGACATGAGGGAGTGCGGCTCGCACAGAATCAGATCCGAGTTGTATCTGCGCGGTGTCGACGGCGATGGTCACGCGATCTGTGTCTACAAGATGATCGTACGCCTCGTGCGCAATCGCTGTCACGGCAGAACCATTGTGCCACCGAGGCTCCTTGCTATCCATGCGCTGGAACAACGCTTCGCAAAACGAGGCAGCGGCGGTGCCGTCAGACATCAGGTAGAGACGCTGCAGTGCCACGAGAGCCCCAGGTAAGTCGCACTTCTCAAACAAGGTGGCTTTGAGTGTTGCTGATGTGGCACGGTACTTGCTCTGGATCCAGCGGTCAAAAGCCGTGGCGAAGAGGTCGGAAAAGGAGACCAAATCTAACCCAGACGGACAGACCGTTGCAATGTCCAGTGAGGGCTCTTCGGTCTTGGATACTGCGGCCTGTTGCCCTAGCTTCCCGAGAATGACGAGGTTCTTCCCAGCATTCATGATTTTGTTGGCTGCTGGGCTAAGAAACGATGGTGCGTGCAGCTTGCCATCTTTCGCCCTAAAGTGGTACACTTTGCTCCAAATATCGCCCGGGGCCATTGCCTCGGATATCTTTGAGACGAAGAAAATCTGGTCGTTGGGGAGGAGTTTCCCATCATCCATCCACAGACGCACCGGCCGCAGGTAGACATTGAAGCACTCGATGAAGATGCGTGCCAGAAACTCATAAGTCCGAGTCATCCCACTGAGCTGGGCCACGCTCGTCTCTTCATAGAGCCATTCAATGTACGCGAAAGGATTTGACGCTTGGTCCCACACGCGAACAAGAATGCTCGACAGGGCGAACAGGGGCTCCAGCCAGCCTTCAAGGTCTGCTTCCAGGGAGAGAAGGCTCGCGACAACCTCTCCGTTTGGCGCGATCAGCTTTTCATGAATACCGGACAGATGTTGATCAAAGTCCATCAACCTCCGAGCCACGCAGTCCTGGAATGCTTGTACATGTGTTGCCGTCTCCTTGCTCCGCGTGAATAGTCGCAACACCATGATACGACGACTGGATTCCGAGAAATCTGCCATGATTGTCTTATGTGTCTCCCAGACCAAGTGCGAAGTTTGGAACTCGGGCCGCGGTCTGCACTTCTCGTCGAACATGGTCGTCTGCAATCCCTGGAGCAGGTGAAGAATCTCCCGAAGGACCTGTGTCTCGACAACCGCGGTCTTGTCGGCTCCTGAGCCAGTCCCCTTGGGGTTGCGCCACTCTTGTGCTTTAAGAATTGAGTCATACTTTGCATCGTCGCCTGGGGGGACAATGAGGTGCTCAGCTGTCCGCCCGACAGTAGTTGCGTCCTCCGATTCGGATGTAATCTCTGTGTCGTTGCCATCTTGGGAAGACAGATCATCGTCTGAGCTGAGCTCGTATCGATTCGTCTTCCATAAATCAGGGTCCTCATCCCAACCGTCCTCCTTTGCAATCTGCTTCCAGTCAATCGTCTCAGGACCAGGTGGCTGATACGATTCCAGCGCATACAGGTCGCTCAATTTGGACTTGTACGTCGGCTGATCAGACAGCTCGAGCAACAAGGCGAGGATTTCCGGGTGCCATTTCTGCGGGGCAGCTTCGAGAGCTGTTCGCCTCTGCTTCAACTCATCCGCCAAGCCATCTCTGTCATTGACGCGGAACCTCTCATCAAGACCAACCAAGCTGTGCTCAACCTCGAATTGATTTGTCCGCAGGTACGCATTGGACTTGAGGGTATGAAACGCAGTGTCGCGGAGCTTCTTAGTCCGGGAGGAGCCAACCTGGCAAGTGAGTTAGATGTATGATTCAGTCCATTGGAAAAGCGTCTTACATTTGAGTCAGCTAAGATAGAGTTGACAAGCTCATCTGTTAATGATCCGAGCTTTGCGGCAAATGCCATGATCACCAGCCATCTTTGACTTTCGACGATGATGGCGATGAAAAAGCAGCTTCCGACGCGCCGACGCGACGCATGAGTGATGCGAAGGTGACGGTGCCAGGCAACAGTGGGGCGCTAACCAATGACGTGCAGCGGCAGTTCGCAACCCCTGATCCCGCCGTCCGAGTCGAAATGCCAACCCATCCAAGTACAGTACTGCAGGCGACGCGATAGCATCGCGACATTCGTTCCGTACGTACGTCGAATAATGCGCTCATGACAGAAGACTATTTGCCATGACCATCGCACGGCCGGTCCGCGCACTCATTGGCCTCTGCGCCTTGCTGTGGTGCTTCTTTCTCTACGTCCTCTTCAAGCCCAGTCCCGAATTCCAAGGTCCAGGCGATCGCTACCAGAATTTCGAGCGCGATCCGACCCTTGATCCGACATTCGAGCCCGACGGGAAGCTTGTCCACTATGACGAGGGAAACTACGCCCCCGATGCTAAGAAATCGGACAGGATAGAGGCGACGCTGCTTGCGCTCGTGCGCAACTCGGAGGTGGACGACATGGTGCAGAGCATGCAGGATTTGGAGCGTGTGTGGAACAACAAGTTCAACTACCCGTGGACCTTCTTCAACGACGTCCCCTTTACCGAGGAATTCAAAGAGAAGACATCGGCAGCCACGAATGCCAAGTGTATCTACGAGGTGATTCCTGACGAGCACTGGGCGAAGCCATCATGGATCGACGACGCAACCTTTCAATCATCAGCCAAGGTTCTCGAGGGCAAGGGCGTGCAGTATGCGAGCAAAATGTCCTACCACCAAATGTGTCGCTGGAACAGCGGCCTGTTCTACAAGCACCCCGCGCTCAAGGACACGCGGTACTACTGGCGTGTCGAGCCCAACGTACACTTCTTCTGCGACATCGACTACGACGTCTTCCGGTACATGCACGACAACAACAAGACCTACGGCTTCACCATCAACCTCTACGACGACCCCAAAACGCTGCCCACGCTGTGGCCCGAGACGGTCAAGTTCCTCGCCGACCACCCGGAGCACCTGAACGAGAACAATGCCATGAAGTGGGTGACGGACGACGAGCATCGGCCCAAGAACAACCACGATGCGCAGGGCTACTCCACCTGTCATTTCTGGAGTAACTTTGAGGTGGCAGACATGGAGTTCTGGCGAAGCAAGGCGTACGAGGACTACTTTGAACACCTCGACAAGGCTGGCGGCTTCTTCTACGAACGATGGGGCGACGCACCTGTGCATAGCATCGCTCTTGGTTTATTCGAGGACGCGAGCAAAATTCACTGGTACGCTAAGATTCTATCATCATCGTGAGGGCTGAGCTAACAACAACTTAGGTTCCGAGATATCGGGTACCAGCATATCCCCTTCTTCAACTGCCCAAACTCGCCGAAATGCAAGGGCTGTGTGACGGGCCGGCTGACAGATGGCGAGGCGTGGCTTCACCGCGATGACTGCCGCCCAGTGTGGTTCAAGCATGTGGGAATGGGCTGAACATGTCACCTTGTAACATACTCACGTGTACACACATTACATAGAAGGATAGACGGATGGCGTTCGGCGCACACACTGGGAATGACCTTTCTACCCCTTGTCGGGACGGCGGCCCACGCGTCAAAGAGCTCCGAATACAGTGACTATGCCAGATGTCCCTCCTACACAATACTGATCGCCCCAGCCACCCTCCCTCCACGCGAGACAGCTGACAACGTTCCTCCTGACTTTTTCCTTGCCATCCCTACCTACGACTCGCTTCTTCCCCTCCTCGGGGCCCCACGGAACATTGATTTTCTTGATCAGATTCCCACTGAGGAGATCCCACGCCCACAGCCGGCCCGTCTCAGGCTGCTCGGGGTCCTCGTCGCCGGCGAGAATGTACTTTTCTTTCCCGCCCAGTATACTCTGCACCCGATACTCGGTATTCTTGAACCCAGAATCGGCATACGCGCGTAGACACTTGCCCGTATCACGGTCCATGAGGCGAATCTTGGAGTCCAGGCTGCCCACGACAACCGTCCTCCCATCCCGCGTCGTGTCCAGACTCGTGACGCTCGCGCCAATGACGTCGGTCGTGCACTTGCCCATGCGCACATCGTAGCTCCGTACGCGACCATCGACGCTGCCCGCGATGACCTGCTTGTCGAACACCGCGAGCGTCGTAATGGCGTCCTTGGCGTCCTCGAGGCATTGTATCGGCTTCAGGTTACTCGACTTGCAGTCCCACAGCCGCACGCTCGTGTCGAAGCCCCCCGAGACCACGAGGCTCTCCCCGTCGCCGGCGAATTTCACGGCGTTGATACGGCCCCCGTGGCCTGCGAACCGGCGAATGGTCGTGGCCGTGCTGACGTCCCATAGGAACACCGCCCGGTCGCCCCCCGACGAGGCGAAGCGGTGGTTGTCGCTGGCCACGGCTAGGCTGAGAACCTCGTAGCCATGTGCATTGTATGTCTGCACGAGCCGTCCCTGCGGTATCGACAGGGCTTGCTTGGATGTGATGGAGGAGGAGCGGATAGCGGGCGCGGTGGTGGACGGGAAGGGATTGTATAGACGGACAGAGCGGTCCGCCGAGCCTGTGAGAATGTACGTGCCAGGGGAGGAGGAGTATGACACAGCGTGTATGGGGCCTGGTGATGGTGAGAAAATGAGTGTCGCCGTGCGGCGTGGTGAGACGTACCGGTTGAGCCTGTGAGTTGGGCAGCAGGTGTGTCGGGCAGATGCTGCGCCATTGTGGGTGTTCGCTGTCACTGAGCGTCCATCGGAGTCTTCTTCATATCACCATGGGTGTTACAGGTAGCGCCAGTGTCATGGTGCACTGGTTCATGTTGACGCTGCCTTTGGCGCCTGGACTCTGCTATGCGATGAGTGGGAGATCACGTGAGAATCGGACACTGCAGGGCAGGTGACGTGCGCAATTGGAGTTGGTTCTACACTTCCAGCCCCCTACCACTCACAGGAATATGTCACAGGGCTACCAACGTTGATCGTTCAAAGTGAAATCATTGCTCAGTTGCCTGATATATACGCGCATCATCTATGAAACAATCTGGTCGCCGCGTGGCGCCAGGACCCGGGGAGGAGGCTGTTTCAGCCTCAAAACTCCCAAACGCCATGCAATGCAAACAAGTACCCGTCTTCGACCTCTTGACAGAAGACCTCCTCTCCTCTTCGCCCTCTCTATGATCCGTACACAATGTCCATCTCTCGCGCATGCGTGCGCTCCAGAGGCTCGACAATCTCCCAGTGATAGCACTTCTCCTCCTTCTCGTCGTACTTGGACACGATCCGGCATCCCTCGATCGCGCTCGGTGAGTACGACGCGTGGTCGCGGATGCTGTTCAGCATCTGCAGCCGCCTGTCCAGGGCGAACCTGAAGTCGCGCGACTCCTCCCAGATGCCGCCCATGGAGTCTACCAACGGCTTCACCACCCGGATGTTATCCAGGACAGTGGTCACCGCCGATAGCGGGCGGCTGGCACTCAGCACATCGACAGCCTCCACGACAGAAAGGGCTACCATGGGTGGCACGACGCTGAGCGCCATGGGACGCGCCCTCAACAGACGGTCCAGACGCTCAAGGAGCTCCATTGTCTCAGTGGCGTGGTAGCGACACTTGGAGACATGCTCCCGCTTGACCTCGGCGGAAAGCGAGCGACTGGCGCGCGTGTAGCGATTCAGCGTCATGGAAGCATGGTGGTACAGCAGATGCATTGTCAAGAACGAGCCAAGCTGACCATAGGCTGCTGCCGTCTCCAAATTCGACGGCATGGACACCAGCCGGCTGGGGATGACTGCCTGCCAGTGCTCCAATTTGGTGGCCAGGTGGCGTGTGCGCGAGAACTCGGCCTCCGACGACTCGGGGCGATGCGTCAAGTTGTAGACGGAAGACTGACATTCAGCCCAGACGTGAACCACGGAGACCAGGTACGACGCCACCTCCTGCGGCTGGTCGATCGAGCGGGTGATGCTGAGATCGTGGGGGTTGAACATGGGCGACCGGCTCTCGAGCTGCTCTTCAAAGTTGCGCAGATCCGACGGCAGGCGCAGGTAGATGTTCTCAGGGTTGATCGTCGTCAACCGACCCAGGTACATGGAGTTGACGCGCTCGAGCATGAAGAGCGACCACATGGCGCGGCGCCTCGACTCGCTGTAGCCGGCCCTTGTCATGTTGAGCGGGTAGGCGTGCAGGCTGGCTTCTCGCGTCTGCTCCAGTTCCAGGTTGAGCTGCAGGCAAGTGGCCGTCCCGGCCGCTGCCGAGATCATTTGGCCAGCCTCGCCGCGGCGCATGACAGAAAGGTAGTACACCGCTAGAAGGATCCTGCTTTGCACAAGCTGGAGGCAGGTCCTGGGGCAAGCCCTCTGCGCATAGTGAGCAACTTGGGCATACTCGTACGCAATATGCTTCTTGGGTCCGCCCGACAGGACCACGCCAACGGCCAAGATGCTGTAGAGGAGCATCAGGTCTTCCGGTGATTTCCTCTGCACCGGGCTGCAAACCCAAGCCTTGGTGGCTCTCTCGGGCAACAGCTGCAGGATCATTGTGCTGTCGATATGCTGAAAGAACTGGTCGACGACGCCGCTGATGGACTGGGCATCTGTGGCATATGGGTTGGTTTGCCACGCACGTTCCAAAACACTTTCCGGGATCCTGGGCATTTCGGGGGGAGGCAGTGAGGCGCCGACGTGGGACTTGGAGTGATCCATGGGCCGGGACATGGCTGGCGAGGGCGCGCCGTTGGGCACATAGCTGTGGTGTTCAACCTTGATTCGTTTGTGCGACGAGTGGTCGGGCAAAGTGTTGCGCGGGGAGATGGGCGAGCTCTCGCTGCTCATAGGCATGCGATACTCTCGTGGCCTCGCGGGCTCAATCATCTTGCGTCGGTCCTCAAACTCCGCTGGGGGTGTTGTGGGCGATCCATTGTGACCACCGCGCGGCCTGTTGTCCGTCCTCGTCAGCAAACGCTCGCAAAAGCACATCAAGGGGTCATCAAACTTACGCATTCTTGAACTTGCAGATTCGTCCAAACTTCTCGCATTGCACACAGCGAGGGAAGTCGGGATCGCACTTGATCTTCTTCTCGCGGCAAGTCACGCAAGCAATGGCCAACCTCTTCCTGGGCTTGCCCGCCTTGGTCACACCCCAGTGCGCGTTGACAGCCTCGCCGTCGATGACGGTCTTGCAGTGGCTTCCGTCGTCGTAGAAATAGCAGAGCCCCTCGCCCGCCACCTCTCCTGCGCGGACAAACCTGGGCAAGAAGTGGCTTCCGGTCCAAATCTTGGGACCTAGCCCATCCTTGCCGGTAATAATCTCTATGTGCGAGTCGCCCGTGGGCGACTGGGGCTGGTTCTGGCTGGCGGTGGATGATCTGTTGTCGTGGTAGCTGTGGTGGGCGTCTTTGGACCCTGGAAACTGCAGATGAAAGTCGCGCGAACGGAGCTCGGCCTCTCTTGATTCGAGGCTGTAGCCACCCTTGCCGTGCTCCTGGCGGTGCGAAGTTGGCCACCTGCTGTGGTGCGGCTCGGCCTCGGCGCGCGACTCGACTCGCACATGGTTGTGCGCCCGAAATCCAGGCGACGCGGGGCCGGATGTCGAGTTTCGCAAGGACTGGAGAGAGTGCCGCTCCGATTCGTACTTGGCAGGCTCGTACGAGCTCCGTGGCTGTGAGATGGGTGGTGAGAGAGCTGGTGGAAAGTATGAGTCCCCGTGGCTACGGGCATGTGAGCTGCCGAAGCGTGGGCGATCCATGGGCGAAGCTGTGGGCAGGCTGGTACGCTCTGACATGGGCGAGTTGAGAGGTCTCGAGGTGGGGGGTCCAAAGAGGCTGCTTAACGACGGTAGTTGTTGTCGAGCAGCGGGCTGTTCCATCGAAGCTGTAGATCCCTTGGTCAAGGCAGCGCCCTCGGCGCTCTTCTCGACAGACATGGCGGCCTTGGAGCCCTTGCCATAGTCGGACATTGGCGGCGATGCCAACGGTTTTGATGTGAGCCAGGCAGGTTCAGTAGGCGGCGATGATCTTGAGGAGAAGGTGGTTGATGCGCCCGGGCTGACCAGCTCGGGTGGTGTGTTTGGGGCAAGTAAATGCTGACCGGGTTCTGTGACAGCTGAAGCACCCATGGAGGCTCTGTGAAGGCGGCAGGACGGATACTGAAAGGTGTATATGAGAGTGCCTGGTCCAGGCTCGAGTTGTCGTCCGTCCAGACAGCTCAAAGCAAGAGTGTACGCCGTCGACCACGTGTTGCGGCAGCTGCTCACCTTTCACACGTCAAGTCGTCTTGTGAGTATGTGTTGGTTGTTGGTAGGATGAATATTGCTGGAAGGAGACGGGAAGAGACGGACGGGTGATGCAGAGCAGAGATGTAAGAATAAGACAAAGCAGCAGATTCAAGTCGGACCCTGTAGGAAGCTGTAGGGGAGGGGGCAGCTGGTGTAGATGAGGGATTCCCGGAGCAGACCAACAAGAGCTAGAGCCAACGAGCTGGGTTGAAGGGTAGGAATCCGGGGCTTGGCTTGGCTGGCTGGCACTGAGATGACTGGACTGGCGTGGCATCAGCCTTCAGGCACGAGGCAGCCTGCCTGATGTGTCTAGCCACGCATTTGAGAGACAGTCGGATCTGAGGCCGAGCGAACCTGGGCAAGGTGTGGGCTTGGCTTGACTGGGCTGGGCTGGGTTGGACTTGGCACAATTAGTGGGCTCCAGTCCAGTCCATGTCGCTTGCTCGGATGGAGGTTCAATCTGGCGATGGAGTGGACTGGGCATGGAGACTGCGTCAGTCCAGTCCACAGTGTCCGACTAGGCTGGAGCCTGGTGGAGTCTCGTCTCCAGTCCCTCACACCCTCCAGTCGCTCCAGTCCATGGCACTGGCAGTCCCTCCAGTGTCCCCTCCCCCAGGTACCAGCCACAGGTGTCTCTGTAGTGCTCGGGATCATTACTGCCAACTGGAAGGACCAGCGACCCATTAGCGCGCAAGATCCACTGCCATCTGCTCAGCTTCTACAGATACGTACGAGGACTAGAAAGCACGCATTGCCATCCGCGTAGGGGTTTGTCAAGATTGCCTGCCATAATCAAAGGAAGCAAAGGACTTCTGACGTGGTTGTCAAACACTGCATTCTCGCCCTGGTAGGTCAAAGAAAAAAAGTTCCTTGGAATGGGCCTTGTTTCGCCCCAATCCGTGCGAATGAGTGGCCACGCAAGTATCCCAATGTCTCTGCCCTTCGTCACAGCGTGGCTCGGGCGCTTGCTCGCGACGACGCTTTGTCTCTCGTCGTCGCGTGCGTGATGTTGATGTGTCTCACAGCCACGAGCGCTCGAGCTGCCGACTGTATTCCGCTCAAACAGCCCTCATACCTGACACTGGACGAGGCACATGTGGCATGTGGACATGCATTCCGTGCAGGCCAGTCTGCCAACTGCTGGTCATTAATTTAATAATGAATCAATATCGACAAGGAATGGCAGGTCAATCCATGCTAGGCTAAGCTTCGCCGAGCGAGTCAAGTCTGTGGCAGCCCATCCGGACCATGTCACTCTACCTATTATTACTACTATGCGTAGGTACGGATAATTAACGAGAAAACGCTTCGACGTTGTTTGAGTTCGAGAAAGCCACAATTCCACAACCGAACGTCCGTCGTCACGTCGGCATTGGCGGCACTGGAAGCCGGAAATCGCACGACAAAGGTACGATCTCTGCTTCTCGTAGCAACTGAACCTGTAGGGAGGAATGTGGCTTGCGATGCTTCGGGGCACAGGTCCGTCGAGAGGCTCCAGTCCTGTCGTCAAAGTTCTCGTTTATTTCCGGACCCCTGACGGACTCCAGTCTGTAATACACAGTCCCTTTGCATCCTGCGCAGTACGGATGCGAGGGGATTCGGAGCGCAGGGACCGTGCGCGCGCACTCTTCATAATCATACGTGCATGGATCATCAGCTTCCAGATCCCACTCACGGCTGTCGCT